CAGTGGTGTCTCACGCCTTTAATCCCAGCACTTGGGAGTCAGAGGCAGGCAGATCTCTGTGAGTTCGAGACCAGCCTGGTCTACAAAAGCTAGTTCCAGGAAAGGCTCCAAAGCTACACACAGAAACTCTGCCTTGAAAAAGTAAAAAGAAAACAAGCACAGGTCTCTAAGAATCACTAAAGGACATTTGAGTTCTGGGTGTGGGACTCTGAACTCTGGACAGAGTATCTTTGCATCTTGACCAACTACATTTCATAAGGTCTCATCCAGACCGTACCCAGTGTCATTTTGACCTGTGGGAAGATTTTACGGAAGACTCAATCTCCTGGGTTTTATAAAGAGGTGACCCTGAAAAGGTATATCAATACCTGAGGCTGTCCTTATTCTAGTCCTCAGTGACAGCCTTGATCTCCCTTGGATAGGACTCTGAAATGGCAAGGCCGTCTGCCTGATCTGGGCTATGGGTTCTGAGAGTGTGTAGAGAGTATCCCCGCAGCTCCCCTCCCAGCCAGACTGAAGCCTGACTTCCTCCCCTACAGGCACCCCCATCAAGTTTAGCTAACCTGCCTCCTTACCCAGGTTCCTGTAATAAACCTGCTGAGTGCCACAGGTGCATCACCTCCCTAAGAGTTACATCCCACCACATCCCAGCTTTTCTGAATATGTTTCTGTTGTTTATTCACATCCGTGACTCTATCAGGTCAGTCCCAAAGCCATGCTTGTCCTGGCAAACATGACAGTTTCAAAAGGACCATTCATTCCTTGATTGCTATTAAACATGTTAGCAGGAGCCGTGGGTGGTAGCTCATACCTTCAATCCCAGCACTCGGGAGATCACTGGGCCAGTCTGGTCTTTAGAGCTAGTTCCAGGACAGCCAGGGCTACACAGAGAAATCTTGTCTCAAAAAAACTAAAAGAAAAATAAGCTGAGTGAAGAATTTCCTTTTCTTGCGAGCTGAAAGCCTGTCTTATGTGACTTTGTCACCTCCCAGGGACCAAATAACTCCAAAGGCAGTTGTTGGTCACTTTTGACAGCAGTCGCTGAACTAACTGGAGCCAAAGCCTAGAGCCTAGTTACGGTTTAAATGAGCCTTTCCATCCTGTCTCTCTTTACCTAGAGAGCATGGGAAGCCTCAGAGCTAAAAAGAAGACACAGGCCTGAAATCCCTAACATGAATATTTCTTGGCTGGTGACAATTGACTTGGCTGCCCCAAGAAAGGTGTTTACTGTCATTCTAGAGGTGGCATGGGACCTCAAACTCACTGCCTCAGATTGTGTGACAGGCACTGTGTTTGAAAGATACAATTTGAGTGCCTCTGTGTGGCTACCCAGGGCATCATCTTGTCCAGTCTGTAGCAACAGCATGGGTTAGGGGCAACCTGCAAGGCTTCTAAGAACTTGACTCTCCAGAACGCTGGCGGTGCATGCATAGTTCACCCCCGGACCCTATCTATGTCCACGTTTACATTCACAGGTCTCACTGGTGACTCCTGTTCTCAATTAAGAGCTTCAGGTTAAGAGTCATGTGTAAGGAACCACAGAATGTAAGAGCTTTTAGGAAAAGGGAAGGATTAGGAGCCACAACAGGGGAAGTGACAGCAGAGATGTAAACCCACCGCCACTCCTGATTCCCCTAAGTTCTGTACCGCAACACCACACTGCTGGCTAGATCAACGGTTGGCAGCTGGCTAGATCAATGGTTGGCGCACTGGGCAGGTTTTTGTCAACTCGATTCAAGCTAGAGTCACTGGGAAGGAGGGAACCTCAACTGAAAAAATGCCTCCAGATCTAGCTGTGTCTGTGGTCTATGCTGCCTCTGGAGCCATATGGATACACACGGCCCGCGCTGCCGCTGGCTGTTACAAGCAAGGAAGCTTCTTTCCACAATGGTGTGATGGCCGCTGACTCACAGTTGAGAATGAGAGATGTAAAGTCCTCTATGACAGCCTCTCCCCTTCACCCACCCACCCACCCAAAACACTCTGGACAGGAAGTCATTAAAGAGAGCCCTTAAAAACTGTGATAGGGCAGCTGGGTGGCAATGATGCTCGCCTTTGCTCCCAGCACTCAGGAAGCAAAGGCAGGTAGATCTCAGTGAGTTCAAAGCCAGTCTGGTCTATAGAGTGAATTCCAGGATAGCCAGGACTACACACAGAGAAACCCTGTCTGGGGGTGGGGAGGTGGGGGGGGAGGATGTGATGGTGTGCTGTGTAGCTTCTCACAGTACAGCTTCTGGTAGGGGTGGGGGTGGGGGAGGAAGAACCCCTTTACCTTTAAGGGGCTAACCACTGGGAGTTAGAACTTGCTTTTGGCCTGTGGCAGCACACAAATCCCAGGACTTGGGAGGCAGAAGCAGTCGTATCTCTGAGTTTGGGGCCAGCTAGGTTTACAGAGTGAGTTCCGGGACAGCCAGGATTACACAGAGAAACCCTGTCTCAAAAACAAACAAACAAACAAAAACAAGGGGGAATGCTTGGGAGGAAAAGGGGTTTTAATGGACGGGGGCTAGGGATGAGGGAGAGTCGTGCGATCAAAAACAAAAAAATCACACACTCAAGTGGGATTTGTTTGTTTTTCAAGCCAGGCTTTCTCTGAAGCTCTGGCGCCTGTCCTAGAAATAGCTCTGTACACCAGGCTTTTCTTTCATTTTTCTTCTCTTTTATATTTTCTTTGAGGAAGGCCTTTAATAGCTCTTGAACTTATATGTAGCTGAAGGCACCTCCCTCAGCTCACTACACTATTGTTATCCTATCTCAGACTCAGTGCACCAAGAAGGGAGAGGCTTCATAAGCCCCTCCCTCATCCATGATGAATCCTGACAGGCACAATCGGATGCTAGTTTTGTGCAGGTAACCATAGCTGCTGTCCATTCCTGAGTGCAATAGTGAGTACTTGAGAGTCATTTTTTCTAAAATGACAAAACTTTTCCTGGGGAGACAAAACACACATCTACTCACCCAGATAGGGAGGTCATGACAGACCAAAGTACAGATACCACCAGAGTCCACTTCCCTGAACCAGTGAGTTTTACTGAAGTTATTTACAGGAGCAGAAATGACTGAAAGATAGCTGCTGCATCATCAAAGCCCACCCCAAGTCAGGTGACTGCTCAGAAACGCTGGGAAACCTGGAGCACATTGCACAGGGCCCGAAGGCAGCTCAGGAGGCTAGGGTGCCCCTGCCCAGTATCTCAGTTGGTCTAACCCTCTACCAGGAGGCTCAGCTGGTATCTGGTCTTCTAGGCAGCTGATCTGGTCTTCTTTGTGACTTGCTACGTTTACTGTGGCAAGGAGGGGCCTAGTCAATGTGTCAGTTTCAGGGACTCCTGAAGCTATTTTGAGGGTTTTTGTTTGTTTGTTTTTCTCTTTCCATTTAAACAGCTTCCCTGCTGGTACATAACTCCTTCCTATCTCCCAACACTTGTTTTCCTTCTGCTATCTCTCCCACAGTATTCCCTGACCCTGAGAGGGGTGAGAGAGATGTCTTGTTTAGTAGCAAGTGGTTGTTTTGTTGAGACAAGGTCTCACTCTAAAGCCAGGCTGGCCTGGGACTCACAGTATAACTCAGATTGGAGTTGAACTCCTGGCAATCCTCCTGCCTCAGCCTCGTAAGTGCTGGGATTACTGGTACAATTCGCCACACCTCACTGCTGTGCTATGCTCATACTAAGGGAGGCTGGGCAGCAAAGTGCTGGACTGCATGAAGTTCTGCTAAAAGCCCAAAACGAGTCTTAAACATAAAGCCCTAGCCAGGTGTGATGGCACATTCCCTGAATCCCAGCATTCAGGAAATTAGGGTAGGAGGACCACTCCAAATTCCAAGGCCAGCTTAAGATTTAGTCTTCCAGGCCAGTGTGAGCTATGATAAGACTATGGTAAAGTACAGTGTTCGCTTATAAATACATTAATTTGCATAGTAATGTTACTAGAGGGCTGGGGATACAGCTGCACCGGTACTGTTTGCCCAGCATGCTTGAAGACTGGGTTTAGTCCCCAGTGTCATATAATCCCAGTGCTGTGGTGTACACCTGATGTCCCACACTGAGAACATGGAGGGAGGAGAATACTTTTAAGGTCATTCTCAGCTATTCATGGAGTTCCAGCTCAGGCTGGGCTTAAGATCCTGGCCAAAAATAAATAAAGACATATTAGTGATATTGAAAATGACTGTGGGAAGTCACTAAAATTAATAAACCTTAATAAAGAGTCTGAGGTAGAAGGATGGAGAGTTGCATTAGGGATTCTTGTTCAACAAGTAGGTTTTGCTTATTACTTACTTTTTTTTAATTTATTTTTGTTTTATGTGCATTGGTGTTTAGCCATGGGTGTTAGGTACCTTGGAACTGAAATTACAGACAGTTGTGAGCTGCCATGTGGGTGCTGGGAACTGAACCCAGGTCCTCTGGAAGAGCAGTCAGTCTCTTAACCACTGAGCCATCTCTCCAACCCCTATTACTTACTATTTTTGGAGTAATATTAACCTTATAGCAAAATTAAGCAGAAGGTACGTTTTCTTGTATCACTGGACCAGTAACTACTGGGGCGACTGATATGTTAATCTGTTTAATTATAACAACTGTCTACTATGCGTGCTATAACTACTTGCTATAACCCTCAAATATCCGTCCCAGATAGCTGTTGGAACAATAATTTTTTGTTGTTTTTTCGAGACATGGTTTCTCTGTGTACCTTTGGAGCCTGTCCTAGAACTAGCTCTGTAGACCAGGCTAGTCTCGACGGCTCCACACTCATTTCCCTAAGGCGGCTCTCCAGGACCGCTCACCAGTGGGCAAAGCACGCCACGCCCACCTAGAGCGGGTGGCCGCACAGCAGCCAGTGCGCAGGCGCAGAGCCCGAGTTCCCGATGGGCGGCGCTGCGTGCGGCAGCCTCGCTCTGGCCCCGCCCCCGCCGAACGTGGTCGCGGGATCGCCCAGGAAACGCATTCTGCGAGAACTCGCGGCGCCAATGGGAAGGGAGCGAGTGCCACGAACGGACCAATGAGGAGGGGCCGGCCCGGGGTTTAAACCCAGGCCCGGCAGACTCCTCCCGGCGTGCTGCGGACGAACGGCTGTTGGTGTCTGGCTCGGCGAGCCGGCGCCCGGGGACGCAGCTGCTGGTGGCCGAGCCTCTTCTCCAGGAGGAGCCATGGCGCTCAGGGTCACTAGGGTGAGCCGGACGGGTGCTGCCGTCGTCGCCGCGGGAGAAGATCGCGGCGGCCTGCGGGGGAGGGGGTCCGTCTGGCTGACGGGTCGGTCGGTCGGTCGGGAGGAGGGAAGGGTGTCCTGTAGGGATGGAGGCCCCAGGGTGAGCCTGCGCCTCCGCACAGAGCTGCCCACGACCGAGGCTTCCGTGCGTTCCCTCCCGATGTAAACTCACGGTCGTTAGGACGGCTGAGGGCCTAAGAGGCATCTGAACGTGGGTGAATGTGCAACGTCTGGGTGGAAATTCGGCGCGGCACGCCCCGAGGCTAGACCCTGGGACCCCGGCTGTACTTCAGGGAGCCTCAGTTGGGTCGCGCCTGAATTAACCCATGACTTCCTGGAGCCACCATGGATCCCCTCTCAAGCGCTCTTAACTTTTTTCAGAACACGAAACTTAACACAGAAAATAAGGCCAAGGTCAGCATGGCAGGCGCCAAGCGTGTGCCTGTGGCAATTGCTGCAGCCTCCAAGCCCGGGCTGAGACCGAGAACCGCTCTAGGAGACATTGGTAACAAAGTCGGCGAACAGGCTCAGGCGCGAGTGCCTCTGAAAAAGGTAACTATCTCCCTGGCCCAACTGTCGTGAAAGAGTCCGTCTCCCAGCTGCCACCCTTAGGAAAACGTTCTGTTTTCTCCATGCCGTCCACAGGAACTAAAAACTTCAGTGACTGGAAAAGTTTCAGCTAAAATCCCGCCACCAAAACCTCTGGAGAAGGTTCCTGTGAGTGAGCCAGAGGTGGAGCTTGTTGAGCCTGAACCTGTTATGGACGAAAAGCTTTCTCCTGAACCTATTTTGGTAAACATAGCATACTAAAAAGTCTTATGTCTTCTCTGACCTCATTTCACTCTGATACACACATGTAGCGTTTGAGTATCTACTATGTATTGAGTGCTTAGCAAAAGCTTTATTAACACACTCTGGAGTAGGTATTAGCTGTAATTCAGATGGCGGTGGATAAATGCGGGCTTTTGTTTTGTGTAGACAGGCTGGCCTGGAACCTCGGGGGTTTGGTCTGGGACCAAAGGTGGACACCATCATTTTTCTCCCGAGTCACAGTGTAGCCCACACTGCCCTTGAACCTGACATTCTTTTGCCCCCTCCACTCCAGTGCCGGGATGGTGCAACCAGGCCAGATCTTTTAATTGCTTTCTTGTGTGTAGCATCCTGAACCCAAGGTTTTTGTTGTTCTGTAATTCCAACTCTGTCTGGAATTAACTGAATGAAACATAGATGTGTTTGTGAATCTTATACGACCTAATATGAACACTAAATTAATAAACCTGTTAAAAGAGTAAAAGAAAATATTTTCAGACAGAAAATGATGAGTTAAATGTGGTATGTGCCACATTCCTGCACTCTGGAGCAGAAGCAGGTGGGTCTCTGAGTTCAAGGCCAGCCAGAACTGTAGATAGTGAGGCCCTGTTTCAAAGTGGGGAGGGGGAAGATGCTGGGTTAACCCCTAAGCCTAAAAATCAAGATTTGGCTGTGTTTGTAGCTCTGTCTGTTAGAGCATGTTCAGTCCTTGAACACAGACACACACCCTCACCAAATTTTACTACTAGGTGTGATGGTACATGTCTGTAATCCTAGCACTTTTGCTAAAGCAAGAGGACAGCTCAAGGACAGTCTGAGCTAAATAGCTCACAGCTCTTACCAGTTTATGTCACTTTCTCTAACATCTTTTTGTAATTAAGGGATGCTTGTATTCACCTGGATAAAGACACCATGTTTGAATTCATTCCACCTGGTGCTGAGGGATAGCTTTATTACCTATCCGTTTTCCTTTGACTTTCTTTATGTGTGTACATGTTCACGTATGCCACCCAGTGTGGGTTCTAGGACCTAAATTCTGTTCTCATTGTGGAGCGGCACGGGCTCCTTAGAAAACCCATTGTGGCTGGGCACGCTTTTAATCCCAGCACTGGGAGGCAGAGGCAGGCAGATCTCCGTGAGTTGGAGGCCAGCCTGGTCTACAGAGCCAGTACCAGGAAAAGGAAAAAAAACTCTATTTTGTGTGTGTGCGCACTTGTAGGGTTGTGAGCCTTGGCTAAGAGGCACTTTTACCCAGCTTGCCCAGTTCTTCCTGTTTTAAACTGCCTTAGTCTAAATTAGGAATTAACTTTTTATGAACCCAGATCTCACTTTCCATCCCTGGCTGGCTTGCAGTTTGCTATGGAGACCAGGCAGGCTTCAATTCACAGAGAAGTGCTAGGATTATAGGCATGTATCACCATGCCTGGCCCTAAATCTCCTGGTGGGGGCAAGGGTTTGCACTTGAATGCAATGCCCAAGGAGGACAGAAGAGGGAGTCATGTCCTCCTGGAGCTAGAATTTAGAGTTACCTGGTTCCTGCATAGTAACTGGACTCTAGCATTTGCCAAATGCAAGTGCTCTTTACATCTAAGCCATCTCTCCAACCCAGCATTTATTTTGAATATTAACCATTTCCCAAAATGAAATTTGAGAGAAAAATAAAATATGAAATGTTCTTCCTTTAATGAAATGAATGACATTCAGAATGATTTTTCAAATTGAGGGCGCCAATACTGACCTTGCTTCTCAGACCATAGCCTGCTTGTTTGACGGGGTCTGTGTTTTTAAGGTCGATAATCCCTCTCCAAGCCCAATGGAAACATCTGGATGTGCCCCTGCAGAAGAATACCTGTGCCAGGCTTTCTCTGATGTAATTCTTGCCGTGAGTGATGTGGATGCAGATGATGGAGCGGATCCAAATCTCTGTAGTGAATATGTGAAAGACATATATGCTTATCTCCGACAACTGGAGGTCAGTATTGTTACAGTCTGCTTTTACTGAATTCCACTAGGTTTATCAAAGAACTGGTTTTATTTTGTTTGGCTGGTTTTTATAAGACCCGGGTTTCCCTGTGTAGCCCTGACTATCCTGGGACTGACCCTGAGGACCAAGCTGGTCTCAAAAAAGTTGTAAAACCACCAACTCAACAATTGAAGATACTTTTATCAATAGTACAGTTGATGTTTCTAGACTATAGATAACACTTGAAATTCTGTTTTGAAATAGTAGAAGTCACTAACTCCATGGAGTGAACTTGTCATATTGAATACAAAATTTCTGTCTTGGGAAGATGCTACTATGACTCTTCATAAAGTAGATACACACATCACATATGTTGAAAGTCCCAAACTTGTGGGTTTAAGGAGGTAGTGATAAGACTATAGCTGTCCCAATACAAGGCTGCCTTGGTTTTTTTTTTTTTTTTTTTTTGTTTGTTTTGTTTTTTTGTTTTTTGTTTTTTTTTTGTTTTTTTGGTCAGTGTGCTTGTGCTGGACAGGAAAACTATTACTTGTGTTCCAAAAGGAACACACTCAAAAAAATTAAAAGTTGTTGGTTTTGTCAACTTCGCCCACTTGGAAAACTGCATACTAATGACATTTGCCCTTTAACCTCTGTAAATGAGACAGTTCTTTAATGTAGTTTTTATCAGATTTGCCACCCCCAGTTCTAGGAACAAAACACAGGACCTGCTAAGCATGAGCTTAACCACTGAGCTCTATCCCCAGCATTGTCTCATTAGTTACCATTGATGCTTTCTGTGTCTTGTAATGTGCGCATGTGGGACTCAGGACAACTTCAAGAATTGGTTCTCCTTCCTTCTTTATTTTAACATGGGTGGGATTGCTGATTGCTGTTCCTTTGACATAATTTATATTTTCTAAAGTAGTCTGCTTTGTAATTCTTGTTAATACTAAAAGGCTTTTTTTTTTTTTCTTCTAACTGCAGCACTGAATTTGGTAGTTGAACATAGTTCATAATTCCTTATTCTTTTTTTATGTTAAGATTTGTTTATGTATACAGTATTCTGTGTGCATGTGTGCCTGCAAGCCAGAAGAGGGCACCAGATCTTATTACAGATGGTTGTGAGCCATCATGTGGTTGCTGGGAATTGAACTCATGACCTGTGGAAGACCTTCTAGCTGATCTAAAACTCAGCAATTAGTTTTTCTATATCACAAAGCTTGGGTTCTGTATTATTAATCTATTGATCTGAGATTATGACAGGTGTAGACATGGGCCTACAGTAGCACTGGTTAATTGAATGCCACAATATCTTAACAATGCTATTTTAATCCTTGCTTTCTTAATGTTTTTCCAAGGAGCTGTTTTATGTTAGTTAACTGGCCTTTGTGGTCACAAATGTCATGTAACAGGGTGATGCTTCCAGGATAAATTTTTCTTTTGCAGGAAGAACAGTCAGTTAGACCAAAATACCTACTGGGCCGTGAAGTCACTGGAAACATGAGAGCCATCCTAATTGACTGGCTGATACAAGTTCAAATTAAATTTAGGCTGCTGCAAGAGACTATGTACATGACTGTTTCCATTATTGACCGATTCATGCAGGTATGCCTAATTAACTTAGGAGAATTCTCCATGGAGAAGGGAGGAAGGGAACACTGACAGTTGAGCCCAGGGTCCCATGCATGGTGGGCAGGTATCTTAATCATTGAGGCTGAAACTATTATCTGTCCAGGGAAATAAGCTGTCACCAGTTGAGATGTGCAAGTACATATTGTTCATTGACATTTTGATTTGCAGGATAATTGTGTGCCCAAGAAGATGCTGCAGCTAGTTGGTGTGACTGCCATGTTTATTGCAAGCAAATATGAAGAAATGTACCCTCCAGAAATCGGTGACTTCGCTTTTGTGACTAACAATACTTACACTAAACACCAAATCAGACAGATGGAAATGAAGATTCTAAGAGTTCTAAACTTCAGTTTGGGTCGCCCTTTGCCTCTGCACTTCCTCCGTAGAGCATCTAAGATTGGAGAGGTACAAATTACTTGAAACTTGTTTTTTGCTGTATTACATAGATACATAACTACATGAGAGAAGGATTTGACTGCTACTATTTAATCAGGCTGAATAATATTGCATGGTTTCTCTCAAGGCCTTCTGTGGACCATTGTATTTCAGTTTGTAGTCACAGATAGGGCTTTGTAAGTCAGTGCCAAAGTAAAACTCTGCAAAAAGAAGCTCAATGGTGTGTGGATCTGTTCCAGGTTGACGTTGAACAGCACACTTTGGCCAAATACCTCATGGAACTCTCTATGTTGGACTACGACATGGTGCACTTTGCTCCTTCTCAGATTGCAGCTGGAGCTTTTTGCTTAGCACTGAAAATTCTTGACAATGGTGAATGGGTAAGCAGTCTGCAAACCACCAAGCTTTTCCATTGTAAACAGCCTTTGAACATGCCACTTCCACCATAGATAGGAGAGAATGGGTAGTGATAAAAATGTGGTGCCATCTTAGGTTTCCATTCGTCACGTTTTCTGATGACACTCTTGGACTCTGTTAATCCTTGCACACATGGAAGCTGCACTGAGGAGTCCATTCACATTCTTATGTACCAGATCCTGTCCTTCTCTACCTTGGGGTAGAGAAGGCAGCAGCTTTAATTCTGTGGTTAAATTAGAGCATAGGCTCTTGAAGGAGCACACCTGGGCAAAGAGATGATTTCAATTTCAGTTGTGTTAACCATTCACTATCCGCCTGCTAGACCCTTGAATAGCCTAGAAAATAGACCCTAGAAAAGTTTTGTGAAAAGTGGCTGGTGTTTTAACATGCTTTTTTTGTTGTTGTTGTTTTGTTTTTGCTTTAGACACCGACCCTGCAGCACTACCTGTCCTACACTGAAGACTCCCTTCTGCCTGTCATGCAGCACCTGGCTAAGAATGTAGTCATGGTGAACCGTGGCCTTATAAAGCACATGGTGAGTTTGCTGAAACTTCACAGCTGGTTTAAGACCTTTAATCCTAGCACTCTGGAGGCAGGGAGAAACCAGCTTCTGCTACATGAGAGAGGTTTGGTTTTATTTTCATCTTTCAAGTTAAAATATATATAATTACATCGTTTCAGTCTCTTCTCTTTTCTCCCTCCAACCCCTCCAGGCAAACACCCCATTGGGATGGTTTTTGTTTCCTTGATTATAGTATAGTGCTTTTCTCTTACAGACTATCAAGAATAAGTATGCAACACCCAAACATGCTAAGATCAGCACTCTGGCACAGCTGAATTGTACACTAGTTCAGAATTTGTCCAAGGCTGTGGCGAAGGCATAACTCAAGTGGACCACTACACTACATCTGCAAATGCAATTGGCACCATGTGCCACCTGTACATAGTATACAGTGTTTACTTGATCTTCAATAAAGGTTTTTGTTTTACTTTCATAGCTTACCTCATTTGAATGTTGGTTGCTTCTGACTCTAGGATAACAAAAGTTGTCTAAAACATTTAGGTATATTTTAAAAACTGCTTTTAGTTTAACAGACTCCAACTAATGTATATAATTGTAGCCTATATGTTTACATACTTCCTTCGCTTTATGTGTCCTGATCATATCCTAAGTCATCTGTCTAACTCTTGTTTAAACTATCAGTCTACCAGCTTCTCCTTAGTTCCTTTCTCTTTTTTCAGATGTTTGCTGCCCTTTACTATCTCTTGAGCTAAGGACTTTCAGATCTGAAACCCAGTTTTCTTGTGTAATTATTTATTTGTTCTTAATTGGCTTCAAAAATAGCAGTTTAAAATTAAAAGAATTTGCCCCTCAATCTCAATGTCCTATATAAATGTAATCATGCATATGTTGTCAAGATGTTTTTATAGATTCATTTTTCAACAATATTCCTTTCAATACCTCTATTACATTTCATAAGTGTGCATTTCATGCTGTATGTAATGTATTCAGTCATTCTTCACAATACATTCAAATTGCATTCACACAATACTGCTAAAATGCTGTTTTATGCCTTGCTTAGCTTTGTGTATACTTAGCTTTCCCAGGGGGGGTATGCTTTAAATTCTGACAAAGCTAGATGAGACTTTGAGTGTTGTTGGCACTATACCAAGGTGTCATTTCCTCGTATCTCTTCTCTTGTGACTCTTAACTGGCAAAAATGCTGTCTCATTTGCTGTTTTAATTTATACATCTGATGTGAAGTTGAATAAAATTTATTAATGGAAAGCTTTCCCAATTTCTCATTTTGACTGTTTCATGTAGTCTTTTTTCTGTATAGAAACATGTTGCTAATAGACATCTTTCTACAGTTGTAGATTTTCAGTCTTGAGGTCAACCAGCTAGGAAGTGTGCACGCTTTTAACACCAATACAAGGGAGGCAGAGACAGGAAGACCTTTGTGAGTTCAAGGCTAGACCCTGTCTCAAACGTACTTTTCTAAAATGCTTCCTCTTTTAGGTGTGTATCCCTTCAGTCTTCCCCGTGAACATCCAGTTGTGTCACTGCTAACAAGTGCCTCTGATGGAAGCTGTCCCTTTTTTCCCCCTGTGGTAACAGGATGATTTTATACTGAGTTTAGGAGTTTGTGGGGCCAGATATGGCTTGATATAAGTATTTGGCATTATCGTGAACTTTGAGATTATGTCTGGTTGCCAGTACAAGGTTTCAGCTGTATACCATACTAGCTTGAAAGTGGGCTGGCATTATTATCTTGCTGCATAGAAACTTCTTGTTGAATCTTCACTGCACAGTCCTGAGGTTCTGTAAGCTTATTGCTGGGTTTTTCACTTGGAGAAAAATATTTTACCTTTTTAAAGTTCAAATAAAAAAATTTCCCATTACCTTCAGCCTCTCCCATGTAACCCTCCTCTTACATTCTCAAGTTTGTGGCCTATGTATGTTTATAAACATAATCTGCTCAGCCTGTGTATTATTACTTGTATGTATATATAATTTCAGCACTGACCCCTTTGGTATTAGAGATCAATTAGAGAACTAAGAAAGAAATTTCTGCCCTTTTCAGCATTCCTTAGTTGTCTAGGTTGGGACCCTATGATTTCCCCTTTTGTGTTAGTGTATCTGTGGGCACCCTTGTTGAAGACTTGTTTAGGCAGCCGTGAGATTTCATGGATCTGTAGCTTCCCTAACATTTCAAGGAGACAGTCTTCCTGTTCCTGTGTCTCTTAGCAATATTTCCCCCCTCTTCAGTGTTCTGGAGCTTTAAGTTCAGGGGTTGGGGCGGGGCACCTCAAAACCACTTGTTCTGAATTTTGATAGGCTGTGTATTTAGGGATAGCTATGCAGTACTTGTAACTGATGAGCTGTCTACAGCTGGCTGGGTCTCTCCTTCCTTACGCTCCTAAATGCTGGAATTGCAGGGTGCTTCACCTTGCCTATTATATACTCAGACCTCAAACATCCTTGTAACAACTTGAACTACACTAACCATCTCGAATTCTTGAGAAATTGGTTTAAGGTGTTTTCATCCTACTTGTCTCCACCCCAACCCCCAAATCTTCCAGATCACCCCCTTCCCTTCCACTCAACTTTGTATCCTGGCTTCAGAGTTTTGCTTTATTCCAAACCCCATACCCCAGGTTCCAGGTTTATAAACCAGCCTGGCCTCAATCACAGATGTACCTGCTGTGTACTTTACATAGGAGCCATAGTATTTTGGTAACAGGACAAGCATGATATCATGGGGAGTAGCTATGAGGGAACATGCAACCCTTCAAAGAGTTGCTGTACTTGTTCAGCAATGCAGTATACCTTATGTGACTGAAAAACTCACACATCAATGGTTTATATAGGTCCAGCATTTTCTCCATTCCTCAACTTCAAGACTCAATTCTAACTGCCAGAAACCTAATTCTCAATGATTTCCAACCCCAAGTATACCCCCTAACCTGCAAACAGGATCTTGGCATGTACTCTGTCCAGGTACTTACTGTGTATCCCAGGCTGGCCTTGAGCTCATCACAAAAACCTCCCCGAGTCCTGGGATTGCAGGCTTCCTCCCCTCTTTCTGCTAGAAATCTCACTGATAGTCCAGTGGACCATTGTGCAAGGAATTGAAAGATTGTGGATGTGGCCATGGTAAACTCTGGGGGCGTATGCCTCCTACTTAAGACATTTATCTCTCCACTAAACAGGAGATAAGGATCTTAGGGCTGATGAACAAAAACCTAATAGGAATTAGGATGAAGTTCAATAACTCTGATGGACCTTAGGCTTGTTCCCAGCACTGCAAGAGGAAACTTTTCAGTATAATACTGCAAGAGCCACGTCGTTCTCAGGCTGGAGGATTGGGAGTTCAAGACCAGTTTTGAGCTGCATGAGACCCAGTCTCAAAATATTAAAGTGAGAGGGGAGAGCAGAAGCTGGAGAGATGGTTTGACATCTACATCAAATGGCTCACAACTGCCTGTAACTCCAGTTGTGGAGGGAATCTGATGCTTCCTGGCTCCTGTAGCCACTTGGTTCAACTATCTCACTCTGTAGGGCATACCCAATCTCCAACCCAGACTTGAAATGTAGCAGGAAAGACGATAACAGCACCCGGGCTGGACGACTATTGACATCAGTTTAGGCCAGAGCTCTACCCTTCTTTCCTTTCCCCCTTCCCTCCCCCCTTCACCCTCCCATCACTTCTCCGGGTCGCTCTTACTTAAATTATTCTCGGATCACCGCCCCTAGCTCTGTGCTGGCTAGGTAAGCTTGTGTTGGTGAGAGTTCAGGGGAATAGAATCTATTTCTCCAGGGAAACCAGAGAAAAAGAATGCAGCTCAGTAACCACGGCAACCTGATGCTGGGAGAGGCAGAAGGTGGAGCTTTAGGGCGGAAGGGGCGGGACAAACATGCACTTCCTGGTGTCAATTTGTGGCGGGAATAAACGCTCGGGTATTTCCCTAGAGATCAAACCCATGGCATCTGCAATGGAGCAGCCGGGGGAGAAGCCTGTGGCCGGGGCTGAGGAATGCGGAGAGGTGCGGGGTGAGTCGCAGGCTGCGGAGGAAAGCATCGAGGATCGCATCCGCCTGCTGCTCAGGTGCTCCATCCCGGCATCCCGCCCTTGCTCAGCAGGCCCAGGGTTCAAATTCAAACTCACTGGCTCACCCTTAAGGCTCCGAGCCTGACTGCACTTATTAGCTTAACCGCCTTAAGCTCGTCAGCGGGGAAGCGGGCAGCAAAGGATAGATACCCTGCACGCAGAGCTGCTGGGGGAGAGGAAGGTGGGACGTTCTGAGGAAATATTTAGCACAGTACCCCGTCCTTAGCTAGGCTTCGAACCTGCCCTCATATCCTATCTTGCCACTGTGATCCCGGCTGATTGAGCAGTACATCCAAGCCGAGCTACAGGAAGCGGGAGAGCCCAACCTCTCCCCCGCCCCTCTTATTTTTTACTTTTGGGTTTTCGAGACAGGGTTTCTCTGTGTAGCCCTGGCTGTCCTGGGTCTCACTCTGTAGACCAGGCTGATCTCGAACACAGATTCCCCTGCCTCTGCCTCCTGAGTGCTGTCATTAAGGCGTGTGCCAGCACCCCGGCCCAACCCACCTTTTATGGCTAACACCCTTTACGTCCAGAATCTTCATTTGCTTATCATTTTACTAGGATGCTGTTTCTGCAACCAGCAGTTCCTAGGGGAAATTTGCTGTCAAGGAGCTGATTCAGTCCAAGTCCTGGACCAAATCTGCTCTACTGCTCTCCTAAGAAAAGCTGTCTTTCGGTGCTGGAGATGGGACCCAACGTCTGGTGTCTGCGGAGCAAGCGCTGTACCACTAGGTTTCAGCATAGGACTTCCATGTTTAAATAAGGACAGATGCCAAAACATAACACATAAAATCCAAATGTTAATGCTCATAAAGTTCTATTGGGATACAGTTTTCTGCTACAGGGTCAGAGATAAGTGTTGTATAACATTGGCAGGCTATAACTATGTATATACTAGGCTACCCTTGAATTTGTAGTAATGCTCCTGCCTCTGCCTTCAGGGTGATAGGCATTGGCCACCATGCCCAGTCACACAAAGGCATATCACTTGTTTTTAAGAAAATCTCAATCATCCGATTTACCAGTAAAGACTTGGGAGCCAGATCCTGGGGTGAAAGCCTACTAGCTCAGAGAGGCGGAGAAAGCATCCAGCCGGCCTTCCTCCTTAGCAGAGGCCCCTCCACTGTCTTCCACTGTTGGAATGACCCTCCCTTCTCTTCCTGTGTGTCTCTCTATCCGTCTTCCTGTCTCCATGTTCACTTCCTGTCAACTGGTGGCTTGCTCTGCCTCTAGACCTATGGTTGACTTTATTTAATCCTGTTTACAGCGTGCAAAAAAGAGAGCTCTTGGATTAAAGGTGTGTGCTAGGGCCAAGCCACAGCACAACTTGATCCCGGGGTTCACAGTGATCAAATACCCTGACTGAACTGGGGCCTGAAGCATATTAGGCAAGCACTCTGACACTGGGCTGCATCAACAGCCCTTTCTGGACTTTATTTTGGGATTAAATTTGATAGGTTGCCAAGGACTGGTCTTGAACTTGCTCTGAAACCCTGGCAGGCCTGTGCTGACTGTCCTCCTCCCACAGCCCTCCAAGTCACTGGGATGGCTAGCCTGGTACCTGGTGGGAAGTTGTTTTCATTTGGAATTTTGTCCCTTAAAGACCTTGCTGTCGGGTGTTTCTTAGCTGTAGAAAAGGGGCTCTAAAGACCAATACACAGGGCTGTGCAACTGGCGCCAAAAGCACTGGCTACTATTCTCAGCTTTTTTCTACTTATTTTGCTTGATTTTGGATTAGGAGTAATAGAATTTTTTCTAAAACCTACTAAATATTAATCGCTTGTCTCTCCACAAGTTATTTTTTGTTACTTTTTTGTATTTACTGGAAATGCTTTTTAAGTTTTTATGATTTTCATTTATTTTATTTGTTTATTGTTTTTTTGTGAGAGGGTTTCCTCTCTGTAGCTTTGGAGCCTATCCTGGCACTCACTTTGTAGACCAGGCTGGCCTCAAATTCACAGAGATCCACCTGCCTCTGCCTCCCGGGTGCTGGGATCAAAGGTGTACACCACCACCGCCCTGCAATTTTTTTTTTAAGATGTATTTTGGAAACAAGGGGTAGTGTCAAACTTCAGTCCTAGCATTTGGGAGGCAGAGACGGGCTGATCTCTGAGTTTGAGGCCAGCCTGGTCTACAGAGTGAGTTCCAGAACAGCCAGGGCTACACAGAGAAACCTGTCTTGAAGAAGAGTTTTTTCATTTTGATTACTTTTGATAGGTGTGTGTGTGTGTGTGAGAGAGAGAGAGAGAGAGAGAGAGAGAGAGAGAGAGAGAGCGAGAGCGCAAGCGTATGTTCAAATTCGTGCCCTTGCGGGTCAGAGGCAGCAAATTCCTCCCAGAGCTGGAGTTACAGGTAATTTCGAACAGCTGGTGTCAGTGCTGGGAACCAAACTCATGTCCTTTTAACCAGAACAATACTCACTTAGTGGCTGAACCATCTTCTAGCCCCTTCTAGAAATATTACCCTAATAAATGTAACCCTAATAGAGTTTGGCGGCGTCATCACTTTTGGTTACCTACCTCTAGCAGTTTTCAGTAACTACATTTCGGTCTGGCCTATTAATGTGCATAAGAATTAAATTTTTAACTTTTTCTCCAAGATGCTGCTTGCCCACTGTATTGTGTTCTATGACTCCCTTTCGTGAACTGTTTTAAATACAATGGGGTTAAATGAGAAGGCTTCAGTCAGTGTCAGATTTCACTTACTGCATGATGATTGTAACCACCATCCATAAATCCTTTCCTTAATTTGCAGGCTGAGGGCACAGACAAAACAGCAACTCTTAGAATACAAGTCCATGATTGATGCAAGTAAGTAGCTCCATTTTCAAGTCCATTTTCTGAGTTTGCTGATGAATGCTATTTGTTTTAAAAGTTATTTATTTCTATTGTGTGTTCGTGCATATACATGCACATATGTCTGTACCCATAAAGCCCAAGAGGGCACTGGATCCCCTGGAAACAGCGGCAGAGGTTATGAGCCACCATCTGGATAGTGGGAATTGAACTCAGATCCTCAGCCAAGGGCTTTTAATCGCTGAGCCATCTCCAGCCCCCAGATGAATGGTATTCTTGGGAAGCAAATCAGCTTTACAAAAAGTTGTGTTTTCTTAGGCATGGTGATTCATGCCTTTAATTCCAGCACTCAAGAGGCAGAAAAAGTGGGGTCTTTGTGAGTTTGAGGCCAGCCTGGTTTCCATATCAAGTTCCAGGCTGGCCTGAGCTACCCCGAGAGACCCTGTCTCAAGAACAAAACAAGTTGTTTGTGTTCATTCCGTGCAGCAAAAGAGGTAAGCAAAGAAACATGCAAGATAACTAAGAAATGGGGGGGGGGGGTGCAGTAAGAAGGCTCAGCTGGTCAAGGTGCTTGCCAGTAAGCCTGACAGCCGACTTCCATGCCAAGAACCCATATAGCGAGGGGAGAACCGACTGACAACTCTTTCTCTGACTTGAGTCCCCTGGTATGCACACACACACACATACATACACACACACACACACACACACACACACACACACACACTAAATATTTATTTACATAAAACTGTTCCTGACTTAAAAATCTTTTTACTTGCAGGTGAAGAAAAAACTCCAGAACAGATCATGCAAGAAAAACAAATTGAAGTGTATGTCATATTTTAATATTTTGTCTGTGGCTTTTACTAAGATTTGAGCTTTGATCCTTGTTACAGTGCTGTCTTTCTTTTCCTTTGTGATTCCAGATGTGTATATATACCTCATGCTTATGTCGGGAGGTTGTTGATATGCAGTGGCAGTTTCGGTGCTGGGGGGTGGTTGCTTCTCTGCTGTCCAGCATTCCCCCACATTGTCTAGATGAAGCTTAGTGAAGAAACTCAGCATCAGCTGTGTAGACAGGCTCCTATGTGGTGAGCCTTAGCTTTCTTCTGTTCAAATAGAGGTGTCCAACCTTTTCTCCAAGATTACCTTCATACACATTTCAGGAACAACTTTTACTGACATTGCTGAAATTCTTTGGCTCATGTTTCCTTAATAGTAAAATTGAAGACCTGGAAAATGAAATTGAAGATGTAAAGAGCAATTTTGAAATGAAAACTCTTGCACTAAACAGGTAACTTTTACCTTAATACTACTGAGAATTGTGAACTAAATGCAAAGGTTGGGGGGATTTAAAAAAAAAAATAAATAAAACTAAGCTGAATTCAATGGTGATTAGAAGCCTGTGATCCCAGCACTCAAGAGGCTGCAGCTGGAGGGCCATGAGTTCAAAACCAATCTTGGCTACATAGGGAGACCCTGACCTTAATTGGAGGGTGGAGTGGGAGGGGAGTAGTTGGTCGTGCACATCTTTAATCCCAGCACTCTGAATGCAGAGGCAGGTGGATCTTTTTGAGTTCAAGGTCAACCTGGTTTATATAAGTAAAGAGACCCTGTTTCCAAAAACGGAAGGGCACAGGAGGAAAAGAGTGAGGGACAAAAGAGATGCTCAGGTAATGTTACAGAAGCTTCCAACCCTGAAGTTATGCTATTCATTAATATCTTCCTCTGGAGAAGGTATGTAGGGCCCAGGAGATGATGGGTCGTCAGGAAGTTAACGTAGAGTTTCAAACACTGGGGTTAAAAGCATTACACAGATCCATTTATTTCAGTAACTGTTTAATACATAGAATTGTCACAAAGTTGGTTTGAGACAGGGTCTCACTCTATAGCCCAGGCTGGTCTGGAAATTGAATATGCACTTCAGATTGACCTGAAACGTATATACAGATTATAGGTGTTTGAATATAAATACAATACCATAAGCTCTGTGCTAAGTACAGTATGCATGTACTGTGTAGGAATTTTCTGTCAGTGACAAGATCACATATATGAAAGTAATGCCATAGAATTCTCGTGACACTGGCCACCTCACTTTGTGTGCCTTCTATTATATTCTTTTATTATTATTATTATTATTATTATTATTATTATTATTATATTCTTACTGAGATCACACTGCAAATGGTGCCTGTCTTAGAATGTGGCCATATGGTGATGCACATTTGTTATGATATGCAGCCCAAGGGGGACCTTGGTGAATCCCATGGCGAGACAAACATGCCAGGCAGTCAGGACTTACGTAGAAAGTATATTGGAGGAAGGGAAGGGAAAGGAGAGATGGGGAGAGGAGAGACAGACAGAGAGACCTGCCTCCTCAGAAAAAGAGATTGGAAGTGGGCAGAGCTTGTCTCTTAAAGGGACCATTGTACCTGCGTACACAGCCAAGGGGTAACTCTGCCAGGTCCCCAAGGGGCAGGGCCAGGTTTGCCTGGATAATAACATTAATAGACAAACATGACATTTACATAGGCTCATGATTTAGTAATAGAACGTAAATGACTCTTATAGTTACTACTCTGTAGTTTTGACCTTCCCAGATTACTTTAAGTTCTGAATTTACATTTTTATATCTATTTAAGAAGCAGCTGTAGCAGGCTGGTGAGATGGTTTGGCAGGGAAAGGAGCTTGGAGATGTCCCGTGGCCTGAGTTTGGTTCTCAGAGCTAACATGGTGGAAAGAGAGAGCCAGCTCCCACAGGTTATCCCCTGACCTCTACCCGTGCTGAGGCATGTGGGTTACACACACAGAAATAAGTTAAAGTAGTAATTAAAGCTAATTTAACTAGTTACACAGATCGGGAAGAAAGAACTACCGCCTGTACAGACTTAATTGCCCATTCTCTTACCTGTTCAGGTTTGCCTCCAACTCTAGGTCCTCCTGCCTCAACTGAATGTAGGGACTCTAGGCATGTATCCACTATGTCTAGCTGTGCCTTGTGTGTTCAGTGATGGAGACGGATCCCAGAGCCTTGCACAAGCTCATTCTGCCGGCTTGAAGTGGTTTGCTTTAATGTTCCCAGTCAAGCTGGCATAGGGGTGCACATACATGTGTAAGGAGGTAGAAATTCAAGGATATAAGATGTTCCAGGTTTAAGGATCTGAAATTCAAGGTTTCCCTCAGCTAAAAGAGTTTGAGGCTAGTCTAGGCTACATGAGACCAAACTGGCAGCATCTCCTCAGCAGGCCCATGCCGATGTCTGTATGCTTCCCTGGCTCTGCACCAAGGTGAATGGCTGAGCATAGATACCAGTCTGCTCAGCCTCAGCCTGGCAACACACAGCAGCAGGCCACAGCCTCCTCCCTGGGCTGCTTTCTTATTTCCACGCTTTGCTCCTTTTCTTTAGAATATTCCCTGGGGTTCAAGTGATGGCTCAGTGGTTAGGAGCTCCCATGCCTACTGTTTTTAAAGCATACTATGTTTTGGGTGTGTTTGAAGGAAAATCAATCTTGTTATTCTTACAAAAACACTTTCATGTCCGATAAATGTTACTTGCTGTGTGCAATAGAAGCTTTTTCTCTAAGATGCCATTTTTTTGTTATTTAATGTTTTTGGGGGTTTGTTTTTGTTTTTAGGATGAGACTTTCAGCTGCACTTACAAAGAACATGGAAAAGATGGGTGCTGAGAGCAGGTATGGCTTTTTACATTTCTCCTGGATTGGAAAGAATGGGAACAACAAGAGAGGTGTATGAAATGGTTTTAGATTGTGACTTAGGAAAAAAGTGCATTAGCAGTTTTAATCCCAGCCTTGAAAGGCAGAGGCAGGAGGATTTCTGTGAGGTTGAGGCCAGCCTGGTCTACACAGTGAGTTCCAGGACAGTCAGGGCTATGTAAAGAAACCCTAGGAATAAAAAGTCTGTGTGTGTGTGTGTGTGTGTGTACGGACAACTTGAAGGAATCACTTAGTTTTTTTCTTGACTCGTGTGCTCTGGGAATTGAACTCAGGTCCTCCAGTAGCAACTTAACGAAATAAGAGACTCCTCGGTTTTCATTGATAGAAATGAGCTTATTTTACCTGCCTGGACTACAGGGTGAGTCTACAGGGTGAGTTCAAGGATAGCCTGAACCATTTAATGAGACTCTGTCTCAAAAAGTTTTTTTGGTTTTTTTTGTTTTGTTTTTGGTGGTAGTGTTTTTTGTTTGTTTGTTTGTTTGTTTGTTTGTTTTTTGAGACAGGGTTTCTCTGTGTAGCTTTGGAGCTGTCCTGGAACTCACTCTATAGACCAGGCTGGCCTTGAACTCACAGAGACCCACCTGCCTTTGCCTCCCGAGTGCTGGGATTAAAGGTGTGCACCGCCACCGCCAAGCCCTCAAAAAGTTTAAAAACAAAAAGGGGGTGTCTGGGATGTAGCTCAGTGGTAGATCACTTAGCCAGCAAGTATGACAGGTAAGTTTTGGGTGCAGTACTGAAAAAAAAGATGGGTGGGACAGAAGAGGGAAGGGGCGTGGGTGCTGGTTCTGGTTAGTTTGTTGAGAAGTGTTAATCAAAGCTCTGGGACTCCAAGAGTCTCACTCCAGGCCACACCTGTGATCTTTCCTCCCGAGGCTCTAAAACATAATATACCCTCCTATGAGCACCAGAGAAGTTATGGGAAGCATCTGGGCATCTCTCCCATCTGGATGTCTTCATTCAGGCTGATTTTTAACCTCTTGAGATCCCTGCCAGCTCAGATTTCAAATCCCAAACTCTGAAGTTGTAGGGCCAGGTGTGGAGGTGCACACCTTAGACTCAGCTCTTGGGAGGTGGAGGCGGTGGCATCTCTGTGATTTTGAGGCTAATCTGAACTTTCCTGAAACCCTGGCTTGACAGCAGGGCACCCTTACTTACTCAACCCTCTCACAAAACGGGAAAACAGTTTTGTAGTGAGGCTAGAGAGATGACTGAGCAGTTAAGATTTAGCTGCACTTCCAGAGGACCCAGGTTCAATTCCCAGCACCCACATGACAGCTTACAACAGTCTGAAACACCAGTTCCAGGGGATCTAATATCATTTTCTGGCCTTGAAGGTACTACATGACTGATGTACTTATATACATGCAAGTGAAACACCCATACATGTAAAAATAATAATAACTTAAAACACAAAACAGTTTTATGTTAAAGGAGCAAGTGCTCATCATACACACGGGATACCTTGTGAAAACAGAAAGTTCAAATAGGCCAAGCAGTGTCCGTAGCATGTTTTGGAGTTTACAACTGTTAACGGTCATTTGAATAGGGCCATCTTTAGTGTGGCCATCTCTGCCTCCTGGGTGGTGGCCTTAGATTCCTACAAGAGCAAGCTGAAGCTCAGTGAAAACAGTAAAACAAACCCCTGGCCGGTCAGAAACCGCCTGCAAGTTTTTAAGTATACACTCATCTTTAGCCAACCAAATGCTTCTTTGTTTGCTTTCTGTGAATGTCTTACAAGCCTCTCCTTAATCCCCTGGCTCAAGAAAAGCACTGGACTGCTGGTGGTCTTTTTTTTTTTTTTTTTTTTTTTTTTTTCCTTCCTTTCTTTCTTCCTTCCTTTCTTTCTTTCTTTTTGTCCTTTGTTTTTTGAGACAGCTCTGGCTGTCCTGGAACTCACTCTGTAGACCAGGCTGGCCAAGAACTCATAGAGATCTGTCTGGTCTGCCTCCCGAGTGCAGGGATAAAAGGTGTTTATCCCTTGTGTTCTTTTTTCATTTTAAAACAGGGTCTTTCCATGTAGCCCAGGCTGGCCTTGAACTAATTATGTGGTACAGGCTCGCTTCAAACTCAAATCCTGCCTTCCCCTCCCGAGTCCAGGGATTGCTGACTTTGGCCACGGTGCCTAGTTTATGCAGTCAGGGATTAAATCTGGACCATGGTTCAAATTTGCTCATTCTAGGCAGGCAGTCTGCCAACCAAGCTACAAGGTTTTCTTTTCTTTTTTTGAATTACTTGATACGGATGAGTGTTTGTGGATGTGTATGTATGTGTACCACACACGAAATACCTGCAGAGGCTGGAAGAGGGCATCACATCCCTGGAACCAGGGATGCAGCTGGACTGTTGTGTGAGCTGTCCTGTGGTTGCTGGGAACCTGAACTGGGCCTTCCACAAGAGCAGGAAGTACTCTTAGCCACTGACCTGCCTCTTCAGCCCCAAGATTTGTTGTTTTTCACTTAAGTAAATAAATCATACTTTGTTTCCTTTGCAGTGTGCTCACTGATGACATGAAGCACATACTAAAGCTACAGAATTTGATAATGAAGTCACAGGAGGTAAGCTGCCACATAGGGCTGTTTGCATGTCTTGTGTGGTTTCCTGATTTTGATTGTTCCTAATTCCAGGGTCCTGATGGGCCAGTGGGAGAGCCCCACGACACAAACACCAAAACCAGGAGATGCAACAAGCAAGAGGTGTTTTTTGAACGAGTGCACTCGGGTGTCAGCAATCTCGGGGAAAGCTGCACACCCCTCAAAGGGTTCAGGTTCTTTTTATAGAGACAAGCCGCAAATCAGCATACATGCATGCATGGGGTACAAGGTGATTGATCTCATGTTTGAGAGATCACCCAGGTATGACCTGTTCTTATTCAAAGGATAAACCATAGAATGACTTGGAAAGTCTCCAGACTGCCCGTTGGCCAGGAGTGACCCAAACAGAGCTGTTCATCTGGAATCATTTGCTCCAGGGTTGGGGGCCGATTTCCTTGTTGTGGGCCAAGACCTGTGAGAAACTTTTTTTTCATACTCTGGCTTTCTCTTGGCTGTAACTAGCCCTATTTAACAAGATCGGTCTAACATGACCATTAGCCCCCTCACCATAGTAACTTTCTTGTTTTCATAATTTCTGTTCTCTCCTCCCATGTCAATGTTCATGCCTTATGATTTTCTATATTCCGCTTGCAAGAATTATTCTCCTGCCCTTTTATTACACCCTTGCTCTGCAAACTAAAATCTTTCATGATGACATCTTGCAAGACACAAGACTGAGATGTGCAATGCAGCTGCGGGTCTGCAGATTTCTCTCCTTGGGTTGTTTTTATCCTAGAACTCCCTTTTTACTGAGGTTACAAATGATCAGCATACTTTAAGTGACTGTTTTCTTCCTTTGGCTTTGTGGAAACAGGGGAGTTGAAAACCCCACTTTAGGCTAGGTCTCTGCATACACCTGTGATCCTAACACTTAGGAGACAGAGATGGGCCAGGAGTTCAGTCATTCTTAGTTCCATAGTAAGGTGAGGCTAGCCTGAGCTATTTGAGAGGTAGCTGGGTATAGTAGAGCATGCCTCTGCCTTTAATCCCAGCATGCAGGGTGAGTTAAAGGCCAGCTACATAGCAGACTTGTTTCAAAACACCACAAACAAAAACAAAAGTAAGGAAAAGGGGGAAAAGGAGCTGAAGAAAGTCAGACTATGAGTCTCAGTGAGGCTATTGATTTCTCATTGAGTGACATGCTTTCATTTTCATTTCCGTAAACAGGAGTCTTCGGAATTAGAGCAAAAGCTGCTTGACGTTAGAAAGAAGAGACTTCGTATGTACAATGAGTTTACACTTCTTTCAGTTGTGTGTGTGTGTGTGTGTGTGTGTACATACAAATAAACACATGCCCATTGTCTGAGGCACTCATGGGGGCGTTGGCAGGCAACCATTAAGAGTGGGTTCTTACTGGGTGGGGGTGGGGCACGCCTGTGATCGCAGCACTCGGGAGGCAAAGGCAGGTGGATCTCTGTGAGCTCAAGGCCAGCCTGGTCGACAGATCAAGCGCCAGGACAGGCTCCAAAGCTACAGAGAAACCCTGTCTTGAAAAACCAGAAGAAGAATTAAAAAAGAAATTCTTTCCTTCTGCCACACCAGGTCTCATGTGTGGGAGCAAGGACCGGTGTCACTAGCCCTTGTTCTTGGTTTTTTAAGACAGGGTTTCTCTGTGTAGCCCTGGCCCACCATGGAATTCTCTTTGTAGGTCATGCTGGCCTCGAACTCAGAGATCCACCTGCCTCTGCCTCTGAGTGCTGGCATTAAAGGTGTGTGCCAGCCTTTTGAATTATTTCATTACTTTGTGGAACCCATTTTTATCTACTTTAACTGTTAACAGGGACAGATTTCTCAGCAGCTGGTAAATTTAATTTTCAAAATTTCTGAACACGGTGCTTAAGGAAATGGGGTGTGAGATGCATTTCTCTTAGTTTTTATTGTTTTAGAGCCTAAAATCATGGTCAGCTGAGGTAGCACATGCCATAAAGCCAGCACTCTGAATGCTTAGGCACAAGGATCGGGAAGTCAGGTCATGCTCTACAGTGAGCTCAAGGCCAGCGTGGGTTACATGAGAGCCAAAACTACAATATGAGTACTCTCTCTCAGTGAAGAAATCAAGGGACAGAGAAAATTACAGTAAGAAGTCCTGCCTCTCTCTCTTTGACCTCAGTTTGGTATATGTCATTATAGAGTCTTCGCATGCCCTTATGAACATATTTATACCATTCTCGGTCATAAGTATATCTGCTTCCACGGTCTTCTCATCTAATTTATTACAACATAATTCTAGCACTCAAAAGGTCAGAGGTTCATCACTTGTTCAAAGCCAGCCTGAGCTACATAGTGTAGAGCAGGCTAGGCAGGAATTGATAGCAAGACCTTCTAGCCCTTCTTAGAATATGTATACACATATATATGTATAAATACGTGTGTGTGTGTGTGTGTGTGTGTGTGTGTGTGTGTGTAATGAGATTCCTTTTGATCGAAACTATTGAAATGTATGTCTCAAAGGTCTCCCACGCCCCCTCAAATCCCTGAAACAGTCACTACACAAAAGGACAGGGATTTTTTTTTTTTTAATCTAGACTGAAGTTTACCCTCCCTCTTCTCCTCCCAGGCCATCCCCCCCCTCCCCTCCTCCATCCATTCCTCAGTTTCTCTTCAGAAAAGGGCAGGCCTCTTGTGGATATCAGCCAGCCATGGTGTGTCAAGATGTAATGAGACTAGGCACCTCCTCTTCTAGTAAGGCTGGAGGAGGCAACCCAGTAGGAAAAGGGTCCCGGGAAGTTAACAGAGTCAGAGACAGCCCCTGATCCCATAGTTAGGAGTCCCACAAGAAGACCACATTACACAACTGTAACATATATGTAGAGGGCCTAGGTCAGTCCCATGCAAGCTCTCTGGTTGTCGGTTCTGTCTCTGAGAGCCCCTGTGAGCCCAGGTCAGTTTAGTCTGTAAGTTTTCTTGTGCCTTAACCCCTCTGGCTCCTACAACCCTTCCTCCTATGGTAGGGATTTATGTTCAGTAGTTTGGAGGGCTCAGACTGACTCTAGACTGTGATTAAATGTATAGGTTGTCTCGTTGGTTACAGATTGGGTTCCTCACAAATTTACCGAATCAAGGATACTAGATAAATCATTTCACCTGCAGATCATGAAAACTGTGGGGATCCATACTGCCCTTTTAAAAGAAAACTACAGAAACATATCCATGTGGGAAACAGATACCTAATAAGAAGGACTCTTGGATTAGAAAAGCAGGTATGCCAGACAGTGATGGTGTGCACCTTTGATCCCAGCTCTTGGGAAGCATAGGCAGGCCAGTCTCTAAGTTCAAAGCCAGCCTGGTCAAAGAGTGAGTTCCAGGACAACCAGGCTTTCACAAAGAAACCCTGTCTTAAAAAATAAATAAATAAATAAATGATAATGAGAAAAGGTATATCCTTTCAGTGAATGTAGAACTGAAAATGGCTAAACATTTATGAGAACCAAGCCCCTAGGCCACAGGATGTAACTCAGTTGGAGTTTGCCCAACATGCAAGAAGCCATAAATTTGGGCCAGGCATTCTGACCCACACATGTAATCCCAACACTTGAGAGAGAGAGACAGGAAGATGGGGAATTCAAAGCCAGCCTGAGCTGTATGAGACCTATAACAAGATGGCCATGAGTCTGTTGAGGGGCTCTCAAGAATTTATTTAGGTATAGGAAGGAACAAACACTCACTGATGCAGAGTCAATAGACACCACCGCTGATCGGCTGCCCAAGGGCGGAGAGCATCAACAGCAAGCCCCCTGTTCCTTGAGACCCTGTCCCAGAGCTTGTAAGTCAAGTCCACAGCCAAGAAGCCACGCCCTAAGGCTGGTACCCCAAAGTTATTGGTAGAATGAGTTCCCACAACAAGACCCTGCCTCAAGAAAAAACAAAACAAAACAAAAACAAAAACCATAAACAGATTGTAGAGCTGGCCATATGCTCTTCAGGGAACCCAGGTTTGAATCTCCGCACCCACATGGCAGCTCATAATGTCTGTAACTTCGATCCCAGGAGACGCATCTCCCTGTCTGGGCCTTTATAGTACTTACTACACACACTTGGTACACGGATCTATCTTTGTTTATAAAGTTGTCCTATGGGTCTTGGGAACACATTTCTTTAGGTAGGTAAGTTCACATAGTGAGTTCAGGTCAGCCAGGGCTACGCAGAGAGACCCTGTCTTAAAAAAAAAAAAAAAAAACATGCCAGGTAGTGGTGGTATACCTTTGTCCCATCACTGAGGCAGAGGCAGGCCATATAATACTGTTTTACTTTTAACCTCACAGAATTAAAGCAAACTTCAAGAAGTAAGCTTTTGGAAATACAAACCGAGAAGAGCAAGCAGAAAAAGGATTTGGACAATATGGAAAATTCAGAAGTGATAAAGACCATGCAAAAAAAACTACAGATGGAGATAAAGATTACTACAGTTATTCAGCATGTGTTCCAGGTAACATGTATATACAGGAGGTATATCTATACATTACATGCCAGAGGCAGCTGGACATGGTGGCACACATCTATAATCTGAACACTTGTGAGAGAAAGGTAGAGTGATCAGGAACTCAAGACCATGGCTCAAAAGAAACAGAAACAGCCAGGAGAGTTGGATCATTGGTTGGGAGCACTGACTACTCCTCCAGAGAACTCAGGTTCAATACCTAGTACCTGTACAGCACTCACAACTACATATAACTCTAGTCCCAAGGGATCTGATCTCCTCTTCTGACCTCCATGGCAGTAGTCCTGGTGAGTAGACAGGCATGTAAATAAAAAACCCATACATATAAAATTAACTGATTCAGAATGACAGAAACAAAAAAAAAAAATGTTTCTTTTTTTGGAGTGGTGGGGGGGTTCAGACAGATTTCTCTGTGTAGCCTTCGCTGTCCAGGTTGGCATCGAACTCACAGAGATACACCTGTCTCTGCCACCCAAGTGCTAGAATTAAAGGCATGCACCACCACTGCCTGTCAAGAATGTCCCTCCTATAGGACAAAATTTTTAATATTTTTGTAATAATGTCACAACACTTTCTAAAATCTATCTAAACATTATACAATAAATAATTTACTATCATTGAGCCATTGTTTATCAAAAGGTAATGACCAGAATTCTCATTCATTTATGATCCTAATCATTTCTTCATCATCTACTCAATTGTCTGCCGCAAAAATATTTTTCACTGTTTCCAAAGGTTTAAAACATTGATGAACTAAACTTTTTTTTTTCTCTCTTTTGAAAATAAAACGTATTAGCTATGGTTACTGTTTCACCTGAGCACGGCAACGGAACTTTTGCAGTGGGGGGAGGGAGACAGAGGGGGGTGGGCAGCCATGCAAGTATTCCTAACGAGGTGGACACTGGAAATACCATCTAGCGTCATGTGAAGCAGGCTGCCACTGTTGAGAGTGAGAATCTGAGGATGAAGTCCTGTTTTTCCTCTTGATCATACTCGTAGATGCTCAGTAAACAGAGATGAAGTCAGTGCAAGGGCGCCGGGGATATCTGTGGCTCAGCTGGTAAAGTTCACCTGGCAGCCCCAGCCCACGTGGCCTTGACATACTGGTAGATACTTGTAGCCCCAGCACTGAGTAAGTGGAGGCAGGAAGATGGGCAGTTCAGTGTCACCCTCAGCTGCCCAGTCGATCAGTCGATGGATATAGCAAGTTTGGCGCCAACCTGGGCTACATGGAACCTGTTCGCAGGGGGGGGGGTATCAGGAAAGGATTTGTTAAGATCTTGTTAAATTAAGTACTTAGAATTTTTCTTTTTAATCGCAGGGCCTTATTTTGGGGAGTAAAACCAACTGGGCAGAGGACTCTGCCCTGAGGGAAATTGTGCTGCAGCTGGAAAAGGATCTCACCACAATCTAGTAAGAGTCCTGCCCTGGCGTTGGACGCGTTAGTGCCCACTCTGCCATTTAAATAGCAGAGTTCGTCGGAATGCCTGACATGCTTCGGAACCATTCTGATGCTGCAGCTCTAGGGCTCGGGTTGGTGATGTGACATGAAATCTCTTGTTTGGAATATGACCACTAAAGCGACTGGAATACTCTGCAGGAGTCTAAACGCTGTAGCCTTGGAAAGAAGGCATCTGATCCAGCTGCCACCGAATGTGGACATCTTCACAACCATTTCCCTGGTGGTCCCTTTCTGCGTGCTTTTATGCCTCTGTGCATTGGTTTGTCAACCGACACATTGGGAAAGCATCCGAACTGTAAAGGGTTGTGATTGTTCAAGTTGTGGGTCATGACTTGTTTTTCCCCTTCTCTGTTTAGCATGCATTTTACTTTTAGAAGTTTATGAATAAAAAGAATACATGTTACCATCTTATTAATTAAAAAAGAAAATTCACAGTGGTTAAGAGCACTGGCTGTTCTTGTTGTAGAGGACCCAGGTTCGGTTCCAGCACCGACATGGCTGCTCACCACTATCCGTAACTCCAGTTCCAGGGGATCTGACATCGTCTTCTGGTCTCAGCCCAGTAGCAGGCATGCATATAGAGCATGTGTGTACATGTAGACAAACACACATACATATGGAAATTTTTTTTTAATTTAAAATTACCATTTTATAGACTCTGTTCTATTTGGATAACTTCTGAGTATTTGGAGGTTGTGATAATTAGTGTTAATTATCTACCTGACAGAAGCTGTAGTCATCTGTGAGATGATTCTGTGGCATGCCTGTTGGGGATTACCCTACTTTGCAGTCTCTCTGCTTCCTGACTGCAGATGTGATATACCAAATGCCTCACACTCCTGCCTCCATGCCTGCCCTGCCAGCATGAACCATATTCCCCCATATGAATAACTCCTTCCTCCATTATTATTGCTTCTTTCCAGGTATTTGGTCAGAGCAACAAGAAAAGTAACTAATGCAGATGCTGTCTGATGACATTCTTAGCTTTAGGGTTGGTGGTAGCTAGTGGTCCAATAATTAATGCATTCCAAAGATTTACCTAGTAGTTAAAAACATGTTATTTCAGACACAGAAATGGTTGATAATGGTTATTAGTGGTACTAAAGATAGCCTCAGATAATTTTGGCATTCCGCCTCTCCATGAACCATGCAGGCTCTGGTTAACCAGGCTGCAGAGTCTTGAACATGGTGTGACTTTTGCAGGAGACTTCAGTTCATACTTGAGACGGAACACTTAAGTGGATACTCCAGAGGTTCAAAACACTGACTCCTCAGACCTCAGAACTCTCAGCCTCCAGAGCAGCTGCCCCTTTAAAAGCCAGAGTCCTTCCTTTACCCTTCCTTTCAGCACACAGCTGGCCAGAAGCCACTTAATCACGCATGCCACCCAACCCTGCAGCCAGTCTGATAACAAGGCTAAAGTTGCATCAGGACCCAGATGACAAAGGGAGAGAATACTCTAAGGAGAGTGAGAGTTAGCAGACATGCACAGGCGGGAGGCAGAAGATGCCTATGCAGCTGGATTCTAAGGATGCTTTATTTCCAGGAGCCTTGGCGTGAGATTGGATCAAAAGGCGGTCTGTGTGGGTATCTGCCTTAAAATACAAGATTGGACACAGGGTTTGGTACGCACTTACTGATATGGTGGCCAACACTGAGCTAAACTAAAACACCTGGATTGCTGTAGCAAATGGGAAAGAAGGGATTGAAAAACCTAGAGGAGGGTTCTCAATCTCTGGGCTGGATGGCCCGTTTACAGGGGTCACATATCAGATATCCTGGATATCAGATATCTACAGTATGACTCATAACAGTAGCAAAATTACAGTTATGAAGTAGCAATGGTTAATTCTGTGGTTGGGAAACTGTATGGAGAGGACCTGTATTAAAGGGTTGCAGCATCGGGAAGGTTGAGAACCACTGGCCTAGAGAATGCTAGGGATGTACATCATAGAGTGCCTGCCTGGCATGCATGAGACCCTCTAGTCAGTCCCTAGTACCATGTAAACCAGGCTTTGTGGTACATTCCTGTAACCCCAGCACTCAAGAGGAGCAGACAGGAGGATCAGAAGATCAAAGCCATGCTACCTGAGACCCTGTCTAAAACACGAAGCCCAGGGAGAGCCTGAAAACAGTTCAGGTAAGGGCACTGGCTGATCTTCCAAAGGGCTTGGATCTGATTTCCAGCACATAGCCATCTGTACTCCAACTCTAGGGAGACCTGATGCCCTCTTCTGGCTTCCATGGGCACAAGTGGGTCACAGAAGTAATAGGCCCCCAACCTTAGCACATCTGACACTATGATAGACGACCATTCAGGCCTTGGGACCCAGCATGGAGGCGGCACCACCTGCCGAAACAAAACAAAGCTAAACAAAAGGGCAAAAACCTGACCCATCTACGTATATATAGTAGGCTGAATTCTGGGTAAAAAGGCTTCTGAGAAAAGCATGTCCCTCTCCCAGGAGAACCAGCCCAAGGCAGGAGGGGAACAGAGGGCGAAGAGGACTATGAACCCCGTGGCTGCCAGGGTGGAGACTGTTGCTGCCTTGCTCAGCCTGCATTTTTTTTTTTTTTTTGAGGGGAGCGTGCATTTACTTATTTATTATGTATGTATATATGTGCCTGCATGTACACATGTCATAGCATGCCTTCAGAATCAGAAGACAACAGTTCTCCCACAACACAGGTCCTGGGGACCAGATTGAACCTACATCATGGGCTTAGTGGCAAGTGCTACTCCTCATCTAGCCAGCCACAAGCCTGCACTTTTTCCAAAGATTGCATGCTTGCTTCCTTAGTAGTTCTGATTTCTTGACACTTGCTCTACTACTGTGTCCCATCTGAATTCTTTTTCAGGAGCATAGCAATCCAGACCACAGGAGACTACAGACGTCTCTGTAAATCAGTGATTCTCAACCTGTGCGTCCCGACCCCTTCGACAAACCTCTAGCTCCAAATATATTTACATTACCACTCATAACAGTAGCAAAATCACAGTTATGAAGTAGCAATGAGAATAATTTTATGGTTGTGGGGGTCATCACAACATGAGGAACTGTATTAAAAGGTAAGGTCACAGCATTTGGAAGGTTGAGAACCACCGCTATAAACAGTAAGTAGCACATGGCTACTAAAGAGGTTAAAGATAGCCCAAGATGGGTTGGGCTGTCAATTAGCAGCATTCCATTTCCCCATAGTCATGAAGTTCAACTGCAGACCTTCAACATAAATGTACGTGGCTTTGGGAAACTTCAGTTTAATTTAGCATACAGAAAAGGAACATGGAGTGGTTTCCCCTGAGTGGTAATACACACCAGTAATCCTAGAACTTGGGAAGTGAAGGCAGGAAGATCAGAAGTTCAAGGTCATCCTTGGCTACATAGCAAATTTGAGGTCAGCCTGTGCATACACGAGACCTTCCAAAAACAAAAGAGAAAACAGCCATGTGAAGTGAACTTCCTTGATCTCCTACCCATCTACTCCATGCTTTCTCCTTTCCTGCCTCTCAAGAGTGTACCTGGCGGAGCACACCCCATTCCTCAGCCGCAGGCGGATCACTTGTTTATGCCAGCCCGGTCTATATAGTGAGGCCCAGGTCTGCCTGGGCTGTGTAGCTTGACAATGTTTCAAGGAAAACAAAACTTGGTCTCAGATCTCAGCTCCTTTCCAGTAGAGCTCCAGGGCCAGATCTAGGAAGCACTGTTCTCAACTCCGAAGCAAGCTGTCTAGCAAGGCTGAGTCAAGGTCGAGTGTCTGAAATCTGCCAGTGCTGGGCTCAGTTCTGCACTCAAAGGAGAAGTCTTTGCTCTCTACTCCTGCAATCCAGCTGGATGAGCCAAAGGCCCATACCCTCCCAACCCTCAGCCAGGGAGGCTCTGCCAAACTCCACCTCTCCTTCATGCAGGGCAGAGGGCCTGTCCCTAGTCCTCAAGCTGAAGGTGATGTGTGTGTGTGTGTGTGTGTGTGTGTGTGTGTGTGTGTGTGTATAAGTAATTTTATTTTTATTTTATGTGTATGGGTGTTTTGTCTGCATGTATGTCTGTGCCTTCAGAGGCCAGAAGAATAAAGACAGTTGTGAACCACCAGGTGGTACTGGGAATCAAACCCAGGTCCTCTGGAAGAGTAGTCAGTGCTCTTAACTGCTGAGCCATCACTTCTATCCCCTGGAAATATGTTTGAATGCTTTCTCACAGATGGGTCAACACTCTCCTGCTTTTATTATAGAATTTAGGACACCAGAAGTGTTTAGAGGAATAGCTCATGACATTTCAGCTCCCATTCCTGATTCACAAGAAGGGAGTGGTAAGAGGCAACATTTAGGATGGACCTGCTATCTGCATTTTCATGCTATTGCCACAAAGACCTTGTCAGATAGGCTGGTGGAAGTTACACCCCTTTAAACTCTACCCCTACCCCACCCCCACCCACCAGGGTCTCACTATGTTGTCCAGACTGGCTTTGAATTCAAGATCTTCTGCTGTACTCTTGTGAATGCAGGTTTACATTACTACATCCAGCTTTAACTTATTTTTCCTTCAATGCTCTTTGTTTATTAAGTGCATATAAAATATTTCCATGCTGGGGGTGGTGGTGCATGCCTTTAATTCTAGAACTCAGGAGAGTGAGACAGACCAACCTTCGTGAGTTTGAGGCTAGCTGATCTACAGAGCATGTTCCAGGCCAGCTAGGAATACATAGAAAGACACTTCCTAAAGAGTAGGATGTTTTAAAGTGGCATGTGAGCTGGGGAGATGTCTTGGAGGTTTTTCAAGACACTGATTTCTCTGTGTAGCTTTGGAGCCTGTCCTGGAACTAGCACTGTAGACCAGGCTGGCCTTGAACTCACAGAGATCCTCCTGCCGATGCTTCCCAAGTGCTGAGATTAAAAGCATGTGCCACCACCACCCAAAATTTTTGAATATTCTTAAACTGAGATGAAATGTTAATTATCAGGAATAATGAGTTGTAGAAAACAGGAATAAACTGGAATTAAGCAATGCCCATCAACAAGGGAACAGGGCTTGGCCCCCATTAAGTCAGAATTGACCATTCCTTTTGTGCTCTAAGTAAATCCCAAGTTTTTTTTTTTATTAAATTTTTTTGCACATAACATATTCTGATTATGATTTTTCCCTCCCCCCTCCTCTTATTTCCTATCCAGCTCACCTCTCATTCAGATTTATAACCTTACTGTCTCTGTTAGAAAAGCAACAGGCAATTTAGGAATACTAACCCAATACAATAAGATAAAAGAAAAACAAACAAATTGGAACAGAGCAAAATAACTAAACAAGAGAAAGAGCCAAAGAAAAACCACAAGAAATGCATAAATATGCAAACACACATGCATACACACTCACAGGAACACACACGTTCATACACATAGGAATTCCATAAAAACACTAAACCGGGCTGGGCAGTGATGGCACACAACTTTGATCACAGCACTCAGTAATCAGAGGCAGCTGGATCTCTGTGACTTCAAGGTCTACAGAACTAGTTCCAGGAAAGCTAGGGCTGTTACATAGAGAAAACTTGTCTGGAAAAACCATAAATAAATAAATAGAAAAATCATAAATAAACACCACAAACCTGGAAGCCATAATATATATGCAAAGAACCTGTAAGGCTTTTTAAAAAACAGTGTCTAGACTTAGACAAAGGTCCTCCACAGATGCTGTTGAGTTAGTTCATTTTACATTGGCCATCTGTTGTTTGACATGGTGCCAACCCTTAAGATTGGTTTGTTTCCTCGTGAGACTCTCGTGGAGAAAATTAAACTTTTCACTTGCAAATGGCTATCAATTGGAGGTAAGGTTCTGGGTTAGCGATGGGGACTCGAACCCACTTCTCCTTTGCAGCCCTGGAACCCCATCTGGGTGTATCCTATGCGCGCTGCCACTGTCTTTGTGAACTATGTGTGCCAGCCCTGTTGCATCTAGAAGGCCTTGATTCTTTGGTGTCTGCCCTCTGGCTCCTAACACTTTTTCCTCCTCTTTTGCAGGGTTCCCTTGCCCCTGAGGGAAGAGATTTGACTGAGATATCCTTTTTAGGGCTGAGCGTTCCAAGGTTCCTCATGACACATATTGTCTGGCTGTGGGTCTCCGTGTTGGTCCTATTTGCCACAGGAGGAGACTTCTCCAATGAAGGCTAAGCAAGGGAGCGATCTATGTAACTTCCAGGTCTTAATAAAATTATTTGTCAGGAAGCCACGGGATAGTGTATTACTTATGTTTCAGATTAAAATCTGAACCGCACCAAAATTAGAGACTAGCTATCTGGGGGGGGGGGGGGGCTAGATAACTTGGGATAGTGAACCAGATAGTACAACCTGCTGCTTGCTACTCAGAGCAACACTAGAGCACGGGGCGGGGCTGAGCGCCTAGGAGGGCGAGGGGCGGGGCCGGGAGCGGAGGGGTGGAGCTGGCCCTTATATCTCCTCGGTGACATCACACTGGCTCCGCCCCACGCTGCCCACTCCCGATACTTCTGCGGCTCGCCTGCGCCCCGGAAGCTGCCCCTGCTCGGGGGTCACGATGGGCAGCAAGATGGCTTCCGCCAGCAGGGTCGTGCAGGTAAAGCCTGGGCACGCCCGCGCTTGGCAGGGAGGGAAGGATGGTGCAGACACAGCAGCGGCGCCGGGGGGAGGGGGGGAGGCAGGCAGCGCGCTGTGGCCGCGGGCGGCCCTGGGTAGGGCCAGCGGATGTGTGTCTGAGAGTGGGATCTCAGGCTCCGGCGCTAAGGAGGGCCCGGCGCCGAGGGTTCGAGCCGCGCGGCGGGAGGAGGTAGCCTCTGGTAGCGCAGGCTCATGCTCGCCCGCCCGAGATCTATGGATTCCCCAGCACCTCATTAGCCCAGGAGTCTGCGGACTACGCTGCCCTCCAGTAGCTTGGCCAATCGCCGTTTAAACTTGTCGGTGATGTCCCCCACGTCAGCCAATCCGGAGGGAGGCCGTAGCGGGGCGGGGGAAGGAAGCAAATCCTGGTTCTGACCTGGTGTCCCTTCAAGGACTTGGGGATGGCCGGATAACTGGCCCCTCAGGCTGATTCCTCACCTTGAAGCTGGTGGGATCTGATCCCTTCGGACGCCTGGCTACACGTGTGGGAAAGTGTGAAATGTCATGCTAATTAAGTGTATTGCCTTCTAGTGTGTGTGTCTCGGGGTTGGTTGGCCAAGCCTTTTCCCATTGTGTTTATTTAGATAGGCAGCTAGAGTAACATTGCTAACCCACCCATCAATTACTAACTCTTGACAGCCTCTGTATCTGCTTCTCCAGCTGAGGTCTCTAACTGAATTGGAGAGGCAAAACTCATGAATGAGAGGACACAGCCTTTTGTAACTAGAGAATTTTTAAAATTCGAAATGTGGAGTATTTTCTGTGAAGTTTCACTTTTGTTTAGAAGTGCATTTTCCTCTGCACGAACGCGTCTGATAAAAGTCCTTTCCCTTGAAGTCGTCTGGGTGATGACCTTTGGTACCATCGCAATGACTAATCCTCAGTTACCCGTACAGTTGGTAGGCACTGTGCATTTGAGGGTTCTACAAGTACAAAATAGCCACCTGCTATCCATACCATACACCCTCATACATCAATAGGGCATGTGTAACTCGGTCTGAAGTGAGTACAGCAGCAGACATGTTGACACACACCGTTAATCCCAGTACTCAGGAGGCAGAGGCAGAGACCCTGTGAGGTGGAGGCCAGCCTGGCTTACAGAACAAGTTGCAGCCAGATCTACACGGTAAATAAAACCATGTCTGAAAAAGTTGATGTTGCTGGTCGCATGCCTTTAATAACAGCACTTGGGAGGCAGACGCAGGCGGATCTCTGTGAGTTCAAGGCCAGCCTGGTCTACAGAGCAAGTTCCAGGACAGGCTCTAATGCAATACAGTGAAACCCTGTCTCGAAAAACAAACAAAAAATGTTGATGTGTGTGAGTGAGGGAGAGAGAGAGAAAGAGAGAAGGAAGGAATTGATGTAATAAGATACTACAGTGTAAACATGGAAAAAAAAAGATGCTTAGAAACTCGTACTGGAGTGCTGGAGAGATGGCTTAGCCGTTAAAGGCTAGGCTCACAACCAAAAATATAAAAAAATCCTTACTTGCCAATAAGGTACAAATTAAAACCAAGAAGAACAACACATTCACCAAAATAAAATTTTGGTTTGTTGCTGGGATTTGAACCCAGGGCATCATGCATGTGCCCTACTTCTGAGCTACACAGTCTTGTGTTTGTGTCTTCAAGACAGGGTTTCTCTGTGTAGCCCTGGTTGTTCTGGAACTTGCTTTGTAGCCCAGGCTGGCCTCGAACTCAGAGTTCTACCTGCTTCTGGGAATGCTGGGACTACAGGCATTTGCCACCATTGCCCGGCTGTGTTAAAAAAAAAATTTTTTTTTTAAAGATTTATTTATTATGTATGTATGCAGTGTTCTGTCTGCATGTATCCCTGCAGGTCAGAAGAGGGCACCAGATCTCATTGCAGATGGTTGTGAGCCACCATGTGGTTGTGGGAATTGAACTCAGGACCTCTGGAAGACCAGCTAGTGTTCTTAATCATTGATCCTCATGAAATGTAATTTATTGCTAATTTATTATCCAACAGACATGTGCCTCTACCTGCAAAAAGACTTGTCTGAGAATGTTCATAGAAGAGGAAGAGAGTTCAGTGGGCCAAGTGCTTTCTTTGTTGGTATAAGATCGGATCCCCAGCGCGCATGTAAAATTGGCTATAAGCCCAGCCTTGAGGGAGGGGGTGAATCTCCAGAACTCGATGCTGGACTAATCAAATGAGTGAGTTCGGGCTCAGGGAGATACTCTGTCTCAAAATAGAAGACTTGACAGCAGTAGTGCCAGCATACATGTACACAACACATGTGAGCACACACACACATACACGCACACACACACACACACACTCTCTCTCAAACTCACACACCCAGAGGCAGATGGATCTCTGAGTAGCCTGGTCTACATAATGAGTTCCAGGACAGCCAGGGATATGTAGAGAGACCCTGTTTCAAAAAAAAAAAAAAAAAAAGAAAAGAAAAGAAAAGAAAAAAGTATTACTCTAGGGCTGGTTTGGCGGCTCAGGTTTGTCTCTAAGCCTGATGACGTCAGGTGAACCGACTCCCAAAAGTTACCTCTGACTTCTTCATGCACACACACAACATAAACAAGAAAAACTATTTTTAAATGCTTTTCTAGAGTATGCATTTCTGTAGATGGAGGGGGGGAAATGGAAAGATTTCAATATATTTTCATGGATTGATAGGCTTGGGAGTTACAAATGTCAGTTAATTTGTATTTTTCTACTTTTTCCCATTTTTACCCAGATTGTGAGTCAGAACAAGGGTTTTGTTGCTATTTTGTTTTTAAAACTCTGACCCTTTTTGTGTGTGTGTGTGTTTGTTTTTGTTTGTTTTGTTTTTGAGACTGGGTTTCTTGATGTCCTGGAACTCACTCTGTAGACCAGACTGCCCTCAAACGTAAAGGCCCACCTGCCTCTGCCTCCTGAGTGTTGGGGTTAAAGGTGTACAGCACCACCACTGCCCAGCTAACATTCCAACAACCTTCCTTCCTTCCTTCCTTTTTTTTTTTTTTTTTTTTTTTTTAAAGACAGTGTCTCTCTGTGTAGTCCTGGCCATCCTGGAACTCACTGTGTAGACCAGAGTGACCTCAAAATCACAGTGATCCCCCTGCCTCCCAACTGCTAGGATTAAAGGTGTCCCTCATCACTCTCATCAGCATTCTGGATTTCATTCTGTAATTTGTATTCATTCTTTACGTTCTTTGGAGCAGAGCGTGAGCTGTAACTTAGAATAGCGTGGCAGTCACTGATTTTTAGTGCTTTTACTCAACTACAAATTTTGAAATACTTATTAAAAAGAACCCTGAACACCAAATAGTGCAATTTAAAAAAAAATAGTTATTTTACGATACAGGGTCTCTCTACTGTGTAGTTCCTGCTGTCCTGGAGCTCCCCTGTAGGCCAGGATGGCCTTGAACTCACAGAGATCCACCTGTCTCTGCCTCCAGAGCACTAGGATTAGAGGCATGCTCGCCTCTATCTAACTTAGAACAGGTGATTTTAATTGCCTGGTGTTTGTTATTTTTGCTTGTCTGTTCTAAACTAAGTAACGTAGCAAGAAAGTCATACTTAATACAAATCAGGACATTGTCAGTCTGTGAGGCTTTCACAACACAAGCTCTCATCATCATCATTTTTATTTAAGTTTATTTTTATGTATGTATGTTTGTATGTATGAACCCAGAGTAGGTAGACGTCAAATCCCCTGGAGCTGGAGTTACAGGCACTTGTGAGCTATCGGCTGTGGGTGCTAGGAACTCAACTCTGGTCCTTTGCAAAAGCAGAAAGTGATCTTGAGCACTGAGCCATCTCTCTAGCCCATTCACTGTGTTTTGCTTTTTAATGTTTATTATTTCGATGTGTGTGGTGTACACATGCGTATGGAGGTCAGAGAACAACTTTTGTGAGTCCATCTCCTTCCACTGTGTGTTTCGCCTTGTCAGGCTTGTTTGGCAGGTGCTTTTATTTTCAGTTTGTGTGTGTGTGTGTGTGTGAGAGAGAGAGAGAGAGAGAGTATGTGTGTGCGTGCATGTGTGCTCATGCCTGTGTGAGCACGAGTCACCAGAGGTATCGTTCCCAAGGAGGTCAGAGGTATCACGTGCCCCTGGAGGTGCAGGCAGTTGTGAGCTGTCCTGAGGTAGGTGCTGGGAATGGAACTCAGGTCCTCTGCAAGAGCAGGACAGTACATGTTCTTAACCGAATCATCTCCCCACCCCCAGGAGTAATTTATTTTAATGAAGGTATTTAGTTGTGAGGACTAGTATAGGTGGTTGCTTTTATAGTTAATGAGATCATTTTTTTTCCCATGTATCTCTTTTTTTCTTTTAGGTAGTGAAGCCACATGCTCCATTAATAAGGTTCCCTGACAGAAGAGATAATCCTAAACTTAGTGGTAAGTTGTATTTGATTTAGATATGTTTTTAAATCTGCACATTCATATTTAGAAACCAGTATTATAGGCAGTATTTCTCACTTTATAATCAGGAAGGTTGTTATACCTTAGATCAAAGTGGTACCCAAGTAGCATGCAAGTAACTAGCTTTTTAAAATTTTTATTTACTTATTTTTATATAGGGTCTTACTATGTATTCTCTGTCTGACCTGGAACTGGATATATGGACCAGGCTGGCCTTGAACTCATAGAGCCCCTCTGCTTCTCAGCTATAAGACTACACCCAATTAATAAGACACTTTTTTATTATCCCTCTCTTATTGTGTTTCTGTAATAAATTATAATTTTGTATATCAGTATTTTTCCTACATGCATGCCTGGTGTCCACAGAAGTCCTAAGAGGCCATCACATCCTCTGGCCCTGGAGTTATAGGTGGTTTTGAGTCACCAGGTAGGAGCTGGGAATTGGACACAGCTCTTCAGACTTGGCACAAGTGCCTTTACTCACTGAGCCATCTCATAGCCCCTAAAGGGAAGCTGGGGAAGCGGGCTTTGACGATGTGAGTCCTTTAGAAGGTACGTGTGAACCTTCAGTGGCTGAGCTGTCTCTAGCTCAAAAGCCATTTGCTTTTCTTAGGAGTCAGGGTCTTGCTAGGTAGTCCTGCCTGGCCTATGTAGACTAGGCTGGTGTCTCAATTCCCAGTGATCCTCCTGCCTCTGCCTCCCAAGTGCTGGAATTCACAGTGTGTGCCACTATACCTGGCCTACTAATTTACTTCTAAAACTGTTTTCACTATATTGATTTTGGTGTGTGTGTGAGTGTGTGAACTTTCAAGTGTGCGCTTATCACAGTGCATGTGTGGAAGTCAGAACAGCTTACAGGGGTTAGTGCTCTCTTCTACCACATGAGTGCTGTGCCAGGGGTAAACCTCAGGTCATGGGCTTCGTGCCTTTAGCTTCTGAACCATCTCTTTAGTCATAATTCACTTTCTTTAAACTACTTTGTCAGGCATGGAGACGAACACCTGAAGTCCTAGTACTCAAGAAGCTGAAGCAGAAGGATCAGTTGAACCAAGGAATTCAAGGCCAGCTTGGCCAACATAGGGAAACTTTTCCTATACACAAATAAGAGCTGTAACTGTGACTCAGTGATTGTTTGCCTGGCTCATACAAGAACCAGCACTGCCTGACCCAAAACAAAAAAGACTACTATTTGAAGGAAGGAAGGAAGGAAGGAAGGAAGGAAGGAAGGAAGGAAGGAAGGAAGGAAGGAAAAGACACCTTTAATCCTAGCACTTGGGAGACAGAGACAGGTGAATCTCTGTGAGTTTGAGGCCAGTCTGATCTACAGAGTGAGTTCCAGGGCTACACAGAGAAACCCTGTCTCAAAAAAAAAAAAAAAAAGGAAAAATAAAAGACTACTATTTTTTCAAAAAGAACATTGTGTGTGTGTGTGTGTGTGTGTGTGTGTGTATACACATATTGAGAGAGAATTGTAATAGTTCAAGAAGCCATGTATAGTGGTATATACTTACAATTTTAGCCCTCAGAAGGTTGAAGACTGCTACAAGCAAATTGAAGAATGACATGAATTATTTCTTAAAGTTTTATTATTTAACGTGTACGGGTGCTTTGTCTGCATGTATGTCTGAGTACCACATGCAGGCCTGGTGCTACAGAGGCCAGAAGAGGGTGTCAGATTCTCTGGAACTGGAGTTACAGGCAGCTTGATTGCCCCTGTGGGTGCTGGGAATAAACCTAGGGCCTCTGGAAAAGCCAAGTGCTCTTCACCGGCCCCAATGACCTTTTTTAAAAAGAATGGCTTGATTATTCAAATAATTCAAATAGTAACATTTATTTATTTATAATAAATATTTCAGAAGATAACACCTAAAGACACCTGGATAATTTGTGTAACCTGCTTTTCATTTCAGCCTCAGAAGCGTTGCGATCTGCTGGGCTACCCTCCCACTCATCCATAACCTCACAGCATTCTAAAGGAAGTATATCCCCAGATTTGCTGATGCATCCAGGGCCACCAGACACTGCAGAAATACTAAAAACATTACCTCAGAAATACAGAAGGAAACCTATATCTCAAGAAGAAATGGAATTTATCCAGGTATGTTGCCTCTCTTCAGCACAAGGCTGTGCAGAGTACCATGACATTTTGGCTTTGCAATGGGCATTTGCTGATTTACACATTCTTCCCTTTGTTTGTCAAATGGGATTGTAGCTAAGGGAGATGCAGAGATAAGCCAGGGCTGTCAGACATAAATTGCTGTTGGGATTCTCAGTAAGTGCGCATGACATAAGAAGAAATAAACCCATAGGAAGGGCTGGGAAATGTAGCTCATTAATAGAATTGTCCAGCATGCGCCAAACCCTGGGTTCAGTCCCAACAAAACATAAAACCACATGAAAATAAGGGGCTTCTAAGGCCATGGGAAATTTGAGGCTAACTGATGTTAGTTCTAGAAATTTCTATGTAGACCAGGCTGGCCTCAGACTCACGGAGATCCTCCTGCCTCTCCCTCCCGTATGCTGGGATTAAAGAGTCCACTACTGCACCCAGCTTTGTCATCAATATTGAATCCTTTCTATATCTGAATTTATAACATTTATTGTAAGTGCATCCAAACTACACAAAACCTTGGATTTTATTTGTTTGTTTTTTTGAGACAAAGTTTCTCTGTGTAACAACTCTGGTTGTCCTGTTACTTGCTCTGCAGACCAGGCTGGTCTGGAACTCACAGAGATCTACCTTCCTTTGCCTCAATAGTGCTGGGACTAAAAGTGTGCCTAGCTCCTTTTTTTTTTTTTTTTTTTTTTTTTTTTAAAATAAAATCAAAGATGTCTAGGCCTGGTGGCTCCCATCTGTAATCTCAGTTCTCAGGAGGCTGAGGAAGGAGGGTTGCTGTGGTTTCTTAGAGGCCAGTCGGGCCTGTAGAGTGAATTTCTAGGCCAGCCTAGGTTACACAGTGAGACCTTGTCTCAAAATCCAGCCAAAGCCTGAAGATCATTTTCATTGTATAAATTGTGGGCAATTTGTCCTTTATCTCACTGCTCTATGCTTCTCTTTTCAGCGTGGAGGTCCAGAATGATCTGTGGCTGCTGTTTGTCGTCAGACGAAAGGGTTATCTTTACAATAAAGGACTTCCAAAATGTCAAGTGAAAATTGTATATTAAAGAACCTTAATAAATATTCTGTGAAAAGAATGAAGTATCGAAACTCTAGATGGCCACTTGTATCTCCTATATGTGTCTTGGTCAGCTTCTCCACAAGCTGTCCTGCACACCTATTTAAGTCCCATTTTCACGTTAGCCTATTAACTTACTCTGTTACCAGTGATGAGCTATTAAAAGCACACTATCTTGTAAATGATCAGATTTCCTCTTTTCTGTTTGTTTAGCCTTAAGGATAATTTATGAAACATAATTCCTGCTATAAGGAAGTTTTTTTCCCCCTGAAGTTAGATGAAGTACAGTGAGGTATTTCCACTATTCTCCATTATCTGGCTTTTTTTCATTCACAAGGTTATCTGACAATAACTGATGTAATCATAATGTGATTTAAATAAAAGCTGGCGGTGGGATTAAGACTATGAAGATGGTATAGAAGATTATTTGTACTATATTTGTACCAAGTGTCTGTACTGTAGGGATTGTCAGCAACTTTGAGTAAGTGAAACCCTGAGTGAATGTTAAACATGAGCATGGCCATGGCCAGGAATCCCAAGGCCTCAGCCCCACAGGAATGGTAAAGCCTTACTTGTATGTGGATGGAGGTTTCTATTTAGCCTGGTCCCGAAGAAGCCATTTGGACCCAAATAATCACACAGAGACTTATTTTAATTATAAACTGGCCAATGGCTAAGGCTTCTTATTGGCTAGTTTTCTCTTAATTATTAACCCATTTCTAATGAACTATGTATTGCCATGAGGCTGTGGCTTACCCAGAATGCTTTGGCATATTACTCCTTTGGTGGCTACGGGGCATCTCTCTGGCAACTCACTAAGTTCATCTTCCCAGAATTCTCCTAGTCTGGTAGCCCTACCTATACTTCCTGCCTGGCTACTGGCCAATCAGCATTTATTCATCAACCAATAAGAGAAACTTATATTCACATCATCCAGAAGGACATCCCCCACCACTGGGTAGGCTCAGAGGGACCAAGTATTAGTGTTTACGGATGATTGATCAGTGTGTGCAGAGATTAGGGGCTGCAGCTTCCTGATGTTTTTCCAGCCTGAGGTTGATGTCCTACAGAGACCTAACAAGACTAGCTCACTCCTCCCTGTGTGCTGCACCTGATAAACACAATGAGGTTCTAGGAGCAGCAGAGCCCCAGTGTTAACTGTACGTGTGTCTGTGTGTTTGGCATTTCTTCATGGCCTCACTATTCCTAGTCAGGGTTCCAGAACCCAAGCCCAATAGGTCCCAGCAGTGTATAAAGCAAAAAATAATAGGTAAGATGATAGTTAATAACAGTAGTTAATAATAGGTAAAAAATAATAGCATTGGAACAAGTACTAGAAATTGCTACTTACTGTGTTTAGGATTCCTTTAGCTTACTGTTTGTGATGTTTTTAAAGCCTGATAATTAACTTCACTAAATATGTCTTGAGAGTCTCAAAAATCCACCTTACTAGGCAACCAATGAAACTGTAATGCGTTCTCCTGCTAATCTTAACAAGGCTGACTAAATCCTCTTCTATGCTTCCATACTTGATTTCTAGAATATACTTTATAAAGACATCATAACGAGTAACCCATGATCAATGGAGACTAGAACTGTGTAATCTTCTACTTTTGTTCAATCACCTGTGGGCTAATCTTTTTAAATCATTCCAGAGTGGATTTGTTTTTCTTGTAAGTTCTGTGCTGTGACTGTTACCCTGGTGAGAAATAAGGGTTTATATTTGATGTTACTAGTATGCTATTCTGGTAACATGAAAAATATATAATTCCTTTTTTTTTTTTTTTTGTTTTGTTTTGCTTTGCTTTTGTTGTTTGAGACAGGGTCTTACTATGTAGTTTGGCCTGGAACTCTACACTATACTAGCATCATATGCTCTGTTGCTTACTCCACCGTGACTCTAAAAATTAAGATCCCTAATTTTTAGAAACATTAGTTGCAAAGAAGGAGAAAAGAATTGCCATTTTGACAGCTACTTTCAGCTCAGAACTTTGGGATCAGCCTGTTAGTAGATCCCGTGGATTAGGAATCAAAATTTTTGTATCACTCTAGTGAAGCCAACTCTCTTACCACAGTCATTCACCAGCAGACCTTGTTGATTTTCCTTGCCCTTTCAGTCTATAATGTAGTCTTAGCAAACCTTTAAAGTATCATCTGGGCCCAGAGAGATGGTCCAGCAGGAAAAGACTCCTACCATCAAGCCTGAAGACTTGACCTTCAAACATGTACCATGGTATCCCCACCATAATGACAATAAATAAAATGGAATAAAAAATTAATCTAACTCTATTGCTAAAGTTCATTGGATTTAGGGCTGGAAAGAGCTCAGGTCAACTGCTTTTCCAGAGGACCTGTGTTCAATCTTCAGCACCCACATGGCAGCTAACAGCTGTCCTTAACTCCAAGGTCTGACCCCCTCACACAGACTCACCTGCAGGCAAAACACCAATGTACATAAAATATAATTTTTAAAAATCCAATGCACTTACAATGATATTGTTCTGCCCTATTTAAAACTTGGAAGTAAAACTTGGAAGCCCCAGCTGTGTCTCGATCCCTTTCATTGCACCATCAGGCCTCAGTTAATTTTTTTTTTAATTCTTAGACAGGATCTCACTATGTAGACCTGGATAGTCTGGACCTGATTACCTTTTAATCTTCCATTACAAGGGGATGTTATGGTCCACAATAATGTTTGGCATGTAGAAAGCAATACATATTTGTTAATTCTTTTTAGTTATTTTGAGACAAGATCTCTGAGTATCTCTGGCTGGCCTGGAACTTACTGAGTAGATCTGCTGGCCTCAAACCCACAGAGATCTGCCTATCTCCGCCTCTGTAGTGCTGGGATTAAAGGCATTCATGCATCTTATAGGAGTTTTTTCTTTTTCTTTTTTAATTGTAGCATGATTTATGTTAACTAAGAAGTTGGATTCCGGTCACAACCAGGTTGGTTATGTTTTTGTTTCGGAATTTTGTGAATCATAGAACTCCCAATGACCAATAGCAAAATATGTTTTCGTTGTTGTCTGTAGCCCAGGCTCTCCCGGTAATTGCAAGCTTCCTGCCTCAGCTTTCAGAGTGCTTAAGCGCCCAACCATGCCTGGTGGAACAGGGATGTGTGGGACACAAGAACACGTAGCAGCAGAAAAAAAAAATCTTACTGGTTAAATGAGCTTACTTTACCTTTTCATAAGGGTTAAAGCACTTCTTTATGCCACCTAAAACCAGCCAGTTCAGGAAATCTGGCTGCTAGTTTCTTGGAAAGTCAGATAAGTAACCTAGTTTCTGCTTGGTGTGGGATTTCAGAATGCTTGACTCCCTTTTGGTCTGGTAAACTCTGTGTAGAAGCTCAATTCGAACGATCTCATAAATTTTACTAACGAAGGTACTAAGAGGCTTGGAGATGGCTCAGCTCTTAGAGCACTTGTTCTTCAAGAAGACCCACGTTCAGTTCCAGCACCCACATGGTGGCTCACAGCCATCTGTAACTCCAGTTCCCAGGGATCCAATGCCTTCTCTTGACCTCCACGGGCACTGTACACACATTAAAAGCAAAGGTGCTAAAAACTTTTGGTTCTTGCCTCTGAAGTAATTTCGGCTTCATTATTTTGTTTCCTCTTGAGAAAAAAGCTGAACAATGTGAAAACCAACTATTAAATCTACCAGGGAATTGAGGTCTTAGCAAAACCACCGTCTACCCTGCAAACTGAAGCAAAAATATGACTCAAACGCAAACCATTGCTGGTAGATGGGCTTGCCGCGTAATTACTAATCGCATAGCTGACGTTATTCTCAAACGCTCTGATGTTTCCCTTAATTCGTTAGTTTTGATTTTATAGAAGGCCAAAGTCCTACTCCATAACATATCGTTCAGCAGGGCTGAGTTTTGCTTCCCTGGGCCTGTTTCTTCACTGATTAACCTTTAAGCACTTGGCTCTCCTTGGAAGGAGCGGTTTGGCGTCCACAGCGGATGAGGCGGCAGGACAAGGCAAAGCAAGACTCCGCCGTCTAAACTCCGCGTCAGAACGCTGATCTGTCCTTGCAAGCAAATCCAAGTCAAAAACACAAACAAAGCCAACAGTAACAAACTGACAGCCATCTAAGGCGCGTCGCTTCCGGCCTCAGCAGCGGGCGGAGGGTACAGCTCCTAGCCGGGTTCCGCTTCCGCAGGGCTGGCCCCGCCCACGGCGGAAGCGTGGGGGGCGTGGGCGGGGCCAGTGGGCCGCGAGCGTCGGGGGGCACGGAAGTAGCTGTTGGGAGGTTGAAATTCCTGCGGGGTGGAGGCCTGGGCTTTCTGCCGGGGTCTGGCCTCTCACTCGCATGGCCGTGGACGTGAAGTCTCGAGCGAAGCGCTATGAGAAGCTGGACTTCCTCGGGGAGGGCCAGGTGAGGCCGTGGTCGCGCTCGCACACCCTGGTCGGCCGAGGCTGGCGCCCGAGCTCCCCGCTCCCTGCTGGGCAGGGGCCGCCCGGCCACGGCCAGCCGGGCCGCCCGGGGGAGAGGCGAGGCCAGCCGGGCCGCCCGGGGGAGAGGCGAGGCCAGCCGGGCCGCCCGCAAAGCCCCTCTCACGAGTTTGTCACTGTTTCCCCCTCCAGTTCGCCACGGTCTATAAGGCCAGAGATAAGAACACCAACCAGATCGTCGCCATTAAGAAAGTGAGTTGACCTTTTTGCTTTGTTTTTTTTTTTTTTTACGTTGCTTTCGCCCCGGGCTTTGTGTCTCGCTTGCCACGTAGCCCTCGCTGGCACCGAGCTCGCTATTGCAGACTCAGCCGGCCTCGAACGTGCTGCTGGCCTCCCGCTTCTGCCCGGCCTGCGAGTGTTGGGTTTGGAGGCGGGTGCCACCACGCCAGGCAGCTCTTGCAGAAAAAATTACTTGGGCCTGATATATTGTCACTTGATTGGTGGGGTCTTTGATGAGACAGTCTTGCCGTGTGGTCCAGGTTGGTCTCCAGCTCGAGGACATCCCCCTGCCTCTGCCTCCCGAGTACTGGGATTGCAGACATGCGCTACGTTTGGCTTCGGTTGTTTGTTTGTTTTTTCGAGACAGGGTTTCTCTGGGACTAGCTCTTGTAGATCAGGCTGGCTGCGAACTCACAGAGATCCGCCTGCCTGTCTGCCTCCCGAGTGCTGGGATGAAAGGCGTGCGCCACCACGCTTGGTTTTAATATGCTTGGCTTCGTTTTAGTATGCACGGTCACACTCTGATGGTAGGAGTTACACGATTTCTAGAGACAGTAATATTTGTTAGTGTCTTGTGTTTCAAGATGGAACTCGAGCTGAACCAGTTTTTGTGCAAACAATATAAACCAGAACTGTTTTGCTCCGTAGAATTGGTTGTTGGGCAAGGAGGCAGGTAACACCATTTCCTCAATTCTTTTGGATGCCATGGTCTTTCCAGGCCACAGGTTGTTACATCTCTGTTATGTGTACAGAAAGGATTTCATTGGTTTTAACGTGGATGTAGGGCACTTTCTAAAATGAGTGCAGTGATGTTTAAACTTGAATTCGTCGACACTTCTGACCTGGCTCCTGTGTGCCAGACACTTGACTTACTTTCCCGCGTCGAACCTTACAGCCTGTAAAACAGGTAAAGGTGTTCTTGTTTCCCCCTTGAGGTGCCTGAGGCTGGCCAGATGACTTCCAGATCACACTGCCAGTAATTGCTGAGGCTGGGGTTAGAGCGCAGCTGTTGGCTGCTCTTTCTCATACTTGGGAAATCTGTAGCCATCTTAGGGTGAGTCTGATTTTCCTCACACAACGCAGGGCCTGTTGGTGTCACCGGCCTCCATATTCCTGTGCTACTTTGGACGCTCTGTCCTTTGTAAACTCTTTCCTCCCTTGAAGTGTGACTGATCAGGGTTCCATCTTCACCCCCCCCCCCCATCTTCACTCATCAGTGCCTGGCTTGTTGGCTTCCTTTCAGGTATCTTCGGCTATTATTGTCTTTGTTTTGAGAAATTATTTTTGTATGAATAATTCCCAGTGAGGTGTCTGTGGAACTTGGACAACTGTGGAGCTGGTTCTTGTTCTCTTTCCACCTTGTAGGTTCCAGGGATTGGATTTTGGCTTGGCGGCAAGCGCCTTCACACAGTGAGCCATCTTGCTGACCCGTTTTGTTTTGTTTTGTTTTGTTTTGTTTTGTTTACTTCTCGTATTCTTGGTTTCCAGATTGTGCTTTGTGGTGTACTGCCGTATTTCACTAAACTCTTAATTCTCTTAGCTGGGTTTGGTAGTTGCCGCCTGTAATCCCAGATGTTCCAAAGGTTGAGGCGGGAGGATCGTGGCAGTGCTCCCGGCACTGCGGAGGGAGAGACAGGCAAATCCCCAAAGCCAGCTCCGTGGATATCATGCACGCACACACACACAAAATTCAATACCTGCCTGGGCTAAAGAATGCCTTTCAAGGCCAGCATAGGCACCATAGTAAGACCGTGTCTGAAAGTAAAAAAAGCTAAAAGAGGCCTGGGCTCATTGGCAGAGTATGTGCCTTGTTTATGTCAGGCCCACTGCTTTGGAAAACAAACACCAGCAGCAAAACACCAGAGATCCTGAATGTCTCTTTTCTTGAGGCAGGAGCTCTGGCCCAGGTGGTCTAGGTTGGCCTGGTACTCATCCTATATCCCAGGCTTCTGCTTCGGCCTCTCAAGATAGCTTACTGGGGGGAGCCAGTCCCCAGCATTCCATCCTAACCCAGTTGATGTCTTTGTCATCTTCAGTTCCTACCCCAGCCACACTAACCTCTGTATTCCTGTGGACATGTTAAGTTTGTTTTAGTCCCGGGTTCATTGTGTTTTCCTCTAGAGCTCGGTGTGGTTGAATTTTTTAAAAAGATTTTTTATTTATTATGCATATAGTGTTCTGCTGGCATGTCATAAGAGGCACCAGATCTCATTATAGATGGTTCTGAGAATTGGTTTTCTGGGAATTGAACTCAAATCCTCTGGAAGAGCAGCTAGTGCTCTTAACCTCTGAACCTATCTCCAGCCCCATGAGATAGTATTATTTAGGCTTCTCCTCCACCAGAGGTCCTTCTCTGTTAATTGCAGCAAAACAGATGATTCCACTTTCCTTTCCTGTTCTTTGCATTTTTCATTCTCTGTCATCTTCGTGTCATTATCATAATCTGTAATTCTTCCATCTGAATTCATTGTTCACTCTAATAAATAATTCACATTGTAACTGGACTGTGATGAGCACATTATAGACATTTGTTTATTATATGTTTATTATGTTTGTGGTGTTTTGCCTGTGTGTTTGTACATATATATATATATATATATATATATGCCAGAAAAATGCCTTATCCCCTGAGACTGGTGTTACAGATGGTTGTGAGGGGCCATGTGGGCACTGGGAGTCAAAACGAGGTCCTCTGGAAGAGCAGCCAGTGCTCTTCACCACCGAGCCTTATTACCTGTCCTGACTTAGCTGGATACAGTGGAGTGTGTTCTCAGGAGGCAGGTAGGATCATCGAATCTAGGAGTTCAATCCAGCCTGGGCAAACAGTGCACACTCTGTCGAATACGAAACCTTAGTTGACTAGTAGTCTTTCCACATGGTTGACATAACTGGGTTTTGTAATTGTAAGTAACTGCTTTGTACAAGACTAAACAAACTTCCTAACATAGTGTGTTATGCTTAGTGTTAACTGTTTCTTACATACATTTTGTAAGTTTGCTTTGTGAAAAATATAGGATTATAGGACATATTACCAACTATATATGTTATTTTTTTTCTTCCAAGTATACTAAATTGAAGTAATTTTAGGGAAACAAATTACAATACCCTTAGTTATCCGGTATGTATGTAACTTGAAAAGATGAAAGGAGATCTGGGTATGGTAATTAACGAAGGTAATCCTAGCATTTCAGAGGCTAAGCTGAGGATTTGAAAGTTAGGGCCAACCTGGACTACATACAGCAAGACCCTTTCTCAAAAACAAAGCAAAACAAAAACTTAAACTAAAAGAAAGGGCGGTGGTGCATGGTACAGCCTTAATTCCAGCACTTGGGAGGCAGAGGTAGGCACATTAATGTGAATTTGATGCCGGCCATCTTCAGAACAAGGTCCAGGGTGGCCAGGGCTACACAGAGAAACCCTGACTCTTAAAAAAAAAAAAAAAAAAAAAAAAAAAAAAAAAAAAAAGGAAGGAAGGAAGAAGAGTCTGGAATGTAAAGGAGACAATTTGTGTGTGTTTACATCCATCACAGCATGCCCTGAAGGCCAGAGAACTACTTGTAGGAGTTCTTCCCTTCCACATTGTGGGTTCAGGGGGTTAACATTGGGATGTAGAGTTAGCAGATGAGCCGTGTTGAGTTCAGTTATTTTTATGTGTGGTTCAGAAACTTAAAGTAGATGCTTGATTCATTTTGGTTCTGCTGTGCAGGAGCTCAAACCCTGCCTTGCATGTGTGACTCATTAGCTCCTGAGCAGTACCTTCAGCTTTCGGATTTCCAGTTCTCCTGATGTGCATATTGCTACATATTTTACTGTGGCTAGTTTTTTTAAGCCGGAGTCTAGAGCTCAGTGTGTAAACCTGGGTAACCTCAAACTCAAGAGAAGTGCTGGGATTAAAGGAATGCACTCCTAGTCCCAGCTGTTTTGATTTGAGGCAGAATCTTGCTGTGTAGCCCAGGCCTGGCCTCCCAGGTATTCACCATGTCAGTCCTGCTTGCGGCTAAATTTTTGTGCTTATAGATTATATATTAATACACCATGATTCTTGTTCGTTTGGTTTTATTTCTAGAATTTTTGTTACTGTGTATCAGTGCTTTGCTTTGCTTCCTGTGTACGCCTGGTTCCATCCAAGGTCAGAAGTGAGCATGAGACTCCACTGGCACTGGTAGTTGTGAGCTGCTCTGTGGGGCTGGGAATTGAACCTAGATCCTTTGGAAGCAGTCAGTGTTCTCAACCCCTGAACCCTCTTCATCCCCCTATTTTTATTTTTGCTTTATTTTATTTTTAAATTATTATATATACATAAGGTCTGCCTCCAAGTATGCCTACACTCCAAAAGAGGGCGCCAGATCTCATCATAGATGGTTGGGAGCAACCTTGTGGCTGCTGGGAGCAGCCAGTGCTCCTGACCCCTGAGCTACCTCTCCAGCCCTCCCTTCACACATTATTAATGGATGTCTTTCGGTCTCCCCCTCCTTTCTCTCCCAGATCAAACTTGGACACAGGTCAGAAGCTAAAGATGGTAAGTATCAATTATAATTTGATAAAACGGGAGCTGTGTTTATTCTGATCTGAGGAAAATGTCAGTGAGAGCTAATAATAATTCTATAGCATTATCACAGTGTCTCTAGAACAGTGGTTATCAACCTGTGGGTCTCAACCCCTTTGTCGATCAAACATCTCTGTCAAATCTCTGTCACAGGGTTGCGTATCCCATCTGTCCCACATATCAGATATTTACATTGTGATTCATAACAGCAGGAAAATTACAGATATGAGCTAGCAATGAAAATAAATTTATTGTTGGGGTCACCACCTCCACATGAATATAGCATTAGGAAGGTGGAGAAATACTGGCCTAGAGAGTAAAGAAACAGCATTTAAGCATTGCAAGGATTCAGATTATGTAAATGGACGGCAGTGAGCTTGTTGGGCTCTTGTCTGGATGTCCTTGGTACTGTTTTGGTTGTTGTAAGTTATTACCTTTTGATTTCTGGTTTTCTAATTGCTTTGGAGAATTTAAGGATACATCTTCACGGAAGAACATAAATTTCCTATAGAATGGCACATTGGGAAAAGATTTACTTCTTATTCTCAAGCCTCTTAGAGTGTCAGGCCCTGTTTAGCCATCAAATACTTATGAAAAAGTCATAATTTTGATTTTGATCCTTTGTATTGAAAAAAGGGTATCCTTAGTGCTAATTGGCTGTTATCATATATAGTCTTCCTCTGATGTTTGTTGGATAAGAGAAAAGCCCCTATACTTGTCTGCATATGTTATTGTAGTGATTTTCAGAATGATACATAATATAGAAATAAGTACTTTCTTCACCATTTTTTCATAGACATGTTAAGCCACTTTAAAACAATGTGAGAAAAAACTTTCTCGTACAGGTAGTAAAAATTGTTAATTTTTGTGTGTGAAATGTTTATTTCCTGTAATGACATTTCCTAAAAAATACATTTATTAAAGGTTGGAAGTTTCAGAATTATTTTTTTGCGTTTTTCCCCCATAGGTATAAATAGAACAGCCTTAAGAGAGATAAAATTGTTACAGGAGCTAAGTCATCCAAACATAATTGGTGTGAGTATGATCTAAGTTGCTTGCTTTTGGGTTAAAAGTAGCACCTTGCTTTGAAATACTTCTTTTTGCCTCCATAAGGGCTAGAATGTGTTGTTTGAATTTTTATAGGCTATCCAATTGAAAACGTTTGTGGTGTAGTAGTGCCTGCCTCGGACAGTCACACATTCAGTGGATGGCAGATGCTATTTAGAAGATACTTTTTTCTTATTTTGTTTTGTTTGGTGGGGTTTTGTGTAGTATACCCTTGAACTCATGGGGTCAGGTGATTCTTCTGTCTTGCCGCCTAAGTAAATAGTGCGGTAGGGCATCCACCAGACAAGACCGCTTGGGTATGGGTTTAAGTCAGTAGAAAGTCTTCCAGCTGGTGACTACACAGAGTGTTTGGGAGCCCAGTGTAGCACCAAGTCTGTCAAGGTTAGTACATTTTCGCAGAACTATGAACTTCGATGGGTTAGGCTTTTGTTTTTATTTTGGCAGGTGGTACTGTATGTATGCTGAGTTTTATGACCTGAATGGTACTTTCATCATGGAGTTAGTTGTGCTAAGGTGTGGGGGCCCTGTTACATGCAGTTTTTACTATAATTGTTGTACTGTAACTGCAAGTGTATATCACTGTACCCAGCAACAATTTTCTTTAGCATTTGCTTAGAAATTTTTTTGTTTTCTTTGAGACAAGGTTTCTCTGTAGATCTTTCTGTCCTGGAAGTCACTCTGTAGCTTCAGACTCAGAGATTTGTCTGCCTCTGCCTCCTGAGTGCTGGATTAAAGGCGTGCACCACCATGCATGGCAAAAACTTTCAAAAATTAAGAATGTTTTTCTTTTCTCATACTTTGTGTACATGTGTGTTTTCACATTTTTTTCCTATGTCTGTATTTGGAGGCTTGAGGTTCATATAGGATATCATTTTCTATTACTTTTTCATCTTATTCACCAAGGCAGAGTCTCAGTCAAAACCAGAGCTCAGTGATATGGGTAGTTTTGCTTGTTAACTTGCTCTGGGGAACTCCTGTCTTGACCTTCTGATGCTGTATTGCAGTCACACCTTCCTGCCTGGTGTTTACATGGTTTCTAAAAGCTCACCTCTGCTCCAGTCCTCATACTTGTATGGCAGGGGCTTTAACTGCTAAACTCTATCCCCAATCCCAGGAATTTTTTAAAACTAGAAACAAAGTTGAAATTTACTTGCTTTTTGTTTTTGGTTTTTTTGAGAAAGGGTTTCTCTGTGTAACAGACCTGGCTGTCCTGGAACTTGCTTTGTAGAACAGGCTGACCTCAAATTCACTGAGATCTACCAGCCTCTGCCTCCCAAGTGCTGGGGTTAAAGGCATGTGCCACCACCACCAGGGCTATGAAGTTTTCATTATTTATTCAAATACTCTGGAGGTTTGAATATTTTATTGAGTTTGTTAAATAAAGTTTAATGTTTTTGTGCCTGAGAAAACTTAACTCCTGTTGAAAAATGGGGCAATTGTTATAGTTAATAAAAGGACTTTCAGTTTTACCTGAAATTACCAACAGTTTAAAATTTTAAGCCAGGTAGCACACATTTTCTATTATAATTCCCTTAGAAGTAGAAGCAGGAGGGTTATGAATTCAGGCCAGCCTGAACTACATAGCAAATTCTAAATCAGCCTGAATTACATAGTGGTATCTGGTCTTCAAAGTCCAAAGATTGGGGGTGCGGGGGACGGGAATGACAATGACATGGACATGTGTCTTTGTGATAGAACACTTGCCTAGCATGCTCAAAGTCCTGGGTTTACCAGTACTATGAGGGGGGTTGGGAGTGGGAAAGCAAACAAATTGTTTTTTAAAATTACTTCACTAACAGTAAATTCCAACATTAAGTAGAGAACGACAATTTAACTGCTTTGCTTTGCTTTACAGCTCCTAGATGCATTTGGACATAAATCTAACATCAGCCTTGTCTTTGATTTCATGGAAACTGACCTGGAGGTAAGATTAAGCTACCTAGAGACTTTCCCCACTTAATGAGGATGGACCCTGCATGTTTTTCTGTTTAAGAGGATACTGACAAAGAATTGCTTTCTTTTGCAGAAGTCAAAAAGATCTCTGCTTTCTTTATATTTGGTTGTATTTCTGGTTATTAAGTACAGAGATTTAGATTTTTAAAAGTCTCATGCTAGTCATTAATTGAATCTTGGAAAAAGTGACAATCTTTTCCAAGAATTTAAAACAATTAGAATTCTCAGACATTGCTGGTTTGAATGTGGTAGTATTATTTATTACAGTAACTTTGAAAAATAGAACAATTTGTTATAAAATTAAAGACACATTTACTAGCAGATCAAAGGTAGAAGGGATTTTTGTGACACAGCATTAACTAGTAAAAGAAATTTCACTAAGTATGCATACTGGTGACTATGCTATATCTTATTATAGGTCTTAGCATCAGTACCACTAATTGACCAGTATTATATTATGTATAATAACATCAGTAAAATTGCAGTCACTAGTAATAATAATGTAATAAAATCAACTGATGTTTGCTATTTATCTGAGAGAGAAACATTGCCAACGCAGAAATTCCTTGGTGTATGGATTTCACTAAAGTTGGAAACAGCTAAAATGTGCTTCATCTGGTAGATTTTTAAACAGATTAGTTGCCCATCCAAGAAAATAGTGCCCAGGAATAGATAGGAAGCAATAAGTCTAACAATGAACTGATGGAGGCAGAGCTTACAGATGGATATGGACTCAGTCCTTTAACCATGAGCATACATTTTCACTTTCCTTTCCCAGGCAATCCCGAGCCTGATAGTCTTAGTCTAATTACACCTGCAAGGAAATGGTTGGTTCCCTTTGATTTACCACAATTACTCGTGTTTCTGTGGGGGGGGGTTGGTTTTTGTTTTTGTGTTTGTGTATCCTTGGCCGTCCTGGGCCTCCTGAGTGGGACTAAAGGCGTACACCACTGCCCTTGGACATTATTTGGGTTTTTGAGAATGGTATTAGGTTTTAGGTCATGTGTCTGTTTTTAAGCAGACTCTTCTCGGCCAAGAGGCTACAGTGTGGAGGTCTCAGGTAGAGGTTAGGTCAATCTTACTTTCATCATGAGACCTGAGCTGGAATGAAGTGATTTCCCAAAGTAATACTGAATGTGCTTGTCAGAAGGGGTAAGCAAAACTCAGACATTCAGTACCCCCCCCCCTTTTAATATTTGCTTATTTTATGTGCATCCATGTTTGCCTGCATTTGTGTCTGTGTGAGGCTGTCAGATCCCCTGGAATGGGAGTTATAGTTGTGAGCTGCCTTGTGGGAATTGAACCCAGGTCCTCTGGAAGAGCAGTCAATGCTCTTAATAGCTGAGCTGTCTTTGCAGCCTTCACATTTAGTGCTTCTAAGCCAGAGTTATAGGATATACATACACAGTTGCTTTCTCCTGAAATCAATGGTGCCTTTTTGTTTTTTGAGATGGGGTTTCTCTGTATAACAGCCCTGACTGTCCTGGACCTCCATCTGTAGACAAGGCTGGCCTCAAACTCACAGAGATCCACTTACCTGGGGGGAGATGCCATTCTGTAAATGTGTTTCTCTTATTGGTTAATGAATAAAGCATTGTTGGCCTATAGGAAGGCAAGATAGGCCGGACTAGGAGACAAGGGGAATTCTGGGAGAGGTAGTAAAGAGGAGTCAAGAGGTGTGTCAAGAGAAGAATAAGAGACCCTCCCTCCCTCTCTTCTTCTCCCTCCCTCCCTCCCTCTCCATGTGGAAACACCTAGATTGATAGAAATGAGTTAGTTAATAGCTAAGACAGAGCTAGCCAATAAGAAGCTCTAGCCATTAGCTGACAGCTTTATAACTGTTTAATAGAGTCTCTGTGTGCTGTTTTGCGCTGATGGTGGCTTGGGACCAGGCTGTCAGGAGAATGCCTCCCCTGCTGCAACTGAAGGCATGCTCCCCCACTCCCTGGCTCAAGGGTACTTTTTAACCACCTGACTTTGGAAATTCATGGGATGCCTTCTAAAGGACAGCTGGATAATCTCTCATAGAAATACTTGTGTATGGATACATTCATTTTCAATCTATATATTTTATTTGTTAGAGTTCACTTGGGATAATGAAACATACCTGTATGTTGACTGTCTATAGGTTATAATAAAGGATAATAGTCTTGTGTTGACACCATCCCACATTAAAGCCTACATGTTGATGACTCTTCAGGGATTAGAATATTTACATCAGCATTGGATTCTACACAGGGTAAGTTTTCTGTAACATCCATGCATCCACGAGAGGTCTTGGTTTGGTTCTGGAATGGCCCTGGATTGCCAGGTTCTTGTGTCTTTGACTCCTGATTGCTGGTATTGTGGGTGTGTTTTACTACACCTGACTTTAATGTCGCTGCTTATGTTTGATTAAACCTTTTATCCTTAGTTTGGGTTTTTATTTTATGTATTTTAAATGCATGGACCTATGTGTGTGAGTGTAGGTGTATAACTGTAGGTGGGCGTGTACTGTAGTCTGTATGTGCACCTGTGTGTGTGTGTGTGAGTGTGTGTGTGTATAACTGTATGTGGGCGTGTACTGTAGTGTGTATGTGCACTTGTGTGTGTGTGAGTGTGTGTATAACTGTAGGTGGGCGTGTACTGTAGTGTGTATGTGCACCTGTGTGTGTGTGAGTGTAGGTGTATAACTGTATGTGCACCTGTGTGTGTGTGTGAGTGTAGGTGTATAACTGTAGGTGTGTGTGAGTGTAGGTGTATAACTGTATGTGCACCTGTGTGTGTGTGAGTGTGTGTATAACTGTAGGTGGGTGTGTACTGTAGTCTGTATGTGCACCTGTGTGTGTGTGAGTGTAGGTGTATAACTGTAGGTGTGTGTGTGTGTGAGTGTAGGTGTATAACTGTATGTGCACCTGTGTGTGTGTGAGTGTGTGTATAACTGTAGGTGGGCGTGTACTGTAGTGTGTATGTGGAAGTCAGTTGACAACTCTGAGCAGTGAGTTTTCTCCTGCCACTTTACTGCTGAACCATCTTGCCAGCGCAGTTGGTGGCTTTTGTTTTGAAGATAGGGTCCTCCCCTGTAGCCTGGTGTCTTAGGGTCTTTGCTGCTGTGAACACACACCATAACCATAGCAGTTCTTATAAGGAAAACATTTAATTGGGGTGGCTCACTTAACAGTTTCAGAGGTTCAGTCCATTATCATCATGGCAGGGAGCATGCCAGCATGAGGCAGACACGGTACTGGCTAGATCTTGATCAGAAGGCAACAGGAACTGTGCTGTATGTTACAGTAAGCAAAGCTTGAGCAAAACAGACTTCAGAGCCCACCCCACAGTGACATACTTCCTGCAGCAAGACCACACCTCTTGGTAATGCCGCTCCCTTTGGAGCAATTTTCTTTCAAACTACCACACTTTGGCTGCCTGTGTATTTGTCTTAAGTCTCCTGATGTGCTGAGATTACCATTATGCGCCCATAATGCCTAGCTTATTTTCTTGTTTTGTTTTGTTTTCCCCTCCATTTTGCTTTTTCAATACAGGGTCTGTGTAGCTCTGGCTTTCCTGGAACTCATTTTGTAGACCAAGTTGGTTCTGCTTCTTGAGTGCTGGGATTAAAAATTTGTGCCACACTTGGCTTTGTTTTCTGTGTTTTAAAGTTAAGCTAACTAGAGACATAACTCAGTTGGTAAGAGCATTCCTAAAATATATAAAGTCCTGTGTTCTGATCCTCAACACCATATTTGCCACATAAACTTCATTCCAGCACTCTGGGAGCAGGGGTAGAATCATCAGAGATTCAGACTTGTCCTTTTTGACTACATAGTGAATCCAAAGCCAGCATGGGCTACGTAAGACTGGATGGATGGATGGATGGATGGATGGATGGATGGATGGATGGATGGATGGATGGATTTAGGTAAGTAGGTAGGTAGGTAGGTAGGAGGGTGGATAAGCTAACTAAATGTATCATTTATTATGTTTTCCTCTAGTCCTGCATAATTTTGTCTGGGCTGCATAAGACTATTTCAAATAAATAGGCTAGCTGAATGTATCATTATGTTGTTTTTCTCTAATCCTGCTTGATTTTTTTTTTTTTTTTTGGATAACCGATACAGGATCTGAAACCCAATAACTTGTTGTTAGATGAGAATGGAGTTCTGAAGCTGGCAGATTTTGGCCTGGCTAAATCATTTGGAAGTCCCAATAGGGCTTACACGCATCAAGTTGTGACCAGGTGAGAATACCTTAAGAAAATGAGAGTTCGTGTGTTAGGCTTTCATCACAAGTGAGGTCGGCTAGCTACCCTGAAATACCTTTGCAGAACTCAGGAGTGAGTCACTGTTGGTGTTGTCTCAAACACAGCCCTTTAATGTTAAGTGTACTTTCCACAGTTTAAAAAAAAAAAAAAAATGCACAACTCTTTCTAATTACCTCAGTCCTCAGACATATTTTTGCTGAGCTAGTGATTAACTGAGCTACGTCTTGAATCTTCCAGTAACTTTTTTAACTCAAAAAATTGTAAATGTGGCACTTGGGAGGCAGAGGTAGGCTGATTTCTTGAGTTTAAGGGCAGTCTGGTCTACAGAGTGAGTTCTAGGATAGCCAGGGCTACACAGAGAAACCCTGTCTTGAAAAACAAAACAAATTCAAGTTGACAGGCTTGCATTGTAAGCACTTTTACCTGATGTGCCATTTCACTGGTTCACTTTTTTTTTTTAAATATGATTTGGATATCTAACACAGGATTTGGGCTTACTAGGTAAATGTGTACTCTTTTGCATATGTAGGAGATGGGTCACCTGTGTGTATGGAGGCCAAAGCAGAACTTCTCAAGTGTGGCTCCTTGGTAGTTGTGTGTGTGTGTTCACATATGTGGGTGTATGTGTTTGCAGACCAAAGTTGCTATCAAGTGTCTTCAGTCTCTCTCCACCTTACATATTGAGGCAGAATCTCTGTGTTAGACCTAGAACTTGCTGATTTGGCCAATTTAACTGCCTAGGTTGCTCTGAACTCCCCTTTCTCCATTTCCCTGTGCACAGCTGACCCACCAGCGTTGCCTGCCATTTTCATGGATACTGGGGATCCAGATTTCTATTCTAGGGCTTGTGTAGCCAACACTTTACCCACTGAGCCATCTCCCCAGCCTTCCACTTTGGTTTTTGAGATGGGGTCTCTCTGATTAGCCCAGGTTTGGTGGCCAGTGAACCCCAGGGATCTTCTTATCTCTACCTCCCAGCCTTGGAATTAAATGCATGTAGTACCATGACTAGCCTTTTTGCATGTGTGCTGGGATCAACTTCAGGCCTTAATGTTTGTGTGGGATGTGTGCTGAAAACTGAGCCATCTTTCCCACTCCCAGAAGTGCTTTACATCTTAGCTACACACTGTAAGTTGATAATAATTCATTCTGCCTTTGCATTTTAATTAGATAAGCTACTTCAATGGCCTGCTATTTTAATATTATTGGCCCTGTGTTTTATTATATTTATCAATACGGATCCTATAGTCTCTGTGTGAATATAAATTCTCTGTGCATAACACTTGCATTTTATAGTATAAAAAAATTGTGGCTTTTGTTCATACTTTTGATGCGTCAACACAAAAAGAATCACACTAAGTTGGGACTGCAGATTTTATAATTTGCATCATGATGGCTTTGTTTGTTTGTTTGTTTTAATTTCATTTGAAACAGTCTGGTATGACCATTGGCTGGCCCCAACACTCTGTATACCTAACTCCTCACCTACTTCTACACTGTTTGAATGATAGGTTGTGTCATCACATCTGGCCTATGATTATTGTTTTTGTTTGATTGATTGGTTGGTGTTTTTGATACAGGGTTTCTCTGTGTAACCCTAGCTATCCTGGAACTTCCTCTCTGTAGGCAAGGTTGACCTCATACTCAAGAGATTCACCTGCTTGTGCCAACCAAGAGCTAGGACTACAGTTACACACCATCAGGCTTGGCCTGCATTTGTTAATTCCTAAGAGTTTTCAAGGATCTGAGAAAATTTCAGAATCTTCCATCAATTATTTTGTCACTTTCACAAAAATTTATGAGTATCAGTTACCTGACCCTTCCCCCCCAAGTAAGAAGTAGTGGCTTATGAGTGTTGGGAAGATTTCAGCAGTTGGATTACCAGAGTGGTGAAGTTGACAAAACAGTGGTAGGAATAGAAACCCCGATTTTAAAGGTTATGGGGCCCTTTTCTTGGCAGCTCCTAGGCTGTGTCAAGAGGAAGCTGACTATCTACTTTCTAGCTACTGTTGTCAGAACCGCATTGAAGTGGATGATGAAGGAAACATACTTGTTATGAGAAGTGCATGGCCACAGGAGTAGCTGTTGATGCTCTGGGTGAAGAGTGGAGGGTTGTGTGGTCATTCAGTGATGGGAACAACAGAAAAGATTCTTCCATGAAACAAGGTATCACAGTGCACAGCAGAGTGCACCTGCTGTTGAGTAAGGGCAGGTCTGTTTGAGGATACTTTGTGGGTGCCAGTCCCAGTGTTTCTAACTTGGCTTATTGTAAAAATAAAGCAAGGGTGGGGTGGGGGTGGTATTCCTTGACTTGAAGAATAGATACTACTATGCCTCTGAGGTAGCTCTGAAAGAGCTAGCAGATTCTGAAAACTTTTTAGTCTCTCTGAAGATGACTTGTTTGGAAGCCCTTAAATAGTTCAGGAACAGATGGCCAGTCGACATGGTCTGTCCTCACTGAGAGTTTGCGTCTAAGTCTCAGTCCTCTCAGATCTTTTCTCTTTCTTTTTTTCCTGAGACAGGGTTTCTCTGTCAAGTCTTGGCTGTCCTGGAACTTGAGCTGTAGACCAGGCTGGCCTTGAACTCAGAAATCTGCCTGCCTGCCTCCAGTGCTGGGATTAAAGGCATGTGCTACCATGACCTGTCTTCAAAAATCAGTCTTTAATCTTAATGGGTAAATGATCAAGACTTCTTAAAAAATTAATAAAGAGAGTTTAGGGGTCAGACACTGTCACACTTGAAATTCCAGCACTTCAAATGCAGAGACAGAAGGATCAAGAATTCAGAGTGTGGCCTGGAAAGATGGCTCAGTGGTTAAAAACATTGGCTGCTCTTCCAGAGGACCAGGGTTCAATTCCCAGGAGCCACATGGTGGGTCACAGCCATCTATAGTGGTATTGTGGGATCTGATACCCTCTTCTGGTTTAAAGATGTACATGTATATGGAGTACTTACACTTAATTAAATCTTAAAAAAAATAATAATAATTTAAGGTGTGCCTTAACTCTAGTGATCTGCAGACTAGCTTGGACTGCTTAAGATCCTGTCCAGTCCTGTCTCCCCTCTCCCCCCCAAAAAAAAGAAATTTAGAGAGGAGTTGGACACAGGTGGATTTTAGAGAAGTGATATGCTAGCATGTTAATGGGAAAAATCTAGTAGAAAGCAAAGAATTTATTAGGGAAGAGTGGAGAGTTTCAGGAATAGTGTTGAGAACTGGTAGATCAGGTTGCTTCGGGACTCATGGTGAGTGGTTGGTTCTAAACACAGAGACCGTTCATCTTTTATTTATTAGTCTTGCTGGGCATGGCAGCACACCCCTTTAATTCCCACCACAGGAGGAGCAGAGGCAGATGATCTCTGTGAGTCCAAGAACCACCTGGTCTACACAGTTCCAGGATAGCTAAAGCTACTTAGTGAGACCCTGTCTCAAAAAAATAAAAAAATGTAGCCTTAATAATTGATTTCTCATATGACATTATTTCATTTCCCCCCCCCCAGATGGTACCGGGCCCCTGAGTTATTATTTGGAGCTAGGATGTATGGTGTGGGTGTGGACATGTGGGCTGTCGGCTGTATATTAGCAGAGTTGCTTCTACGGGTAAGTCCTAAGTTCATGTATATCCTTAAGTATGGTTGATAAAGTTCTCATAATTAATCATAATCCTACAGCAAGAAATTGATAAGCAAAGTCAGTTTGTTAGATAAAAGTTTCAACAGGTATGATGGCACATCTTATAATCCTAGCATGTGGGAGGCTGAGGCAGGCGGACCAAGGTGAGTGCAAGACTAGACTGGATTACATAGTCCAATTCTGTCTCACGAAACAGAGCCTCAGCGACTTGGGTGGAAGAAGCAGAAGAATTAAAGAGTTTGAGGCCAGTTGTATAGTTGTGCATGCTGTGACAGGTGGGTTGATTTTGGCTGGCAGCCTGAGGGTACCGTCCATCGTGGCAGAGAAGTCACGGCACTGGAAGCTAGAGACGCTCTTTGTCCCATCCCCTCTGCAGTCAGGGAGCAGAGAGGTGAGTGCTGGTGCTCTGCTCCCTTTTTAGTCCAGCATTACCTTTACAACGGTACCACCCGTGTTAGGATGGGTCCTCCCTCTTTGTTAACACAGTTTAGAAATGTGAGTGCTGCAGCTCAGATGGAAAGGTGTCCTGGCACTCAGGAGCCAAGGAATACCACAAAGTCACCATAAGCATAGCAGCTTACAGCCTTGCTTCAGGGAAAGGGTTCCCAGGGAGTTGTTACAGCTCTTGCTCAGCCCACCTCCCCAACTCTGCTTTGGGTGACAGTTGATATATTGTTATAGTCGGTCTCCTCTTGGTCTAAGTATCACACCACACAACAATCCTTATTCAAGAGATTGACTGGGAAGGCAGAATCCAGAAGAGAGGCTGCCTGAGGGTTAGAAGCAGCAGCAAACTGAACAGGGCACGGGGTTGGGGGAGAGAGCTTTCCAGGGTGGCTTGAGATTGGTGGATTTGTGTGCCCTGATTCTGGGGCAAGATCAGGAATTGGTGGGGTTTAAAGTCCTGGTCCTGGGGTGAAGTCAGGGTCAGATGTTCTTTTTTTCTTGACTCTTTCGCCCTATAAGAAATTCCTTATAGTTATACTCAAAGGCTTGTTTTCTTAGTGATTCTACATTCCACCAGGAGAACAAATTAACTATTACAGAGGCTGGGAAAGGATCTCTGTTGATAAAATGTTTTCTGCACACATATATGAGACATTTCCGAATTCTTCCTGCTAGAGCTTGTACCAACTCTGGGCCCAGTTAGAAAACAAAGTACACACATTAGTTTGTTCCAGGAAGAAGGTGTTGTGGTTTATACCTGTAATCCCAGCACTTGGGAGGCTGAGGCAGGAAGAATCACCTTGAGCTTGAAGTTAGCCTGTGTTACAGAGTGAGACTGGTCCACCCAATCCCTTTTCCTCACAGCTTATAGTGGATGTGGGCAATGAAGGGTTGGCTAATAAGTGAACTAATCCCATGATTGTCAGATGTAAGCAATAGTCACTGTTTCCCACCACTGAGATCACCCAGGAAAGAAGTCCAGGGATGGAGTCTAGACCCTGTTCAAAGGCACAGCTGAGAATTGGATGGCAGCAAAGTTGTTTTGGGTCTCTTCTGGTAAATCTGCTTTTGGGGTGCTGAACTGATGACTCAGCACCTGGTACATGAAAGCTCACAATTACCTGTAGCTACTTCAAGGGAATTTAATAGTCTCTTCTAGCCTCTGAGGGTACTAGGAATGAACATGGTACATAGATATACATACAAATAATACCCTTATACATAGGAAATAGTAAAATGAGTTTTTAATAATCTGATGGATAGACTATGTTGGAATTTTGCTTTGGGGTGCTGAGGGAAGCTCTTCAGAAAGTATCTGTTTGGTGAATGATGCGAATTCCCAAAGAATCAATAAAGCCTTAAAATGTCTTACTTGCAGGTTCCTTTTTTGCCTGGAGATTCAGACCTTGATCAGCTGACAAGAATATTTGAAACATTGGGTACACCAACTGAAGAGCAGTGGCCGGTAAGCCTTTACGATTCGGTAAAGTTTGTTTGCTGTATCTGGCTAATGGAGGAAGAAATTGAGTAATTAATTAGTGCTAAAAGACCAAGGCTTTTCCCGTACTGGATAAGTGCTCTGTCACTGAACTAATTTAAAAAGCATCCTCATTGGTGAGCATGGTGGCATTTGTTTATAGTCCGGAGGCAGGAAGAACTTTGGGAATTCCAGGCCATCCTGGTTAACAGTGAATTCCAGGTCAGCCTGAGCTCTATACTGAGATCCTGTCTCAAAAAAAATAAATAAGTAAAAATAAATTACCCTCATTGTAAAACTGCAGATGGCTGTGCGTTGATGGTGCACGCCTTTAATTTCAGCACTCAGGAGGCAGAAGCAGGCAGATCTCTGTGAGTTTGAGGCCAGCCTGGGCTACAGAGCATTCAGGGCAGCCTCCAAAGCTACAGAGAAACCCTGTCTCCAAAATAAATAAATAAACAAACAAAAAACCGCAAATGACAAAGAAAGGAAGTATACAAGGAAAATGTTACAATTGTGACCTACCCACCATCTTCCAGGTGTGTAGTCTGTCCTTAACCCCAGAATCTGTCCCAGGTTAGTCACGGCCTCCAGCTGATGTAAAGCTGCCCTAGCAGTGCACACTTAGAAACTTGTAATAGAATTGCATTTTCTTTCATTCCTTCATTCTTTAATAAAAAGTGAGGGATGGGATGTAGCCAATGGAAGACTATTTACTGTTAACATGTTCAAGGCCCCCAGCCCATTAAAAGCACTTCAAGAAACAGTAGCAGGATTGCTCCGTTTAATCTTGTGTTTTTCCACCATTTGGCCCCAGGTTTCTTACTACTCAACTCTGGCTGGCCTGGGACTTAACTACAGAGATCCATCTACCCATGTTTGTCTAGTGCTGGGATTAAAATTTTGTGCCACTCTGCTGTACTACTTTTTTTTAGTGGCTGAATAAGACTCTACTTTATGGACATTTATGTTAGTTACCCATTATCTGGGTAAACTAGCTATATTTATTGGATTAGTAGCACAATTTAAATATTTCTGCCTTTTTTTTTTTTTTTTTTTTTTTTTTGTTTTTTTTTTTGTTTGTTTGTTTGTTTTGGTTTTGGTTTGTCTTTTGAGACAGGGTTTCTCTGCATTGCCCAGGCTAGCCTTGAACTCACAGAGATCTATCTGCCTCTGCCTCTAATGCTGGGATTAAGGGCATGCACCACCACTGCCTGTTTTTTATGATCATTTTATCCCAATATCAGTTATGATTTACCTCTCAAGTCCTAACAACTAGAGAATGAGACAAGAGAATTGCTTGCGCTCAAGAGCTTGAAGTCAGTCTGGGCAAGTTCCATCTCTTTTCCAGAAAAAGAAAAAGATACTGATTGTACATTACTAAATTACATATTACATTTTAGTAATCTGCTATCAGGCTAGGTGTAAAGTTTCACACCTTTAATCCCAGCACTCAGAGGCAGAGTTAGGAGGATCTCTGAGTTTGAAGCCAGCTTAGTCTATATAGCAAGCTCCAGGACAGCCAGGATAACAAAGACTGTCCCTGATAAAAAAACAACTGGGATCAGCAGTTAGTTCTTCAGTGACATGATCCTGAGAGCGGGAACCAGGGGATGGAAAACAAAGAAGATGGGAAAGTTTGGGGTCAGGAGGGCTTACACAGGTTGACTCATGCAGGCAAGTTTATTAAGTTTGCCATTGCCAGGCGGTGGTGGGACTCTCCTTTAATTCCAGCACTGGGGAGTGGAGGGGGATTAGCGGCAGGCAGATCTCTGTGAGCCTGGTTTACAGAGTGAGTTCTAGAACTGGATCCAAACCTACACCGAGAAACCCTGTTTCAAAAAAAAAAAAAAAGTAAAATAGTTCACCTATGTAAAGCTTGTGGGGGGGGGTGGAGTTGGACAGAGTCAGCAGGAAGCCATTAGACAATGGGACAAAATCAGCAGGTAACTGTCAATCTGTGTTGATTGAAGAACACAGGATATCTCAAGTGCTTTCCATACTGAGTGTTTGTTTAGAGGGTTAAAATCAGGTTCCCAGGAACTGAAGCCCAGGATGGACTTTGCCAAGTCTGCCCCTGTATCCTTTCGTCAGGGCCTCTGAGAAAGCCTTGCGTTCACCTGGCTTCCACTAACAGTAGCAACAGCCTGTCCCCTCTCACTCAGATTCTTTGGTTTTTGGTTTTTTATTGTTGTTGTTTATTTTGGTTTTTCCAGACAAGGTTTGTTTGAGTAGGGTTGGCTTTCCTAGAACTAGCTCTGCAGAGCAAGCTAGCCTCAGATTCGCAGATCCGCCTGCCTCTGCCTCCAGTGCTGAGATTAAAGGCTGTGCCACCCCTGCCTGGCACTTCTCGGAATCTTGAGGTTAAAGAACTGTCGACTCTTTGTTCCCATTGTAGCCCCAGGTTCTGAGGAGCAAATAGATGTTAGAAAAGCAAATTTGGGGAGGCTGTGGATACGCCTTAGTGGTTAAGGGTGCTTACTGCCCAAGCATGAGAGCCTGAATTTGATATCCAGCAACCATGCAAAAACACAAACAAAGTTTGTGTAACTGTACTGCTGTCGGGACACGCTAGAGATCCGGGGATCCCTGGGGTTTGCTGGCCTCCAGTCTAATCTAGGTTCAGTTGGAGACCTTGTCTCCTCAGCTCCAGACACACATGTACCACATACATTCTTGTACCCCTCCCTCACCAAAGAAGATAGGAAGTGAACGGTTACAACAGGACTCTTAGCGGCTTCTTAAAACTGTGACATAACTAAGACTAAAATTCATATCTCAGTGATTTATTTTTTGCCATTTTTTCCCTCAAAATTACTTTAGCTAACTTACCTTTACCTCCCTGCATAATTATAAGTATTGTGGGATTTGTTTGTTTGTATATTTGTTTAATTTTGTTTTTTCTACAGAGGGTATCTCTGTAGTGCTGGCTGTCCTGGAACTCACTTTGTAGACCAGGCTGCCTCAAACTCACAGAGATCTGCCTGTCTCTGCTTCCCATACACTGGGACTAAGGGTATATGCCTCCACACTTGGCTAAGTATTGTGTTTTCTGTTCTAGTATTTACATATTCTTTTGTTTTTCCCCTTGACTAGTTTTCTTGGGAGTTTCTACAGACTGTTTGACAAGGCGCATTTTGTTTCTCTTTCCCTTTTCCGTGTCTCTGAATGCTTTACTTACCTTTGAATTGTATTTGCAGGACATGTGTAGTCTCCCGGACTATGTGACATTTAAGAGTTTCCCAGGGTTCCCACTGCAGCACATCTTCATTGCAGCGGGGGACGACTTGCTGGAACTCATCCAGGGCTTGTTCCTGTTTAACCCGTGTACGAGAGTCACAGCCTCACAGGTACTTACACCAGGGAGCCTGAGGGCCAACAGTCAGATGTCTGAAATTTTCTAACATCCTTTAAGTACCGGGAACCCGTATATCTGAAGGATATATATTTGTGTCCTTTCCCAAAAGCTATAAACACTGTCTAGGCTAGTATTAAATTTTACATGTAAGAAATTTATACTTGCTTAGGGGTTTTGTGTGTGTGTATGTTTTCACTCAAACTGCTGTATTTCAAATGAGCTTTTTTTATTTGTTTGTTTGTTTGTTTATTATTGAGATAGGGTTTCTCTGTTTATCCCTCCCTGGCTGTCTTAAAACAAACTCTGTAGACAAGGCTGGCCTCTAGAGACCTGCCCGCCTCTGCCTCTACTGGGGTTAAAGGTGTTGCCACTCACCACTGCTCATCTTGCTTTTGGGGTCGGGGGAGGAAGTATGAAGATGGGTGGTTACAGAGTAACTAGGAGGAGTTGGGAAGGGAAATGACTCTGGCTGTTGGATGGCACTAGTATATTGCAAACAGAGTTAGTTGGCAAGCTTGTTATTTGAGAAGAAACCACTTTTACAAATTTTGTAAATTCTGGAATATTATTCTTTAGTGGTTAATAGAAACCTTGGATAGGCCCAAGTAAACTTTCATACATTTGCAGTGGATTATAGTATTTGTAATTCATTGGTTCTAGTACAGTCTGTGCCATTGTGGAAATATTAGAAGGGAGTGAGCCCCCTCCTTTAGTAACAGCATCAGCCAGTTGTAGGATGCTAGGTTTTTATTTGTAGTAGTTCTAACCATATACTTGATGTTGGTTCTTTGTTTGTAGACATGGGGTATTTACATACTGTTTTCAATGCTGTCAACAATTTGGGGTAGATTTTCCTGTATACAGCACAAACATTAAAACGTTGCTTTTGATCTGGGCATGGTGTGGTGCATGCCTCTCATCCCAGCACTCAGAACAAGCAGGACAGGAGGGCTACAAGGGCCAGGCCAGCCTCATCTGCACCAGCCAGTGCTACACAGTTAGGCCTTGTCTACAATAAAAACAAAAGGGTAAGACATTACTTCTGATTTCTTTTCTTTGAAAAGGCATTGAAGACTAAGTACTTCAGTAATCGTCCAGGGCCGACACCTGGATGCCAACTTCCAAGGCCAAACTGTCCTGCAGAAGCCCTAAAAGAACAGGCAAATCCAGCCGTGGCTACAAAAAGAAAACGAACAGAGGCCTTAGAACAAGGTAAAGAGCCCATTGGTAACAAACAGAAAAGAATGAATGACATCAGAAAGCTCTAAATGGCTCGTGTATAGCTAGTGACTGGAAGCCAGTTAAGAAAATGGAGCTATGGAGCTGTTTAAGTTACGTGCTATCGAGGGCACTTCAGGTACTTTTGAGTAGATCTGAGTTGTGAGTGCTCTGGTGTGTGCCTTCTTCCCCTCACCCCACCCCGTTCACCCTGTTTATTTTCCTGTGAATATGTGCTGTGTATGGAGGCCAGTAGAGGGCATCAGATCCCGGGACTGGGGTTCCAGCAGCCTTGTCCTGTTCTGCGGCTGCTGGCAGTGAACCCAGGTCCTCTGGGAGAGCAGTGTGTGCTCTTCACAGTTGAGCCAGTCCTGCAGCCCTCTCTCCAGCGGTTCCGAAGCGCGCTCTGTTAGTGTTTGACAAGTCCTGTAAGTCAGCAATGGTGTTGGAACGCAGTGAGTGACAACCTCTTTGTTTTGCTTTCAGGAATATTGCCCAAGAAGCTAATTTTTTAGTTTACAGCGAACAATGGACAGTGTTTCACCATGAAAGAAATAATCCGAAAGGCAAATAACGGAAAAAATAGGAAGCATTAAATGCTATAGAAGAGAACTTGTAAATATTCAACACATGTAAAATATATAAAAGTATGGGTTATTTTTATTAAATGTATTTTAAAATAAAATATGTGTGATTTATGACAAAAGTACAAAAATAGGTTCAGTTCTCTGAATGTAGTTCACCGTACATTAGGAGAACCTTAATATGTAATTGCTGGTTACTTTGCAGCTCTGGATGACAGACCACCTCAAGTTCATTAGGAATAGTATTTAAAACAGAAAAATACTGTTAGCAGTTTTGCTAGTACTGAACACCACTTCCCCAGATTAAGTAAACTTGAGAAAATAAAACTGACACCTCCCCTTAATACTCCCCCACCTGGAACTCACAGTGATCCTCCTGCTTCTGCTCCTGAGTTGCTTTGGTTATTCTGTCATGCACCACCATAACCAGTCCTCTTAATACTTCCATTCCATTCCTTTCTACCCTCTCCAAGGAAACGGGTTTTAGGGAAATGTGTATTTTTCACTCCATGGTTTTGTACAATTACCTTCAGAGAACTCTATCTCACCTTATTGTAGCACCTGACTTTGATCCTAGCATGTAGTAAAGGCAAGTGGATCTCTTGAGTGTTAGAGGCTAGCCTAGTCTACATACTGATTTCCAGGCCAGCAAAGAATACATAGTGAGACCCTGTCTCAAAAAACAAAAAACCTACTCCATCTCTTGCTGATGTTTTTTTGTTTTTTACTTAGAAACTTTCTCTTGTGTTAATTAATGGATATGGATCTAATTGGTTTAGTTACTATATAATAATGTATTGTAAGTAATGCTTTTACTTGTGCTTTGTTTATGGACTATTATCATAAAAATACCATGAGTTGTGAGGCATTTTGGCTTATGCCTTTAGTCTCAGACTTGGGAGGCAGAGGCAGGTGGATCTCTATGAATTCAAGGCCAGACTGGTCTACAGAGTGAGTACCAGGGCTGCTTAGTGAGAACCTTTTTCAAGAACGAACAAACAAGTTTATGTGTAACTTAGTGCTAGAGTTTTCCCAGCATATATGAGCCCCAATTTCATTCAGTTCCTGGCACTGTAAAATAAATGATAACTCTATTGGGTAATAGTTCTTAGGTGAGGTCTTTTAAGTTGTTGTTATTATGTGCATGAGTGTTTTGTCTACATGTATGTCTCTGTAACATGTACATTCCAGGTGCCCATGGAGACCAGAAAATGGCATTAGACTTCTAGAACTGGAATTGCATATAGTTGTGAGCCACCATTAAGGTGCTGGAAATCAAACCTAGGTCCTCTGGAAGAGCAGCCAGTGCCTAATTAGTCATCTCTAGCCCCACATGAACTTCCTGTATGGGAGTTTGGGAGAGCAAAACCTCACTCCTATTCTGCATTCTCCTTGAGTCCCATGGGAGTTCAAAAATAATATAAAATTCATTAAAGAAAAGCTATACATATTTAATACAAGTTTACGTAGCTACCAGGTTGGCTTCTCATGCTTATAATCTCATACTTGTCAGGCTGAGGCTTGACTGCCCCAAATTCAAGGCCAGCTCAGCTACAAATAGTTCTATGCCAGTCTGCCCTCAAAGCAAAACTACCACCTCAAAAAGCAAAACAAAAATAAAGTTTTTGGCATGGGAGCTGGCCAACAAAGGTATAGAGACAAGTTAGGAGTCAGCTATGTACCTGGGTGAGGTAGGCAGACAAGCAGGCATAGGTCTCAATAGACAAAAAAAGGTAAATATAGGCTAAAAGTAGTCACCTTTCATTTCATTAGATGTGAGAACCACACAAAGAAATAAGTGCTGTTTTTTGTTTGTTTGTGTTTTAATGTTTGGTATGTGGTGTGTATGTGCACACGTGTGTGCGTGTGTGCACTCATGTCACAGCACATGCATAGAAGCTAATGGACAGCCTCTCCCTTCCACCAAGTTTTCGAGGCAGTATCGCATAAGCCACTCTGAGCCATGAGCTGCCACACAGTCCGGGGTTTTAGCGTAGGTCACTGGGACCGCAGACATGCTGGTGCTCTGCCTTTGTTTGGGTTCTCAGGTTCCAAAGTCCAATTCCTAGACTTGAGTGGCAGGTTTGTCAGAGCCATGTGCCTTGTTCCCAGAGGAGTCTGTATAACACTGTCTGGCAGAATGGTATATTTTTAAGTTCTTCAAAGCTGTCTTGGTTGTTTTTCTGCTGCTATGATAACACACCCGGACAAAAGCAAGTTAAGGGGGAAAGGGCTCGTTTTTGCCTTACGATTCTTTTGAAATTCAGCACATCTGGAGAAGATGGCAGGAGGCTGGCCAGTCACGTTGCATACACACACACACACACACACACACACACACACACACACACACTCAGGAAGCAGAGAGTGAACAGGAGTGCGGCAAAGCCAGAAAGCCTCACGTCTGCCTGGTGAACCACTTCTTAGGGAGGCTACACCTCATAAAGCTTACCAGACAGCATTGACCTGGGGACCAAGTGTTCAAATGTGAGCTGTGGGGAACATTTCACATTCAAACCACAGGGAAAGTTTTAGGGAGGAATCTGCTAACCTCCCTAACTGCTTGTTTTTTGAGACAGGGCCGTAATGGAACACACTCTGTAGATCAGGCTGGCCTCAAACTCAGAGATGTATCTCCCTCTGCCTCTCAAGTGTTGGAATTAAAGGTGTTCGGTTGGTTTAAATAGTTTCTTGTGGTGCTGGGATGAAACCAGGGCCACACACATAATCAATAAACTACCACGGAGCTTCCCAGGACCTGCATCCCTGGTCCCAGTTGCCCTAGCTTTTGATTGACGTTTTCTCAGCGTAATCTTTTTCTTTCTCCCCTACGTCCCCCAGAATAGTGAGAGGGACAGGCACAGTCCATCGCTCTAAACTCTTGGTTTCTTAAGGTAGCTTACGTTGCTTTTGTGAGGCTCACTGTCTACAAATTAGCAGTAAGTACTGTAACCTTGAGCTTCATGAAGGGGCTGGAGGCCAGGCTCAGGAGCTTGCTGCTCTTCAAGGGGATTGGAGTTAAGTTCCCAGTACTGACAGGGCAGCACTACTTGTAACTCCGCCTCCTGGGACTCCACTGCCCTCTTCTGGCCTCCTCAGGGATCTGCACCCACACGTAATAAAACCTTTGTAGTTTTGAGATAAGGTTTCACTATGTAACCCTAGCTGGCCTTAAACTTGGTATGAGAGACTTGCCTATGCCTTCAGAGTTCTTGGATTAAAGGTGTACACCACCATGCCTGGCCCAAAATAAATCTTTAAAGGAAAAAAAAAATGGGTTTCTGACTGGTGTATAAAAATAAATTCACATAGGCCTTTAATTTCATTTTTAAATCATGCAATTTAATGTGCATACTTAATATTCCACAGTTACTAATTTGTTGCATCCATACCAGACAGAGAATTATGCCTTTGAACACTTTGAACAGTCTGGAAGAAAATAGTGATTTTTTTTTTTTTTTTTAAATCCCCTTGGCATGTCTCTTCCTTTGGTTACATTTCACAGAATGTGGCTGTCTTGCACATATTGAGTACATCATCTGTCCCTTTTATAGACATTCAGATACCAAGCTGCCCAACCCATGATGTATATTTTATCAAAGACTAAAAATAGAAACTAAGGTTGGAATAGGCTAGCTTCCAAACCGTTGAATTGGTTGGTAGCTGCAGCAAAGAATGTAAACATCCCTAGTGAAGAGTGGGCTGTTGGGATGGCAGTTCAGCACATGGCCAGAGGGGGCAGTGACACTTAAAATGGGTCTTAACAGTTTGTGTTGTTTTCAGGTATGCTTGCCCTGTGTTGCCCAGGCTACCCTAGAACTCATGATCCCCCTGCCTCCTGTTTTCTATGAGCTGGGATCATAGGTGCATGCCACCATTCCCAGCGTCTTCCTTTAGGGGACTGTACTATACAAATACATGGGCCTTTGTATGGTCATACTAAATCACTGTTTAATTTTTTATTAAACTTAAATGTGTGTGTGTGCACACATGCATATTCATATGTGTGCACACATACATGTGTAGTGGTCAGTCAGAGGACAGCTTATAGGCATTGGTTCTCTTTTACTATGTAGGTCAGAAGGACCAAACTCAGGTTGTCATGTTTGACAGCAAGCGCCTTTACCAGCTGAGCCATCTGACTGCAGACTCGGTTTGGATGCCTTTGGTTTGAAATAGGGTCTCTACAGTAGATAGCCCAAGGTGGCCTCAAACTCTGCCTCCCAAGTGGGATTACAGGCATGCGCTACCACGCCAGGCTACTAATGGGCTTCTGTATTGTTTAGAGCCTTGATAACCGTTTGAGATTCCTGTACTAGCCTTAACACATCTATAAGCACTTCCTGCCTGTGTGCAGGGTAAGATCCTAGCTGGATCAGATACAAGCTTTGCAGATTTTTAACCTTTTTAAAAAACAAATCACATATGCCTTTTTGTTCATACTTATTTTTCTTTGGTTTATAGAATTTTTTTCCAGTAGAGAAATGTAGAGCTTACACAGTACCCCTGTTTGCTGTCATGCCTTCATCCTGTTATACTTCGTGCCAGAGAAATTGAGTGGGTACTGACTGTTCTGTATGTTGTACATATATGTGTGCTTCATGTGTTGTTAATGTGGTATCTCCCCAAATAAACATAACACTTCCCACTTTGCAACTCCTCCTTGCGATTGTGTGTGTGTGTTTCACTGTTCGCCACAGCTCCACAGATTTCCAGGGTGTGCCTCACTGGCCTGTTCCCCTGTGGGCAGGAAGGATGTAACCTCGTCCCATGTTTTCACTTGTGTCTGGCCTTTTGGGGCTCTCCTTATTTAATCTTAATAAAATGAGTATGAAATAGTCGCTCCTTGCTGTGAAGTAAATGAAATAGTTACAATGGAGGTTTTTGTTTTGTTTTGAGTTTTTGTTTGGGGACAGAGACACACAATGTAGCCCAGGCTATTCTTGGCAGTTCAGCCTCAGACTCCCAAGTGCTGGGGTCAGAGGCATTGAGTCACCTCAGTTTGTTTTTCATCCCTCAGCTCCTTACCCATGATAGAATGCTGCTGGTTCAAAGCCATGGGATGATTCTTTACTTTCCCTTTTAACTGTTCACAGCTCCATTGACTTCAGGTAAGTTTACATTGTCCATAATCTAAATGGAATAGTGAAACATTCTAGTCACTCTTACACGGTATCATGAGAAGCTAGCTGTCCTGGGGGCGGGGGCTGAGGAGGGTGGCGGTAAAATATTCTCTTTACAGTTCAGCGTTTCATAATGAAGTCTCGTGGCTGGGACATATCCTGAGAAGAGTGCTTAGGGGATTTTGTCATTATACAAGCAGTGTACATACAGCTCCAACATCAGTAGACTGTCATCTACTGGGCCACTGTTGTGGCCTGTTGATAGCCCTATAGTACTTAACTTTTAATAACTAGAAAGTTGAAGTGTTCATACCATTTTCCAGGCAAAAGCATAACCCTTATGAAGAAGCTCAGACAACTTCAGCTGAGACCTTTTCTGGGACCATCACATCCACTTCCAGGACAGAATGAGAGCTTACTAAGTAAGCATACATTAGGTTTGGCTCCAAGGGAATACACTGTGAAAGGAGCTAGTAATTAGTATGAAAATATTGCAAAAAAAGCCACCATAACTTTTTATGGACGTCAACAATTCATTTCAGAATTTTGAATGGTAGTAAATAAAACATTCTGAAAATGGCAGGTAAAGAGATTTTTAGCTGGGTGGTGGTGGCACACGCTTTTAACCCAGCACTCGGGAGGCAGAGGCAGGTGGATCTCTCTCAGTTCGAGGACACCCTGGTATAGAAAATGAGATCCAGGGCTGTTAACACAGAGAAATCCTGTCTCAAACCTGTATCCCCCCCCCCAAGAAAATTTTAAAATTAGCTGTTTATTCCTAAGTATTGTTTGTTATATTGATATTTATCCTACCTAAGATCCATATAGTTATTCTTAATAAATACTACTATAATGTTAAACTTTTGGTTTTTTAAATATTTTTATTATTTATGGTTTTGTTTGGTTTTTTTTTTTTTTTTTTTTTTTTTTCTCAGAGTATCACCACATACACCAGGCTGGACTCAAACTGAAATCTGCCTGCCTCTATCTCCTGAGTGCTAGGATTAAAGGTATGCACCACCTCGCCCGGTTTTATTTATGTAGGGGCAAGTATAAGCCACAGTGAAAGTGTGGAGATCAGAGAACAACTCTTGGGAGTTGGCTCTCTCCTGCCACTTTGTGGATGCTGGGGATCAAACTCAAGTCATCGTGTTTGGTAGCAGGAGCCTTTACCCACTGAACTATGTCCCCACTCTAGCTTTGGTTTCTGAGACAGTTTTTGTGGTAGCATCCAGGCTGTCCTAAGACTTGCAACCCTGAAGCCTCTGTCTTGTGTATTGGGTATACAAGAATGTACCATCACACCCAACAGAAGAATTATTTTCATGTGTGTATGTATGTACACATGTGTGCATGCATGTGCTTACCAGAAGTCAGCCTTAGGTGTTCTCTGCCTTATCTTTGAGACAGGGTCTCTCTGGGGTCTGTGGCTCTCCTGTTAGGCTGCTGGCTAGCCTGCAAGCACCTGCATCTCCAGCAGTCAGGTTATGGGTATACTCCACTCAACCTGCCTGCTTTTCACCTGGCTACTGAGGACCAAACACAGCCTCATGCTTGCATAACAGACACTTTACCAGCTGAGCCATCTCCCCAGCTCCATAAAGAACTTTTAATTTTTCCCAAGAATATCTGTTTATAAGATAGGTAAACATTGAAACTGTCACAAAGTATGGAAAAGTATTTTATAAATAAAATGCCCACACAATGCATTTCTTATACAATACTTATATAATACATTTCTTATTGAACATGTGTTAAAGGTTTGATTACTTAAGCTGCATCCTAAAATTAAAGAGGGGGATGTGTTCAAAACACATACATTGTTAATCCATGTATTCAGATATCACGACGAACGTAATACTTTGTAAATCACCGTGTTAACACATTTTAAAAACATCTAGAAAGCATACAGCTTCTTAATATTATCAACATTGGCAATAGTCTTACTGTAATCTAGTCAAATTCATAGCAGTCTTTTTGTCTAAGGCTCCCAAATGCTAGGATTTAGAAGTATGATCCTCTTGTGTTCTTTCTCAAAGTCTTTGCAATGCTGAACATCAAACCCAAGGCCTTTTTTGTTTTGTTTTGATTTTTCAAGACATGGTTCCTTTGGGTAGCCCTTGTCCTGGAACAGGCTCTGTAGACAAGGCTGTTCTCAAAGTCGGAGATCTACTGTCTGTCTCTGCTTTCCAAGTGCTGGGATTAAATGTGTGTACCACCATGTGCTAAACCCAAGGCCTATGCACACTGACCAAGTGTCCTCCTCTGAGACACATTTCCAACTCCAAAATCTGATTTTTAGCAGCTCTAATTCTGATTTCATCTGGTTTGTTTTTGAAGTATAGTCGATGGCAAAGAACAGGATCTTTTAAGAGTTCTGCAGTCTGAATCTCCCTGGGGATGCTGGACTGAACAAACGCAACCCACGGGATCAGAAACATGGACATTTGAGTGTGTTGGGTCATGCAAAACACAGTGTTCTGAAGCTTCCTGCCAGGTGCTTATGGATGGGGAATTCTGGTCCCTGGGGATTTTGTCTTTAGTCTTTGCTGCGGTGTCTTTATCTTCCAGGGCCCGAGCAAGCATGTAACTGACCTTTCTTTGATGAGCCAATGCTTCTTCTTTGTCATTCAACTGTAAACAGAAGTTAGGGATGTGTAAGTCAGGGTATATGCAGGAAAGGGAGTGTTGCATCTTATCAAGATACTGCATCCTAAATTTTAAAGTTCTCATAATTTAGAATAATCTTGAATCAAATGCTGGGGGATTTAAGTGACATTTTTAAGTTTATATGTGTGCATGAAAATTATGTGTGGGTGTTGGAGAGCAACTTGTAGGAGTCAATTCTTCCTTCTACCATGCAGGTCCTGGGATCAAATTCAATTTGTCTGGCTTGGCAGTAGGCTCCTTTACCCACTGAGCCATCTCAATGGCTGGAATTGTGCTTTGTTTTTTTATTTTAAATTTTTAGGTGTATATATGTATATGTGCCATGTGTGTGTAGATACCTGAGGAGCCAGAAGAGGGTGTCAGATCTTCCAAAACTGGATTACAGGTTTACATTACACTCAATGTCAGTGGAGCCAAACTGAGTCATCTCTCCAGCCCCATGATTCTCTTGGGTGGGGTGGGGGTGGAGAACAGGAATGAGATGGCTTATCAAGTAGGGTACTCAATATGCAGGTTTGCCAAACTCAGTCCTATCCTCAGAACTCACAGAAAGACGGAAGGAGAAAGTTGATCTACATAGTTGTCTTCTGACCAACACATTTGCCATGGTATGTTGTGCTCACACATACATCATACATATGTACAACAATAATAAAACTTCCTTTAAAAAACCCAACGAGTTAGTGTGACTTCTCTTTAACCCTGTAAGTAAGCTAGATACGGAGATGATTGTATATGTGTATGTAATTGAAACATGCCCTGACTTCTGAAAGAACATTTAAAGCTGTATCTAAAATTGTTTCCATCTATTTATATGCAAATAAATGCATCAGCAGAGTTAAGTGTGATGGCTCTGTAGCTATTTGTGGAAGGGTACCAGGACTGATGGCAGGTTGTATTGGTGATTTAAGGATATTGTGCCTGGAACACTGAAATGCCCTGAGCTGCATGTAAACAGGCAGTTGAACTGGCTAGAATGAGTCACTGCCCCCCTCTTCAGATGTGGGACTTTAAACCTGCACAGAAGTGATCAGCAGGGAGCTGGGCAGAGTTGGCAGGGATGATGGGGAGTGGTGCCCAGTGAAGAAAATTGTTCAAGAAGCAAGCAAGGCCTAGAGTAGGAGGCCATGGATGAGCTGAACCACAGCCCTAGCAAAAAGCAAGTGGCAGCCCAGCACTAACCAAGTCTATTAGCATCTTGACGACTTCTTGTGTCTTGTCTTGGTCTTCAGCCTTCTTGGAACTGTTTTCTGAAGGGAGTATCCCCAGCAGCCTCTGCCCTAAGGTCTTCTTTGTCCTTCGTGATGCATATCCTAAAATTCAGTGGGAGAATCCAGCTGAGAAAAATATACTCACTGACATTACCTGCATGTGAGCCAAGGCTAAGAAATTCCTAAAACAATCTAAAGGTCATTCTCACAAAACCACAAGGTTGCACAGCATGATGGCGGGATGTAGGTTCCAGGTGTGGGTGGGGACTTGGAGGGGGTGGCATGCTGCTGGAAACTCGGTGCTCAAGCTCTAGGTCATCACAATCTCCTGGAAGCAGAAATCCAGGTCTGTGTGAGATTTCCCAATTTTAAATGCCAGCCACTAACCACACTATTTGGAAACACTGCACAGGTCTGACAAGTGCAGGCCACAGACGCCTTGCCCATGCAAACAGCTTAGAGTCAGAAAGGCCTGCACAAACTCCTCACTCAGCCTCGCAACCAAAGTTTCAGATGAGTTTTCTGAGCTTCATCCTGTCCTCAGAATTGGGAGAACCTTCCTATTTGCCATTGTCATTTCTTAAGATGACAAAATATCCATAAAGTTTATCATATTTAACATTTTCATTGTATACCACAAGCTGGGAGAGTCGTTACTTAATGACACAGTTCCTCTTTAAGAAGGTAATTCTGAAGCTCCGTGGTGGTTAGATAACTTACTGCTGTACTAGACTCAATTAAAACGGGTAGGTTTTGTGGCTCGTTTATCATCATAGAAACATAATTGTGAAAACACTTAGCACAGAATTAGCATACAAAGTGGTTTTCTATATCTTGATGCATCACAAAGACAAAATCTGTAGAAAAAGCCAGGTGTGGAACACACGCTTGTAATCCCAGCCCTTGGGAGGCAGATGGATACACGTGTGCCCTGGCAAGCGTATGGAGGTCAGAGGACAACTTTTGGGGATCAGTTCTCTCTTTCCACTATGTATGGATCCCAGGGCTGAAACTCAAGCCTAGGCTGGATTGAGTTTCTGATCCTCCTGCCTCTACCTCCTAAATGCTGGGATTTCTGACACAAGTCTTCATGCTCAGCTAAATGCCACTTTCTTTGTTGTTTTTGATACAAGGTCTCACTAGGTGTTGGAAATCTCAGCTCAGCCTCACTCCTCATTCCAGACTCCACCCCTCACAAAGCACACCAAGGGTCAGCTCCTCCCCTCGATCTGGTCAAGACCACATCTACAGGGGATTTAAGACCTGGCCCATTCCTAAGAGTCACCCAGAGTATGGTGCTTTGCTTTGCTGTTTATTAAATCAGGATTTATTAATTCGGTTTGATTCGGCTTATTGCATCACCAGAGGAATCCAATTACTGGAGATCCAATACTTAGCAGGTGACTCCGATGAGCCTACAACTCCTGTGTAGACCATGCTGGCCTGGAACTCAGAGAGATCCACCTGCCTCCTTGGTGCTGGGTTTAAAGGTGTGCATCACCATGCCCAGCTAAATGCTCTATGCTCATTGTTACTTTCCTTTGTTTGAGAGTCTTGATTTAGGACCTCCAGTTAGTTGTTTGCCTCGGTTTCTGAGTGCTGGGATTATAAGCATGCACCACCATTCCCAACTAATCAGAGTTCATGTATTAATTATGTCTCTTCCCACTTAGCATAATCTTGTGTTCTAGAAACAGCACTGAAGAGCTGGCTGGGCTGTGAACTCATTACAACCACCTGTACCTACCGACTCGAGCAACCTCTTCTGGTCTTCCTAGGCTGCTGTGGACTATTAGGTTACCTATGTAAAGATGTGTTGTGTTAGTTTAATTTGCCTGCCTAAGGCACCTGATCGGTCTAATAAAAAGCTAAATGGCCAATAGCTGGGCAGGAGATATAGGCAGACCTTCCAGGCAGAGAGAGTAAGTAGGAGGAAGAAAGAAAAGAGATGCCAAGAGACGCCAGGGGCTGTCAGCCAGACACATAGGAAGCAGGAAAGTAGTACATACAGAATGAAAATTATAAAGCTCTGAGGCAAAACACAGATGAATAGAAACAGGTTAAGCTTATTTAAAAGAATTAGTGGGACAAGCCTAAGCTAAGGCCGAGCATTCAAAATTAATAATAAATCTCCTGTCGTTATTTGGGAGCTAGTTGGCAGCCCAAAGGAAATTCTGACTACACTCAGCACCTGCATGCTTGTCTGCACACACATGCACACACCATCACAAGAACTGTTAGAAAGAGCTTATTCTGTTTATGGTTTTATTAACTTTGAAGCTCATTTGCATATGCAATTGCCAATGTCTTAGGATTTCTGCCTCAGCCCCCTGCATCGTAGCAATACAGGTATGTTCCACCATGTCTGGTGCTTCCCAGGTACTTATTTACAACAAAACAAAAATCATTGTGTGTTCATGTGTGTGTGTACATGATGTATGTGTGAGCATATGTGTCAGCCATGGCCTGCTGTGGAGACAGAGGACACCTCTGCGTAGTCAGCTTTCTCCCTCCTGTAGAGGAAAAGTTAGTGAATCATTGTATCTAGGGTACACATCAGAATGAAATAATTGTTTTCACTGTACCTAGGGTAAACTTCAGAATGAATAGTTGTTTTCTAGAAGTACTTAGGCCTTGGAGAAATCATTGTGGGAAACAGTGATTGTTTGCTGTTATCTACACAGTTGTTTTCTGGAGATGTTTTATAGCCTTTACATGAATTTGGTCACAAGATGGTCCTGGCACATCTGGATGTCTTGAATTATTGGGTACTGCACACAGTACACAATAAGAACCAAGGCTGCTGGGGTGTGATGTTTTCCTTCAGAGAGCATGTAGATTAGGTCAGGGGCTTTGATATGAGGGACTTGTTTTATCCCCCCAAAATACCTTTTGGGTAACAATCAACAAATACCCCATTTGCACAGCTATTTGGGGTTCAGTTCATAGAAACTGCCCCTCCCTGCTGCCAGCGAGCCTAAGATTCATCTTGGAGTGACTCTCTTTGACCAACCCTTGAAATACAGAATACCCAACAAACACCCTCCACTTTTGGGTTCAGGGATGAAACGCAAGTTGTTAGGCTTGGCAGCAAGTTCTTCTGCTGCTGAGCCCATCTCTTTATCCCCAACACTTGCTAAATTTAAAATGAATGCTAAGTAGGTGGAAAGTTTCAATCATACCTTTCCTGACTTTATTGACTTTGATTAGATCCCAAAGCCACTACAACCCCCACTCTCCCTGGTTACCATCCTCTTTCGGGCGTTGCCCCTGGTTACCATCCTCTTTCGGGCGTTGCCTGTCTACCCGTGTGGCTGCTTTTCTACACATATCCACGTGCGCCAGTCTCAGTGTCTGCTCGTGTTTCCTCATTAGTTGTTGCTCAAAGGCGATTCTGAATGCATCTGCCATTATGTGAGCCTCTTCCTTACTTTTCTGCAGAATTTCCAACTGAAAGAGATTGAGGATTGGGGATTGAGGGGTGAAATTGGAATCGTGTTAATATATGAATCGCTGTATTCCTAGCCTCTTCCATTTAGTTTGCTTAAGTCAGCACTCGCCCATTGTTCAGCACTCTGGCCTGGGTTCAGCAGTCTGCCTCACCTGGCAGCTCTCTACCCATCCGGCTCTTGAAGCTCACTACCCTGGCTTGGCCCTGTGTGTCCTGCCCAAATCCTGGAAGAAGAGCATGGCTGAAAAGAAGGAAACCACCCAAGGCTACATTCCAGTTCCTCCCCTAGCTGAACTAAGTCTGCTCTATGTGATTATATGCTTTCTTAAGGGCTAGCGAATGTTTGGCTGTTAGCCTTCCTTTAAGTTCCATATCTTTAAAAAAGGCAAAACAGTGGGAGGGCATAGTGGCACATGACTTTAATCCCAGCACTGGGGAGGCAGAGGCAGGCAGATCTCTGAGTTCAAGGCCAGCCTGGTCTACACAGCGAGTTCCAGGACAGCCAGGGCTACACAGAGAAACCCTGTCTCAGTACAAAACAAAGAGTGAAACAGTTTCAGAAGTATATCAGATCACAAATTTGGTTTATAAACATTCATAATTAAAGTCCAATTATAAGGGCAACTATCGGCTGATTAATGCCTGGCCTTTTGTGGCTATTTTCTCAAGACAGTTACCATCCTGTTAACACATGAGAGGACTGGGGCCTGTTCAGCCCTAAGCCACCCAGAAGCAAATGATGGCACTAAGGTGCACAGCTGGTCAGGTACATGCATCCTTCCATTTCAGATAAGTTCCATGTTCATCTCTCCACTCCCTGTGTTAATTCCACACCCTTTCCCTCTGTCAACTGTGATTTGAGGGCCGTGTATAAATGAGAAAATATGAACTTAAGAAATATTAACTACATACCTAGTCAAACAACTTTACCTGGCTTCAGATTTCATGCAATGTACTATGTGTGTTTTGGAACCAGGTAAACAGAATCTAGTGTACAAGTTAATGCTATCACACAAAACCAAGCATAGGTTCCACAGCCTAAGATGAAGTTCGTTATTGCAAATACTGCCATTTATCCTACTGCTAATAAAGGGACTGAATCAAGGCATCTGATAAATACCTCTTGTCTGAGCTGAAGAACCAGTTTCCGAGTGGATGCTGCCATTTTGGCACAAACACAGGGGCTCCCTCCAGGCCCGAGACACAGGCAGGCTCCGAGGACTGCAAGCTTGAAACCCAAAGGCATTACCTTTTACCAAGTGTCACACCGTCTCAGCCACATACAAACACCACCCCACAGCCATGCACATGCTAGTCAAGCCTCTGATCAGAGAACGTAGAAAGTGTGTGTGTGTACACATATGCAATATGTTATGCATGACGTATGTATAACATTTCTAAAGGAAATTTGAGGTGAGGAATTCATGATCTGAGTGGGAATGACCACAAGTGAGACATCATTACTTGCAACAAAAACTTCAAAGAATTTACATTCCTTTCTCCCCTGCCTCAAAATCTTTAATCCTGGTATTCATCTCCAATAGCTTTGGATATGGAGCAAGAATTTAGCCTAGCCAAGCTGTTAGGACTAACACCCAGAGTGAGTGCTTCCCACGATAGGTGTGGCCTTACAGCCAGCATTTCCCTGTGTCCATCTCCTCCAACAAGACTGCTCAGCATGAACACTGAGTTTTATTTTACCCTGGGGGAAGCGATCATTGTTCCACTCCTAAAAAACATTATTCTGCGGGGCTGGCTCAGTGGTTAAGAGCACTGGCTGCTCTTCCAGAGGTCCTGAGTTAAATTCTCAGCACCCACATGGTGGCTCACAGCCATCTCTAGTGGGATCTGATTCCCTCTTCTCACATAAAGGTGTACATGCAGATAGAGCACTCATATATAAAATTAATAAATCATGCACTATAATTTAGAATATTTGTCGGGCAATGACTGTAGTGAAGTTACTTGTAGCCTGACCCCTTGAAACTTGACTGAGGCGAATATGAAGAAATAGGATCCCCCGGTTGATCACTGTAACTCAAAGAAAAGCAAGAACATCCCTTTTGCTTTTAACCCATTATAGCAGCTAGGCACACTTACTAATTTCACAGGGGTAGTTTACATAGCATTAAACCATGCATTTTGAACTTTCATAAGGAACTTACTGTAAAATTATCTAACTAGCGGTGTGGCGGGGAAAATTACCCCCTCATTCCTGTCTCACCTCATGTGTGATGTAGTGTGATTGTGAGGATTAAATGAGTCAGTCTCGGATGGCGACTCTTGGGAGGGACAGTGCAATGCTTGTTCTTGGTGACAGATGCTTTCTTTTTTTCTGTGTGGAAGGCATGCTTCTTAGAAATGCTAATGTCCCTTGTCCCTCACGAGCTAAACTTCCACACTGTAAGCCACAGACAACCCATCAGCAGATCTTTGTTCTGAACCTGGGTAAGCCACAGGTTCCCTTTTACCATGGGGAAATAACTCTTACCCAGCCTTAGTCCCATGACACCCCGTTGCATCCCTTCAGTGAGGGTAATGTGTGAGAGCCAGTACCACCCAGCAGGGAGGCATGGCTGACTCAGGCATGGCAGCAGCAGCTGGCCAGCAGCAACCTGGGCAGTCCTACCTGTAAGGATTCAGGCATTACGCTGGCCTGCCCCTGGCACCTGGCAGAATGCTCTCAGGCAGTACCCTGGTCAGCCCAGGTGCAAAGGACCCCTTTAAAAGAAAGACCTCGATCTCTTTCCAGCTGCTCCCCTGGGGCAGACAGGACTTTTCCTGTCTCCCTCCTCTCTCTTCCTCTCCCCTTCCCTTCCCCTCCCCTCCCTCCTCTCTCTCTCTCTTTCTCTCCCCCCCCCCCATTCCATCTCCTCCCCTCTCTAATAAAACTTCTCACTAAGCTCTGTCTGCCTGGCATGTTCATCGCCCCCCACCTCGGTCACCCTCGCCTGCCATGGAATCCGCCACTGTATCCTAACACTAAGGACCTCGCATACCATAGTCTGCGTAGCTAAGTATGTTGCTGTCGTCCTAGAGCCAGCAGCAGGGAACAGGAAAGCAGAAGATACCCTCCCATCTGGCTTTCACATTGCACACGTACCTCGAGACCTGATACCTCTGTAAAGCCACTGCCCTCCTGCCCAATGTCTTCCTGAGCCATCTTCTGCTGTTTGATATCAAGCATGGCGAGGGCCTCCAAATACCGCTGGTTCAGAACTAGGAAGGGCCACAACGACACTGTTAGTTCCCAGGCCAACTGCAGCCTCTCTGTGGCGTTACACCAAAGCCATGCACTCGTTTCTTCTAAGCGACACATACAGCAGACATTATCTGCTGTCCCACCATCCAGAAAACTTGTCTGATGAAATGGGTAGCATGGCAGAGAAGAGAAATATAATTGCTACTTCTAGTGGGGAAACCTCTTAACTTTGCTACCCAGGCCTGCTGTTTGCTTAGGGAAGTTTGTAGACTTGTTGTTTTTCTCGAGACATGAGCTGCTTATAGGTGCTGGGAATTGAACATGGGTCCTCTAGAAGAGGAGCCAGTGCTCTCAAGCGCTGATCCGTGTCTCCAGCCCCCTCCCTCTCTGTCTTTTTTTAAGTGAACATGTAAGGTAAGTTATTCAGTGACTCTGAAGAATCTATGGGAATATTTCTGGAAATATGCACTCTGACACCCATGGGTCTGGAAGAGGTGAGACGTCATCAGTGGACCGGAGCCAGGATGCCTCCTGGTCTGGTTTGTATTCTCATTGGATGCTCTAAAACCAAGGGAATTGGCAGAAAAAACAAGGTACAGGTTGGTAAGGGAACAGTGAATTGTTTCAGCTGTTATCCAGGTCATTCTGTTCCAGGTAACATGTGAAGTTATGTTTGTCCAGCAGGCAGGAAAAGCACCTTTAAAGTAAATCACTAAGTAAAAATAACTCGTCTTTTCTATGTATTCTACTTCAGACAATGAGATTAGGTAGTGAGATCTCCCATACTATATTCATGTCAGTTAACCAAAGTCCATCAGATTTTTTTTTTTCTATTAAGAGTTTTTTCAATCCAAAAAAAAAAAAAAAAAAAAAAAAAAAAAAGGGTTTTCAAGCCAGGTACATTGACACACTACTTTAGTCCCAGCACTCAGGAGGCAGAGGCAGATGGATCTCTGTGTAAGTGCAAGGCCAGCCTAGTCTACACAGAGAGCTCCAGGACAGCCAGGGCTACACAGAGAAACCCTGTCTCAAAGCAGTAACAGCTACAAAGAGTTTTCATAAGAGGCTGGGCAGGGCTGTGATTTTGAGGCCAGTCTGATCAGTGAGTGCTTTGACAGCCAGGGTAACCTAGTAGGACCCTGTCTCAAGAAACAAGAGTTTTCATAGGAGGCTCTGGCCACATCAAAGAAAGGGAGAGCCTGTTGTCTAGTGAAGAACAGAAAACAGGAGCTTCCTCTCGAGGTTCAGTGAGGGTCAAAGAAGGCAATGAGGGCTTGTGACTCTGGAAGCTTCTGCCCTAAACTAACCTAACAGGTAACAGCTGCATACTCAGACACACCTGTGTCCAGATCTCCTCTGGGGCCACATGAGCACCAAGAGTCTCTAAGCCACGAGATCTGATCAGAGCTTGTTTTGTTCCCTTCCAACCATCACTTAGCTTCTGCTGAGGACACCAATTAGCATCTTTTCTTATAAATCTATAAGGACAGGGCTGGAGAGATGGCTCAGCAGGTTAGAGCACTAACTGCTCTTCCAGAGGACCCAGGTTCAATTCCCAGCACCCACATGGCAGCTCAACTGTCTGTAACTCCAAGATCTGATACCACCTGTAGGCAAAACACCAATGCACATAAAATAAAAACTTTTAAAATCTAATTTGTAAGAAAAATCAGTGCTACCATGATTCTACCATTGTTCACCATAAGGTGGTTCATAAGGTGGTTCATCATATGAGGGATATGCAATATACATATCCCACACATGAAAGTCCACATATCCTACACTAATGTGGTTCTTCATTATGTAAGGGCATACATATGTGACATACAGATTTTACACATGGGAACACACACACAGCTGCCTTAGCCTCATGTTCTACTGTCATTCTATTTTGCTTTTTGGAGAGTGTTTCTTACTCTAGCCTTGACTGGCTTAGAATTCACTGTGGAGCCCAGACTGTCCTCAAACTCATGGCAATCCTTCTGTCTCAGCTTCCCAAATGGTGGGCTTACAGGTTGTATTACCACCTTGCCGAGCCCTTTATATAGAAACTGGCTCAGGACAGCTTACCTGAACAAGGAGGAGCTAATGGCCACTAGACTGATAGCTGGGAAGCCAACAGGGGTCTGACTCGGACCCCCCTGAATATGGGTCTCAGCCAGAAGGTCTGAGCAGTCTAAGAGACCTCAGACAGTGGAGCCAGGATGTATCCCTGGTGCACAAAAGGACTTTGCAAACATATCCCCCATGGAGGGATAACTGCCTTATTCTAGAGAGATAGGAGAGAAGCCCTAGTCCCTACTTCACAGGACCTGTCAGATCTACATGACCCCAACTGGATGGCATTCCCCTACATATTGTATTGTGGTGGGGGGTTGGGAGGGGAGGGTGTTTAGAGTGCATGGGAGAGGGTAGAGAGGGCAAAAGGGAGGGAAGGAGGGAGGGAGGGCTTGGGGGGAGGGAGGGAGGGAGGGAGAGGGAACTGGGATCGACATGTAAAATAATAAAAAAAAAAAAAAAAAAAAACGCTTTGACTCCAAAATTTAAGTTGAAGAACAAGTTACTGGGGAAAAGTATTTCTATTTTTGTTTCCACAGAAAATGAAAAGATGTGGATTCCTTCCAGACTAATGTGGTTTGATCACACCAGACCGCCTGAAACAGAGTACAAGCTGATCCTACATTCCAAACAGCTGGACAAAACAGCCCTACAGACTACAGCTAGGATATCTGAATCTTCTTCGAATCCCCCAAGACAGCGCCCCTTACCAGCAGGAAGTAGTTTGGAAAGAACGACGCCCAAATTGCCAAATATTGTGTATAAATGTTTGTTTTCATTTAATTGGACTTTGTTATATAAAATTAAATAAAAAATACTCTATATGCATAAAAAAAAAAAAAGAAACTGGCTCAGAAGGGATACAGTTCTGAACAGTCTTTTTTTTTTTTTTTTTTAAGATTTATTTATTATGTATGTAGTGTGTACTGTCTGCATTTATCCCTTCAGGCCAGAAGAGGGCACCAGATCCTATTACAGATGGTTGTGAGCCATCATGTGGTTGCTGAGAATTGAACTCAGGACCTCTGGAATACCAGCTGGTGTTCTTAACCACTGAGCCATCTCTCCAGCCCCAAAACTGAACAGTCTTTACTTCAGAATATATATTGTGGCAGTGGTTGAGTGACAGTAGGTACTGTGACAGTACCTACACAGTATGTCAACAGCACTAAATTATATAGTTTTCAAAAATTTCAGACATGTATATAATGTAGTGTGATCATATCCAGCTCCCACCCCCTTCATCAACACTTCCCAATTGTTTGTTTGTTTATTTGTTTGTTTTAGTTTTTGTTTTTTGAGACAGGGTGTCTCTGTGTAACTTTACAGCCTGTCCTGGAACTAGCTCTGTAGACCCGGCTGGTCTGGAACTTACAGACATCCGCCTGGCTCTGGCTCCCAAGTGCTGGTATTAAGGCATGCACCACCAACGCCCGGCCCAATTGTTTATTTTTAAGGGATTAATTTTATGTTGTATGGATTTCATCTTGATAACCTTCTTTAAGAACTCTTTTTAAAAAATCTAAATGATACATTTCTTTATTTTCCCTAAATTATATCACTTCAAAATACTAGTACTTTATATTGACAAGAGTGTTCTTGCTACAGTGTATTCTATGTTTGCTGTCTTTAAACATATTTTATTGTTCCGATTATTATTTCCAAGGCAAGGTTTCTCTGCATAGCCCTGGCTGTCCTGGAACTCACTCTGTAGACCAGGCTGGCCTGGAACTCAGAGATCCATCTGTCTCTGCCTCCGCTGGGATGAGAGATATGAGCCACCACCTTGGGCCAATGCATTTTAAAGAATCATTAAAATGCTTTACTCACCAGCATTTTCAGACTTAAGAATTTTAATTTCTTCTGTTTTCACCTTCAGATTCTCTCTGAGGACTGCATTGTCACAGTTTAGTCTAGGAAAAAAAAAAAAAACCAAATAATTTAATACCTCTTTGAGGAGCAAAAAAAAATTATTTCTATAATTTATTAAATTCTACTAATTGGTGGGAGGTACAAAAATGCACATATTGGGGTCAAAGGACAACTTGTGGGAGTGAGGTCTCTTTTACTCTGTGGGTCTTGGGATCAAACTCAAGGCGTTGGCCTTGGTGACAAGTGTTTTTATCTATTCAGCCATCTAACCACCCTTCGATTTATATTTAGTTGAGAAATAAGCAGACCCAGAATTCACATTCTCATTTACATTAATATAATTTTAATTCAACTTAATAGTCATTTGGACACTGATTCTGTGCTTAGGCCATCTCATGTAAACCTTGGATATTGGTCGATACTTGTCACTGTAGGTCCATGGATTATAACTACTGAACTAAGCTGATGAGGATGCGGACGACAGGAAGCTGTACATGGGGGAGGGCATATGAGAAATCGCTATAGCCCCCTGCTCAAGATTGCTTAATTCTTTAAAAAAAAGAGTCAAATCTAAAGTCCTTCACTGGGGGATAACTCACTCTGTAGCCCAAGCTGGCCTCAAACTCACAGAGATCCACCTGCCTCTGCCTCCTGAGGGCTGGGATTGAAGGTGTGCACCACCGCTGTCCAGCTTGAACTATACATCTTTAAATGGTCAAGATGGTAAATTTTATGTTAGCGTTCACATAATTAAAAAAAAAATAGAAAGGACAAAGGCTGGCAATACAGTGGTGGAGGATGTTTCTACCCTACGGGAATGCATGATGCCCTGGATTTGACTTCCAGCACCACAGAAAACAAACAACAAAGAAAGCATCAGGACAGGAGTGAATAAACATGGAATTCATTACAAAATCTCCTTAAGTATCAGGAGCTTAACAGGAGAAGTAAATCTAGTTAAAACAGAAACTCAGGGACTGAGAGCACAGAACGATCTTGCAAAGGACCCAAGTTCAGTTCCCAGCACCCACATCGGGCAGCTGGACTTACAAGTAGTGCTAACTTGATGGGAGAGGTCATTCTGTAAATATGTTTCTCATACTGGTTAATAATAAAGCACTGCTGGCCAATAGGAAAGGAAGATAGGAGGGACTAGGAGACAAGGAGGAAGAGGAAGTAGTAAGGAGGAGTCAAGATGGAGAGTCTGGAGAGAGCCATAATTATACAAACCTGTCATACTTTTGGATCCAAGATTCTTCTGTATTTTTAAATCTATCCTGATCAAATTCCATTTCCCACTGCAAGGCATTTATTTCCTACAGAAAGAAAAATAGCACCTTCAAATAAAAAAGTAAACAAACAAAAAAGAACATTTCATGGAAAATTACCAGTATGAATCATTTTAAGACACTGAATGGGTGAAAGGCATTTACTCATAGAGCAATTAAAAGAGTTAAAAAGGCCACTCAGAAGAGTCTATGGCACTTGAAAATAGGGGCTTTTTAAACTGTCTGAGCTCAAAATTTGGTTGTACTGAGCCCACATTTCTCAGAGCCCACCTATGCACATGTAGTCCTGGGAGTCTTAGCCCAAATGGCCGAATCAAGAGAGAATGCAATTGACATAAGAAAGGGACATCTACAATGATCCTAACTCCTCCATCTACAATGATCCTAACTCCTCCATCTACAATGATCCCAACTCCATCTACAATGATCCTAACTCCATCTACAATGATCCCAACTCCATCTACAATGATCCTAACTCCATCTACAATGATCCTAACTCCATCTACAATGATCCTAACTCCACATACGGTGAAGTGCTCAGAAACAGGCTGTCCCTACCTGGGACAGAGGATGAAGAAGAAAAATGGGAAATACTAAGCTGGCACACCTTTTGCAGCCACAAAAGAGAAAGAGGCCATACTTTACCCCTGTGACAATCTGTTCTACAATGCAAGTGTTCAAAGGGAAAACCACCAGAGACTGAAGAACTTGCTGGAGACTTAGCTCAATGACACACCTAAGGAAATGATGTCTAAATATTTTCAGATTAGCATGTCAATGTTAGCAACTGCAAATACCTTCTCCAACGATCTCTTTTGTTCTATGGTTTTTTGTAGCACTGTCTGTGTGTGACTTGTGGCTTTGTCAAGCACTGCCTAAGAAAAAAATAAAAAATAGCATCAGTACAATTTAGTTTTAAACATTCCTATCTGCATGATATATGCAAGTTACACCTATCTATATATGCATATTTTTTAAACATCTATTTCTTTTCAATACATGTACTTCTATGTCAGTGTGTCTATGTGTAGATGTGTGCATGTGTGTGCTGGTGCTTGAGGAGGCTTCTTTGGAGGGGGTGTCAGAACTCCTGGAGCTGGACTTATAGGCAGTTGTGAGCTGCCTGGCATGGGTGCTACAAAGCAAACTTGGGCCCTACGCAAAAGCAGTATTGCTGCTGACTGCTGAGCCATCTCTCCAGCCCCACATTTTAATTTAAGATAACAGGATATTTGCAGGATGAGACAGTCACATCAACAATTCTGTTGTGAAGACTGAGAGTTTAAAATTCAGAAGATCTTTGTTTAGCTCTCCCTTCCTCCCAAATGTGATTGAATGAATGCAGTTTCTTGGCAGGGAAATACGCAGTGTTATTCACCATATTCAGAAAGAAATAAGTCAGATATACACCAGCTGGTGGGTGATGGATAAATAAAACATGTATGGCTACACAACAGACTACTAGCAATAAAAGGAAGAAAGTATTGCCAGGTAGCACACCTTTAATCCCAACACTTGGAAGGCAGAGGCAGATGGATCTCTGAGTTTGAGGCCAGCCTGATCTACTGAGCAGTTACAGGACAGCCAGGGTATTACACAGAGAAACCCTGTCTCAATAAACTATTACATGCGTGAACCTCAAAAGCATGTTAACGAAAAGAGTACAGAAACAAATTGATTGATCACAGAAAAGGTGAAAAGACAAACCCATTAAAAAGTGTGTGGGTGGTTCATTTTTTTTTAAAGTTTTTTTTTTAAGATGTATTTATATATTCTGTGTACAGTGTTCTGCCTACATGTCAGATCTCAATTTAGATGGTTGTGAGCCACCATGTGGGTACTGGGAATTGAACTCAGGGCCTCTGGAAAAGCAGCCAGTGCTCCTAATCTCTGACCCATCTCTCCAGCCCCTTGACAAGAACCAGTTTTTAAATACTGGAAATGCTCTAAAATTAGATCCTCGTGATAGCTGTGTAATGCAGAGGTTAGTAATCATTACCTGTATACTTAAAAATAAAGAAATTATGCCATTAAAATATATGTATCTCAAAAACCTGGCAATATTAAACATTGATACTTTTACAAGGTAAAAACATCACTAATTATGTTGGTTGTTGGTGGTTTATGTGTGTGTTTTAAGATTTATTTATCATGTATACAGTGCTGTGTGTATGTACCTCTACAGGCCAGAAGAGGGCACCATAGGACATGGCCCAGTTTGGTCTTGAACTCTATACCCTCCTGCCTCCTGAGTACAGGGATTATAAATCTACTTATTGCTGGAAGGTGTTAAGTGATGAAAACTTCAGAAATTAATTCTCACCATGCTCTGAAGGATCTTCAATGCTTCCTCTTTCCCTTCAAGTTGTCTTTGAGATGCTTCAAGTTCAGTTTTTAAAATCTCTACTTCCTGAGGACAGAAATACAATAAGCCTTCCTGTTTGCAGGGCATGTAATCCCTGTCCACATTTCCCCTTAAACCAGGATGAGTTCCTACTGACGGTGCAGCGAACCCAGAGGCTCACTATCAAGCTCCAGTCTGAAGGGACAGCAGCCCACTCCAGCATGTGGCTGTGGCAAGCCTTGCCCTTCTCCCTGTCCCCCCTCTGCCTTGCTAAAAACCGTTAGATTACATTTGTAAAGCTGGCCACCAAGGTCTGTTCCCGTATTTGGCCACTTCCTCCTCCTGAGGCTGACTACCAAGGCCCAGCTATCAAAGTATTGAAGTCCAGAAGCCCCCTTTGGTTCACCTAATTAACATGTCCAATTAAAACTAAACACCTCATCCTAACACGGGGTTCCCCTTTACCGCTATACTTTTTGCTGTATGTCACACCTGTCTCCTTCTATCCAGAGGCAGTCCTTTGTCCCTGAGGGGATAAATACCCCTTTCCCTCCTCCCTCATCCTCCAGAGGCAGTCCTTTGTCCCTGAGGGGATAAATACCCCTTTCCCTCCTCCCTCATCCTCTAGCTCCTCTAGCACCGAATCCAAGCCCATTCTAACACAGACCTCCCCTTTTTCTCCTCTTAAAAATCAAACCAGCCAGCCAGGAAGTGATGGAACATGCCTTTAATCCCAGCACTCAGGAGGCAGAGGTAGGCTGGATTCTGTGAGTTCAAGGCCAGCCTGGTCTACAGAGCAAGTTCCAGGACAGCCAGGGCTACACAGAGAAACACTGTCTCAAAAAACCAAAACCAACAAACAAAAAAATGACATCTGCCAGGTCATCTGCTGCTGTTTTCTGCCTGAGTCAGAAAGCAGTCATTTAACTTTTCTTCTCCAATTAATAAAGGACCTCTGTGAAAACAGGTGTTTGGATGTGCCTAATCTAGGGTGCAGAAGGGAGCCCCGCTGCTCAGAGGTCCCCTTCAGAGTTGAAACAAAACCTCTTGCTTTTACCCGTGTAGGCACTTGGCTAATCATAAGAAAAAGAAAAATCTCAGTGTTGTTTTATTTTACAAAAGGTCTCAAAATAGCTGTTCTCAGCTGGGCGTGGCGCTGCATGCCTTTAATCCCAGCACTCGGGAGACAGAAATATGGCATCTAAAGGGGGCAATGCCAACTTTTCCCAGTAGTTTTGATAGGTTTAGAGAAGCCGGATGGAGAAGTGGTAGGCATGCTTCCATGAGAGGACTTTTCTTTTTTAAGACAAGAATCAGGGCCAGCATGAAGACTCAGCAGGTTAAGGAGCTTGCGCCAGAGTTCAATCCCTGGTACCCACAGGATGGAACGAGAGAATCAACTCCAGCAAGTCCATATGTATGCTGTGGCACAGGCACCCACCCATACATACATACATATATACAGAGAGAGAGAGAATAGAGACGGGGAGAGAAATAAGATAGACAGAGAGAGAGAGAGAAAGAGAGAGAGAGAGAAACAGAGGAGGCCTGATGAAAAGTAGGAGCTCAAGAGATGAAGGGGAGAATAGGGAGGGGGAGGAGCAGATGGGTGCAATGCTCACTTGGTATCATGCAGGACATACCTCTAAAGTTTCATGAAGATGTTGCCTTAATTGTTCATTTGACAATTCAGAGTTAGAATCTATTGAATGAGAAATGGAATAGTTTCTTTAGTTAAATACTGGGCATTTAGCTGTGCATGGTGGCCTTAAATCCTAGTAATTGGGAGGCAGAAGCAGGTGGATCTCTGAGTTTGAAGCCAGCCTGGTTTACACAGTGCGTTCCAGGACAGCCAGGGCTATGTAGAGAGACCCTGTCTCAAATGTCCCACCCCTCTGCAAAATACAGGGCATCTATTTATAAACTATATATATAGCCTCTAAATAGCAAAATGAAAAAATTATAATAAGGTAACTTGAGAGATGGCTCAATAGTTAAGAGCACTGAGTTCAGGGCTGGAGAGATGGCTCAGAGATTAAGAGCACTATTCTTCCAGAGGTCATGAGTTCAATTCCCAGCAACCACTGGTGGCTCACAACCATCTCTAGTGGGATCTGATGCCCTCTCCTAACATAAAGATGTACACACAGACAGAACATTCAATACATTAAATAATCAAACAAGCAAATCATTTAAAAAATGAACCCTAAAGTATCCAGAAACTAAAAGATATGTTATTCTTTAACATAAATGTGTAGAAAAACGTTAATGTTCTAGTTGAGTAAATGGATTTTAATGTTTAGCTTCAGTAACAATAATAATACCTATGAACTAAACTTTAATTTTTTCCCCCAAAGACAGACCAACTAGAGGTCTCTGTAGCTTTAATTACATATTTTGTTCATTATTATTTATAGTGGAATATTAAAAGGCCCCTTGCACCTGACATTTACTCTGGAGTGATGACCACTTAGGCCTTGAAATAATCTCTCGTAAATAATCAGAGATTGTTACTGAGATTTATGGGGTTGGTCTTTCTTGGGAATTTCAGAACCTTAGCATAACCTCAGCCATAAGACATTTCTGGCAAGCCTGGAATTATGATTGCTTGCTTGGGTCATGGCTCCTTAAGACAACTCCTAGCTCGGGTAAGAGATTTTGGTATGCAGGAATGGACTTGCTAACAGGCCTTTTGTGTATCAATAAAAAGAGCTTCTAGGCGGTCAGTTAGTTCATGGAGCCCGATTTCCCAGCTGCTTTTGCTAAAGCTTTACACATCCTGCAGTGTCTCCCTCTCTCCCCCACTGACCGGAGTAACTTAGAACACAGACAAGTATTTTCACAACCTAGACTTGTACTTGGCACCTAGTGGGCTCAATACCTGTTTGCTAACTGGGGTGGGAGGGTGAGGGCGGGGTATAAAGCTGCATAACAGAGATGGGACTGGAGGTAAGTAGCTACCAGAGTACGACATTAAGCAGACTACCTTCTGTGCTCATCACTTGCTGAGGTGACTCAGCAAGTAGAGACACCTGCTACCCTGATCCTGCATCCCTGGGACTCACCGTGGAAAGGAAGAACAGGCTTCAAGCTGAGGCATGCATACCTTGGCCTGTGCTTGCACCAACCCCCATAAATGAATCAACTTAATCTAAATAATCTTCAAGATGAAACTCTACTGCGGTTACCGGTTTCCACGTGCTGGGAGAGTGACAGCACGGATACTATCCACAAAGAAGGAGGGAGAGAGAGAGAGAGAGAGCCCCAGAGTTCTTACCAGCACTGCTCTGCCGTCTGTAGCTGGGCGCTCTGCATCCCTGCGCGCACATATCCCGCAAGCCCTTGTTCCTGGAATACTGAAAAATGGTTTCACTTCTTTCTTCCCCATTTCTTGGACATGGAGGAGGGCTCAGGTTCTTTCCAGCTGACCTTTTCTTAGATGTGCTCGAACACGAAACTTCGGGTCTTCTTCCGAGGCCGTACCCCAGGTCACCGTCCGTCAGGTCATCCTCTGTTTCACAGGTATCTTCAGTTTCACTCGGTGACCTCGTCACTTTGCTCATTAGCCAAATGCTGTTTTTAATCATAAGGGAAAACAGGCTGTCCGTAGTTATGAGTAGCAGTAACTAAAAAGCAGCAGATGCAACACTCCCTCCTCTGTTCCCCCCCCAGACTACATGAAAACATTTATGTCAAAGAGATGCCTATATGTTCATGTTCATTGTCACTAACAGATGCCAAGCTATAAATAAAGAAAATGTGTGTGCACTCACAGTCAGAAATATTATTGTGTTTAAAAAAGAAAAGGAAAGAAAAGAAAAAGGGGTTGGAGAGATGGCTCAGAGGTTAAGAACACTGGCTGCTCTTCCAGAGGACCTAAGTTCAATTCCCAGCAACCACACAGTGGCTCATAACCATCTATAATGAGATCTGGTGCCCTCTTCTGGCTTACAGGCAGAACACTGTATACATAATAAATAAATTTATACATAACAAATAAGTAAATAAATCTTAAATAAAAAAAAGAAGAAGAAAAAAGAAATATAGGGCTGGGCAGTGGTGGTGCACGCCTTTAACCCCAGCACTCAGGAAGCAAATGCAGGTGGATGTCTGTGAGTTCTAGGACAGCCAGGGCTGCACAGAGAAACCCTGTTTCAAAAACCAAAGAACAACAGCAAAGAAGAAAGATGGGCTGGGCCTGAAGAGATGGCTCAGCAGTTAGGAGCTCTTGATGCTTTTACAGAGAACCAGAGTTCAATTCCCAGCACCCACACCAGGTAGCCGCAACCGCCTGTGACTCCAGCCGCAGGGATCTTCTACTCTCTTTGACCTCCAAGGGTACCTGCACACATGTAGTATACATGCAGAAAAAACAGGCACACACATACACATAAATATAAATAAATTTTAAAATTAAAATGAAAACCTAACACACAAATGCCCTTTGCAATCCTCGTTAGAAGGATTTAACGCCTCAGGTCTTTTTTCCACAGGAAAGGGTCCCAGCTCTTACTCCAAAGACTGAGGCGAATTGTGGGAAGGCAGGGAAGTGTGAAGGCAACGCCTGTTGATCAGGGTAGATGTGGTGGTTTGGAAGAAAATGGCCCCCAAAGGGGGTGGCACTATTAGGAGGTGTGGCCTTGTTGGAGGAAGTGTGTCATTGTAGGGGCGGGCTCTGAGGTCTCTTTCTCAAGCTGCACTCAGTGTGACAGTCAGTCGGCTTCCTGTTGCCTGCAATTGCAGCACTCTCTGCTCCGGCACCGCGTCCGCCTGCATGCCGCCATGCTCCCCTTCGTGATCACAGTGGACCGAACCCGTGAAACCGTAAGCGAGTCACCCCAATTAAACGTTTCCTTTACAAGAGTGGCTGTGGCCATGGTGTCTCTTCACAGCAATAGAAACCCTAACTAAAACAGTATAGTAGAGCAATTACTGAGGTTACAGAAGACTTTAAAATTCATGCTTATAATATGTTTATACAGGTCTGAGAGTGGTACAAAATTCAGACAAGCGTGAAGGAGACTTCCCATGACAAACGCTGTTCCGGAAGGACCCTGCCCGAGCTTTTGTCCCCGCTCTATTCCTTACTTCAGGGTTATGGGAACCCTTGGCTCTCTGTGGCTCAGGGATGGTGAACAGGGAGAGGAAGGTGTCCCTCTCCATACCCTCCCTTTCTTTTCTCAAATTGCAATGTTCAAAATCTCCCGCTATAGTGTAACTCGAGTAAAAACCAAAGCCTTGCGGTGGCCAAAGGCCCTGCATTCTATCCATCTCTCTTCACCCCCACGCTGGCCTGCCCAGGCTCTCTGCTGCTCTGGTGTGGACCAGACATTCTTGCACCCCAGGCTCTGTGCTTCTTGGACAACTGCACACCTGACTCCTCTGCCACTTTGGGTCATAACTTCAGTGCCTGTCACTTCTCAGTGACCTTTCTTGGTAGATTGTTTAAATCGCAAGTGTGGAGGCAGGAGATACTGCTCACGGGTAGAACACTTGCCTAACACGCACACGGCGAAGGAAATAAATAAATAAAATTGCAAATTCATTCAGCTGTGGTATCACAGGCTTGTCATTTCAGCACTTAGAGGGTAGAGGCAGGAAGAAGCCAATGTATGAGCAGCCTGGGCTACAGAGAAAGCTAGCCTTAAAATAACAGAAAATAGCCAGGCAGTGGCAGCACATGCCTTTAATCCCAGCACCTGAAAAACAGAGGCTGGAGGATCCCTGAGCTGGAGGCCAGCCTGGTCTACAGAGCTACACAGAGAAACACAAAAGCAACAGTAACAACAACAACAACAACAACAACATAAAGTAGCCAGATGTGGGTTGGAACGCAGAGCTCTGCCTGCCTGTGCCTCCGAATTCTGGGATGAAAGGAGCTTCTGTTCCTTTCTGTTCCTGCTCCCATTTCCTTAGCACTTAGAGCTTTGTAACATATTCCTCTGTATTTTCCTGCTTTCTCAAATTATGCCATCAATCCGTCTGGTAAAGCGGGAGAGCTGAGGGAAGCAGGAGGTGACTCACTGCCCATATGTGCTGGGCTAGGTCAGCCACCTGCACATTTTGCTTTGCCGCAGCCCAAACCTGCTCATGCAGAACAGAGAGGTCAAAAGGTACCAAGTCTGTCTGGCTCAACCTAGTACTCCAGAGCTTAATTCAGTTTCTGGAACATACCTGCTGCTCAATAAAGACTTGTTCACTAACAAGTAAAAAGGGGAGAGTGAACACGTATACCGCTTGCCTTTTCTAGGGCAGGGATGCACAACAGTTTACACACTGGGCACTATGGGACTTGCCCTCTTTTCCAGAGGAAAATGTCTTCTAGAAACAGCCTCCCAGAGGACAACACACCTTCCATCCCTGAGCCCCTACCATCCCCAGCCCCCGGGGTCACTTACTTGGTCACAGGCAGGGAGCAGAGGCTGCACAGGCACTCAGCGGCTTCCCTTCAGGATGGAGTGCGGTGAGCTCCAGCTTTCAACACTGGGCATTTCAAAACAGTGGTTTTGCTGCAACTGTGTAGAAATGTTTTACCTTTTTATTTATTTTAACTGTGAGTTAAAAACTCTAGTGTTATGCTTCAATTCAATGGGAAGAAAATATAATGATGATAATGATGATGATGATAGTAATGATAATAATAGTAATAAAAGAGCCACAGTAACAAGCCTCAGGCAGGTGAAGATATGGTTATCATGACTTTCATAGACACTGAACCAGTCTTGGGCTTTTTGCTGAGATCGTTACCTTATTTTTCACCATATGCTAAACCGGGTGCTAATCCCAGCACTCAGGAGGCATAGCTAGGCAGATCTCTGTAAGTTCAGGGCCAGTCTGGTCTACAGAGGGTATCCCAGGATAGCCAAGGCTACAGAGAGAAACCCTGTCTTGAAAAGCCAAACAAAACAAAGAAACAAAAACAACAACAACAACAACAAAAAAAAGTAAAACAAAAAAAAAATAAACTAGACATAATTCATGTCCATCTCCAGAAATAACTACACAATTGAATATTCAGCAATAAATTTAATCCAATAGCAGGTGTAGTGGGGCTCACTTGTATCCCCAGCATTCAGGAGTAGAAGTAGGGAGTCATACATTTTAAGATAGTTTAGGCTACACTGCAAGCCTTTCTAAAAAGGAATAACAAAGCAAACAGGAATCACAGTAACAACAGCAATATGCAGCAAATGGGGTTCACACCTGTAACCCTAGTGCAAGCATCCGGGTTGCCACTTGTAATCTCAGCAGTCAAATAAATAATTTGAATTTGAGTATTAAGCCAACTTGGTGATATGTGAGCAGGTATTCAAAAGACTGAGGAAGAAGTGCTTAACAGCATGTGTTTGAGACCAAACTGGGCAATACAGTAAGATCAAATCTCTCCTCCAAAAGGAAGGGCTTTTGTACCATTTTATCTACTTATTGAGTGAGGGGATTACATATAATGTTTTTGTTTTGTTTTGTTTTTTTTCAAAAAAGAGTTTCTCTGTATAGCTCTGACTGTCCTGGAACTCATTGTAGATCAGGCTGGCCTGGAATTCACAGAGATCTGCCTGATGGAGGATGTCCTTCTGAATGCTGTGAATATGTGTTTCCCTTTTTGGTTGATGAACAAAACTGCTTCAGCCAATGGACAGACAGGGTTTAGCCAGGTGGGAAATCCAAACAGGGTAGTAGGTGGAGTCGGAGAGGAGCTGCCGAGGAAGCAAGAGGCTCAGGCATCACCAGTAGGCCAAGACCACATGGAGATACACAGATTAATAGAAATGGGTTAGTAATTAAGAGAGAGCTAGCCAATAAGAAGCCTGAGCTATCGTGGAAAAATAAGGATTGGAGAAAACAGGCTGAATAGATGTTTATTCAGGGAGAAATAACTTACAACAGAGACAGATGAACACCAGCAGGTTCCAGTCCCAAAGATGCCTCCGGATGCTCTCTGTCTCTGCGGGGTTCCCCTAGGCCAGGCCTAGTTCCCCTGGGTCACTCAGCACCTGTCTCCACCCCCCAGTGGGCGTGGTCAGTGCTGAAGCAGCTGGACAGAGTGGATATCTCACTACACTGAGCCATACATAGACCAAACAGTTTATAATTGATATAAATTCTCTGTGTGTTCATTTGCGACTAAATGCCTGCAGGACTGGGTGGGACAGAAACTTCAGGCCACAACCACCTGCCTCTGCCTTCCAAGTGTTGGCTTTCACTTTTCTTTTTTCTTTTCTTTTCTTTTCCTTTCTTTCTTTTTTTTTATTTCTTTTCTTTTCCTTTCTTTCTTTCTTTCTTTTTTTTTTTTTTTGGAGTATTAAACTTCTGTTTCTGTATCGGCATTTTGCAAAAGTGTGTTCCACGTAACACTTCTCCACCCTATTAGTATTTCTCGAAATAAAAGGTTTCTTTTGATTTCATTGAGAAATGCTTTCCTATTCCAAGCATACATGACTTGCCCAAATAACATAGGTAGGCAGTAGGTATAGCCAGAACTACAAAACTTATCTGGCTCCCTGCCCAGGCTTCTGGACACAGCATGAATAGACTGCTAGCAATCTTCCTATTTGCCACTAAATAAC